GCGGTGTCCGCCCCTCCCCCCTCCTCCTCCTCCTTCCTCCCTCTCAGACGCCCATACCATGGCTCTGTAGGTACACTTCAGTAGTATACCAGCGACAGGTGTGGCTACTGTGGTTGTTGTCCTGTCCTGTGTGGTCTGTGGTCTATGGTATGTTCACTCACTCCACAGTGGTGCATCACCAGCCACCAGCCACCATCACCATCACCATCACCATCACCATCACCATCACCATCACCATCACCATCACCATCACCATCACCATCATCACCATCGCAACCACACCGAACATCCTAAGATCAAGACGTATCTCAAGCATCACAAGTCAAACATCCCCCATCTCCGCCCCGATCCCATCCGACTCACTGCCTCCTCCTGTCTCGTCCCCGCCCCTTACACCGCCATCGCATCGCACATCGCTCTCTCTCTCTCCCCCCCCCCCCCCCCTCCTCTCTCATTTGTCGGCAACATGCTTTTCGCACTGGCAACCTACTTTGGCTACGGCCTTGGGCTCTGCCTGGTGGCGCTGGTCATCCACGTCCTCTCCCAGCCTGACCCATACTCGTTCTCTCTCGATACCTACTTCCGCTTCCGCAACTGGTCCCGCGAGGTCTCCCTCCGTCCTAATTCTGTGGTCTATCCCGAGTCGGTGGCCGATGTGGTAGCAGTGGTCAAAGAGACTCTCGCTGCCGGCTCTTCCCTCCGCGTTGTTGGTGCCGGTCACTCGTGGAACGATGCCATGGCTTCATCGACCACTATGGTCTCGCTCGATCGCATGGATGCCATTCTCAACATTGTGTGGCTCGACAACGGTGATGCCTTTGCCAGCGACGACGACGGCGTGCTCTCGGCCGATGATTCGCTCTTTGACTCGGACGACGACTCGCTCGGCGTCTTTGTTCCCGACGGCGTCGGCGACGACCTCCCTGTTCCCGAGTGGAGCGAGGCCTCTCACGAGCTGGATGCTTTGCTGCTGGCTGCCTCCGACCTCCCGCCGTGCTCCATCCACTCGGCCGATGCTGTGGCGCACGTCACTGTCGAGGCCGGCATCCGCTTCCAGGCGCTGCAGGATGCTCTCGCCGAGCAAGGCCTCGCCTTTGCCGCCCTGCCCTCGGTCGCCGCCCAGTCTGCTGGCGGTCTCATTGCTACCGGCACCCACTCCAACGGCCCGGGCCACCAGAACCTCTCCAACTACGTTGCCGCCGTCGAGATTGTCGACGGCGCGGGCAACGTCCGGGTCGTCACAAACGGTCCATCGTGCGACGACGCGCGCTGGTTTGACGCCGTCCGCCTCTCGCTCGGCTCGCTCGGCATCATCACCAAGATCACCTTTGAACTCGTCCCGCTCTTTAAGCTCACCAAGATCGAGCACCCCGTCTCCTGGGACTATGTCCTCGACCATGTCGACGAGCTCATCGAGTCCGAGGAGTTTTTCAAGCTGTGGACCTTTCCGCGAACAGGCGTCACCCAGCTCTCTGTCTACCGGCGGACTGATCCGAGCGTGCCGTCGACCACGGGCCTTGCCAGCTACCTCGAGAACGTAGTCATTCAGCAGTACGTCGTCAATGCCGTCCTGTGGGCCACCTCGTGGTTCCCGTCCGTCATTGGCCCAACCATGCGGTGCCTCACCGCCATCCTCGGCGAGCGTGTAGCCGTCGATCGCTCCGACGCTCTCTTCAACATCCCGGTTCTCATCCGCCACTTTGAGCTCGAGATTGCCTTTTCGGTCGAGTCGGCCAGGCAGGTCTTGGACGACCTGCTCGCCGAGCTTGAAGCCTCGGACCTTGCGTTCAACATGCCACTCGAGATCCGCTTTGTTGCCGCCGACCAGCTGTGGCTCTCCAACAACTACTCGCGCGCCGCCATCCACATCACCGCTTGCCTCTACGGCCTCGATCCCAAGCCGTACTACGACCTCTTTGAGGCCTTTGCCGCCCAGCGCGGCGGGCGGCCGCATTGGGGCAAGTACTTTACCCATGATGCGGCTCAGCTGGCTGCGCTCTACCCGCGCTGGGACGAGTTCCAGGCTGCGCGTGCAGCCTTTGATCCGCACCACGTTTTTGCCAACGACTGGTCCTCCCGCGTCCTCGGCGAGCCCCGCGCCTGAGCCTCACCGGGACGCCGCGATGATGGCCTGCGACAGCGTCTCGCACCACGCGTCCCGCTCCTCAACCGTCGCCGCCGACAAGTAAAACGTTTTCCGAGTATCGGTGACGGCAAATGACGTCGCCGCACGCCCATCCTTGAACGTCTCAATCGTCGAGTTGGTGTGCAGCAGCGTCGCACCCTTGAGCAGGACCTGGCCCTTGGCCTTATTGAACGCCGGCGCCTCCGGGTTCTGCTCATCTACAAAGTAGTAAAGGACGCGCCCGTCGGCCGAGAGAGTCACCCAGCGCGGCGCCCACACGTGTCGAATGTCTGACCGCCGATCCAGCCAGCCGTGCTTGGAAAAGCCCGAGCCGACCTCGCTCGTCGAGTGGGTGCCCAGTACCTCAACAGCCGAAGTTCCGCTAGCACCGGGCGTCGACCCGCTTGCGCCGGCCTCATCGTTGGTCGCGAGCCCGGCACTCGCTCCAGTATGTGGCGTGAACGTCATGTCCAGGTGCAGCCGCCCGCTCTCGGTGTTGTGGAGCGAGATCCAGTGCTGGCCCTGCAGCTCCGAAACAATCGTCGCAATGTTGATGACAGCGTCACCAAGCGGCTTGTCGCGCCCGATAGTCTCCTTCTCGTTGACCATGATGAACAGCTGCTGGGTGGCCACGTCGTCGACGGCAATGTGGAACGTCTCCTCCCACACAGGATCCGACGTCTTTTTCTTGACTGCCGACGAGTGGACCTCGTCGCCGACGCGGAATACCACGTACGGGTTGCACGTCGGCTTTTTGCCCAGAATCAGCGACTTGGTCGTGGCAATCGAGTCGCCCTTGATGAGTCGAACCGAGAGCACGCCTGGCTGAGCAACCTCGGCCAAACACACTTCCATGTTGAGCGAGATCTGGATCTCGCCAGAGCCCGCCTGCTCGAGTGGAATCCACTTCGTCACTTCGAGGACAGGCTCCGCAGGCTTGACGGGCCCAAGCTCGGACGCGGCAGCCTCGGCCACGTACGCCTCTGACTCGGCCTCGGCCTTACCCTTGTGGTTGGAGGCGAGGCCGGGATCGCTCCCCACCGGCAGCGCCGACGCGTCGTCGAGCGTCATGCTGTCGGCCGGCACACTTGTCGTGCCCAGCGATGCGAGGTCAGCCTTGGCCGCCACGCTCACTGACTTCTTGACGCGGTAGGTGTCCACTTCGGCCTGCAAGCCGACGGTGGCCGTCCCCAATAGCGTGTTCTTCAGCAGCCGGTCTTCATCGTAGACCTCGAGGAAGAGTGAGAGCGGGCGGACGTCGGTGATGTAGAACACAAAGCTCTCGTTCCACACAGGGCCCAACGCCGACTGAATCACTCGGGTCTTGTGCTGCTCACCCTCGGCACCGAGGCGGAGGACGACAAACGGGTCCGACGTGCCAGATGAGTCGACGCCTTGTAGCGCCCGTCCGCCACGGATGGTCACAACCAGGCGCTTGCGGACAAGCTCATCGGGCGTGGGCACCGCCCAGTCGGCAACGTCGTAAGTGTACCGCTTCGGCCACGACATCATGTCGGCCACACCGTTAGTAATGAGCGAGCGGAGCCAGCCCGAGAGCGCCGGCACGCCCAGGAGGTCGACGCCCTTGAGCGGCTTGATGGTCACATCGATGTCGGGCTTGCCTAGGAACGACACATGGCAGATCCGGACGTAGTTCTCGGTGTCAATCGTTATGATCAGCCGGACCTTGCCCACAATCGACAGATCTTTGATAGAGATCGGGATCTTGAGGAGACCCATCTTGGCCGAGGCCACCGACACGCCGCCGCCACGATACTCCAGATCCAGATCGAGCTGAAAGGTATCAAACTCGGCAACCGCGTCATGGCAGTCGGCCGAACAGCGATGAACACGAACTGATTTGATGTACGGCGCCCGCTTTCCGAGCTCAAAGCGGGAGAACCGAAACTCGGAGCAGCCGGGCGGCTTGTAGTACTCGAGCCACGGATCGAGCGTCTCGCGCATGTACTCATCAAACGCAATGTGCGAGACATTGAAGATGCGCTGGAGCACCACATTGAGCCACTCCACCGACTCGAGCCGTGACTCTTCAAACTTGAGATCCATCAGCGATGCCGCCTGCCTTTGCAGAGCCCGCTCGCCGGCCAGCTGGCCCGACCTGGCCAGCCACGCCAGGCTCCCACCCACCAGGACAACTAGCCACAGCCATGCCGTCGACGACTCTATCCACCGTCCGAGCACAAAGGCCACAACCACAAGGCACGCGCCCACTTTCGGGCTGTGAGCGAGGTCGGTGTTCATGCCGGTGGCGGGGGGGCAAGCGTGAGGTGGTGACAAGCGTGAGGTGGCCAGGACGCGGGGGGGGGGACGCCTCGCTCGGTTGCCTGGTACCTCGCACATGCGACAGGCACAGCGTTTGGGGGTATTGTCATCAGTTTATCACCAACGGGCACGCAGACTGGCTTCACGGTGATGAATCTTGAGGCGGGCATTGCGCCTACTGCCGCTGATGTCGTCGTCTTGCCCGCCAGAGTGGCGCGGGTTGTTGGCGTGGATGCGGGTGGTGCGCGGCAGCTGCGGGACTGTGCTCGGGGCGCGTGTGGGCGATGCGCCGGAGAGTCGAGCAAAGGTCGAGGGCGCCCGCGGCGCAGAATGTGTGGGACGGGCCCGCGGTGGGTAGGCCGCGGTACCGGGCGCGGCCTGGAGGTTGGCGTACAATCGCGAGAGCGAGACGTACGACGGGGCGGCGTCGGCAGAGTCAACGGCGGCGCCGCGGACGGCAAGACGGTTGTCTGAGCCGTTGTTGATGGCCGCCAGCGTGTGCAGCCCCTCCGAGTCCGAGTCCGAGTCGGTGTCGCCAAACGTCACGTTGTGGATGTGCGAGCAATCGGGCGGGCCGCCGCGGGCCGACCGCCGCAGCGACCGCGCGCGCCGCAGGAACAGCCCGCCGCGCACCACAGTGGCGTCGTACGGGTCGTCTGGCACGCTGCATGCAGGCCTTCCTTGCGGCGGAGCACAGTACCGCGCCCCAAAGTGGCGATGCATGAGAAAGTGCAGGTGGTCGGCCAGTTCCCTGGCCTCCTCCGGTTTGGCCACACCGGGCCGCGCTCGCACGTTCTCGCGGACAGAGCCTGAGAACAGGGCGTGCGGCTTGTAGATGCGGAGGACCATGCTTGAGCCATGCGACGAGCGCTGCTGGGTTGCCTCTCGGATGGAACGGCCGCCCGCCGGCGCCACCGTCGAATTGTCATCGTCGAGCCATAAAAATGCGTCCTTGGCTTCGTCCTTGGCCACCGGCGCCACCGCCAGCGGCTCAAAGTCAGCTGATGACGAGCTTGAGCTCGAGTCCGAGCTCGAGCCCAAGCCTGGCGATCCATCGCCAGACGTAGAGCGCTCTGATGACGACGACATGATGGCAACCGGCCTCTTTGGCGTTGGCTTGACTTTGCGCTTCTTCCGCGCAACAGGTGACCGGCCCGGGCTATGCGCCTGCGCAGCTTGTGGCTCAGGCTTGACCGTAGGCGCATGCGGTACAAACAGAAACTCGCCCGGCAAAAAGATGTTGAACAGGTCGTCAGTCTGTGGCAGGCGGCGTTTGCGTGATAAGTGAGCAGGCACAGCGCTGCCGTTCTCACCCGCTGCGGAGCTTTCTGTTCGACTTCCTTTGGTCGAAGCTGTTGCCTTCAGGCCATCGACCGCCTTCTTGCGGACACGGCGCTTCTTGCGGATGACGCGCTTGATGGAAACGGCGCCGCGGACAATGTCGAGCGTCCGCTGCTTTTTGCGTGGCGGTCCTCGAGGCAGCGGTGCTTTGGGGAGGAGAAGCTTGGACGATGGTGCAGTCACTGATCCGGCGTTCACGGCCTCGCCTTCTGAGCTGCATGACATGATGAGGCTTGCGTCGTCACATGACGAGCTCAACTCGCTCTCACCATCGCTCTGAGCAGAGGGAGCAAAGAGCGCCGACGGCGAGAGCGCGGTCCCGCTACGGTTGCCGTAATGCGACTGTGCAGCGTGAAAATGCTTGGGATCAACCAGAACCGAGTTGTTGACGACGGCAATGGGGTAGTTGCCTGAGCTCTCCCGCGCCAGAGCCATGATTCTGTCGCCGACTCTCGAGAACATGCCACGGAGCTCCGGTGAAGAATGCTCAATGTTCCGAGTGAGAAGTAGCCGTGGCAAGACTGAGAGCTGGATGCCGCGCGGCCCAGCACCAGCCACCATCTCCATCACCTGCCGCATGACATCGGCCAGGACCGAGTCGTCCTCCATCCTTTGCGCGCGAGCTGTCCGAGCCTTGGGGGAGGGGGGGGCACAGAGAGTACGAGCTTTGACCACCGCCACCGCCACCCCGCTTCCTGGCTCGATGCAGCTGGTGGTGGGGCGGGGCGGGAGGGAGGGAGAGAGGGAGGGAGTGGTGTGTGTGCGGTGTTTCCTTGCACAGAGGTATGGTGGGTTCGTCCTTGGCTCCACCGAGTCGCCGTCCTGCGCCGCCAGGACTGAGCCTTGTCATGACCAAGGCGTTGAGCGTGTTGTAAGTGATATACCTATCTTGTCATGGCTCTTCTGCACCAGTACCTGCACCAGACTGTGTCTGTTATCACCAATGATGGTCGTGTGCTTGTGGTATGCTACGTGGGGGAGCGGGGGGGGGGGGTCAGGAAAAGGCCTTGGCTGTGGCGACTGCAGCGGACTGATCGTGGCCGTGATCAACTTGGCTGCGGTGGCGCAGTGGCTCTTGGCGGGGAAGGGGGAACGCAGGCTAGGGAAAGAAGGAAGGCAAACAGATGAGACTCACCACATTGATGCGGGCGCGGGCGAATGCTGAATGTGGGTCTGTGGGCGGGGCAATAGGGGGTGCTCAAGGCCTTTGACCAGGTGACCAACGTGGTGCTCGACGAGTGCCACGAGCGGGTGTACTCGCTCGATGCTGGTGTCACCACCCTCCCGCTTGGAGTCTACATTCTCCGTGGCGACAATGTGTACGTCCTCGCCATGCTCTTGATGTGTGCCCTAACTGTTCTCCTCCCCCCTTCCTTCCCTCCCCCTCGCTGCTTAGCCTCTATCACTCACACTCTGTCTTGCTATTGGACGACGAGTCGGACAGGGCCATGATTGGGGCAATCGATGAAGAGCTGGACGCGAGCCTGGATCTGTCGCAGATCCGAGCAGCACCGCTGCCGCCCATTGTGCACACACTGATGTGAGAACTGCGGCTGCTCCGTTTTTTCCCCGTGCATGCAGGTCGGCTATACGGCGGGCGAGGAACCTTGGTTCCATCAGCAGACGACGCGCGCTGCCGAATTCATGCGAAGTGGGCACCGCAGCGGTTTCAGGGAAAGGATGCCAGACTCGGAGGCGGTTCGCTGGAAGCTGGTGCAGGAGGGGACAAAACCAGCTCCGATACTGGCGGGATGGCCGTCGCATCGGTAGGTACACATCCCAAGAGTAGATCGGCAATTGATCAGCATGGCCCAGCTCGAAGCAACCGACGACGCGATCGAGGCGTTCAACTCGCTGCGGCGAGCCGGTGGCGGCGCGTTTGTGACTTTGGTGCTCGGCGAGAGCATCACTCTCGGTGAGACGCACCTGCCCGGTCCGGACGGGCAGACGATGGCGTACGAGGAGTTTGTCAACTCACTCCGCGACGACACGCCGCGGTTCATCTTCTACAACTTTGCCTTTGAGACGACTACCGGTGGCTCACGGCTCAAGGTCCTGCTTATCAAGTGGGTGCCTGGGCGGACGACGCGGGTTGACAAGATGCGGTACTCAATGTGGTCGTCGTCGGTCAAGGCGGCCTTCAAGGGTGCGCACTGCACCGTCCAGGCCAATGGCGTCGATGACCTCGACTACCTCACCGTCCTCGAGCGGGCGGCCAAGTTTGAGCGCGATCCAGTCGTCGGCCTCGCTTAGACTTGTACTGCATCAACTGCGTGTTGTACCAGACCAATGAACTTGTTTGTCTTTCCGTATCACTCGCTACCGCCGTGTGTATGGCTGTGGAACGGTACGCTGAGCTGTGGGCGGGCACCAGGCGGTGTGGACACAGACGGACCTCGCCACTCTTGACTCTTCTACATGGCCATGGCGTCTGGAGAGCAGAAGCAGCAGCTGGCAGCAGCCTTCAAGGTCTTTGTCCAATACGCTGGTGCATCTGCAGGCAACCTGTCCAAGGAGGTACGTGGCGTGTCCCCGTCCCGCCTCCACCACCTGACCCCCCCCTCCCTGTCCCCCTTGTCCGCCTTCTCGGGCTGCCTTCTCGCGGCCGAACAACACGTAGGGCGTACTGTGGACAGCAAGTGGCATGTGACTTATGTGAGTGTGTTTGTATGTGTGGCGATGGTGGGGTGGTGGTGGGGCGATGGTTGGTGGTGCCGGTGGGGGTGATGGTGATGGCGCTGGCCATGTCGATGATTGGGTGATGGTGCTGCGGATGATGTCGATGATGTGATGAACGTCGATGGCGGGGTCATGGTGGGGCGATGCATGGAGCAGGACTGTGCCAAGGTCTCGCCTGTGCTGGAGGAGATGTATGATGAAATCAACACCAACAAGTCGGACACCATCACCAAGCGCGAGTGGCTCGAGTACTGGACCAACTACCCCGAGTTTGAGAAGAACGATATCGTCACGCCCATCGTCTCGCTGGCAAAGTCTTGCAAGGAAGAACTGCTGCGCAACGAGCGCGAGACGTACCGCCAGAAGGAGGACGATCCGTGCTACTTTCCTGGTCTCGAGTAGTTCACATCGCTACGTCACGTTGGCGTTGAGCTCTTTGTGGTCTTACTCGCCATGACGGAGCTCGGGCTGAGACAGCGCGGGAGACCGCAATTGCCTTGGCTGGTGGAAGGAGATACTCAGGCCTCGACGGGTGCTGCTATGGGATTGAACTTGTAGAGCGCATCAAAGACACGAAAGGTGATGCGGGGCGGGAGCTTCTTGTCGACAAAGGTCATCCACTTTGAGTCAATGTCGAGCGGATCGGTGATCAAGACAATGACCACCGACGGGACAAAGCCATTGTCGCTCCCCATCCCCAGTCGCATCTTCTCATTCATCGCCGAGCCAAGGATAAGCCCCACCGAGGGTGCGTTCAACTCGTCATCCACCTCCACACATCCATTAACCCGTGCCCGAATGGCCTCGAGTACTGCCTGCGGATCAAAGCCATCGCCATCACTCGCCCGACTTTGTCCGCCATCATCATCCCCATCGCCTTCTCCACCACGACTCTTCCCAGAATGCCAAACACGAAATGCCTGCGCAAGGCTCTTGACCATACCACACACCCTCATCTCCACCTTGCCTGCGTCCGCGTCCGCCATCAGCTCGGTCCGTCCCACTGCAGCCATGATGACGTCAACGAGAGCTGTCACGACAAGTACGTCCAAGCGCTCCCACCCCCCCCCCTTACCCCCTTGCGCACGCACGCTTTCCGTTTCCCGTTTCTCCATCTGCTCGCGCTCCCTGTGACTGAATGAAAAAGGAAGGTTCGGTGATGGGTCGGTGGTCGGCGGGTTGGCTGGTCGGTTGGTCGGCTGTCTGCCAAGCGACTCGAAACGCAGCCTTGGTCCTCGGTGCTTATCGCTCATCTCATCCTTTGTGGCGCGAGAGGAGAAGAGAGAAGGGGAAGTCGACGGAGCTTGTGGTTGGAAGTTAGGGAAGGTAATCACGTGTGAGCTGGTGGGGGGGGGGCATGGCTGCATTGCCTCCTTCGGTGTCTGTTGTTCCGCAAGGTGGTTGCCCGGCAGGTGATGATGACATCGAGCTGCCGCTGCTGGCGGTGGCCACGCAAAGCTCGCGATTTGCTTGGACTGGGCCGCGGAATGGCAACAGGGGGACAGATCGTAATTCTGACAATGACAGGGCTGCGTCCAACGAGGGTGGACTCAGCGGGGAGCAGAGTCAGATGGGGTTGGAACCGAGGAGGAGCTGGCTGCAGGTGCCGGAGCGCTGGCGCGGTATCGCGACGGCTTATGGGTTGCCATCAACACCCGCCGGATGATCAAGGCTCTGGTTGGCTGCGGACTCTTGACTTGGATCGTGACCTGGACCATGGCGTTTTCGATCGGCTATGCAGATGGCGGGGCAGTGTTCGCGCTGTCCATGCCGCCTGCCATGCTGGTGGTGAGCTACTGCCTGATCTGGGGCACGATTGCTCGCGAGGCTGACTCGGACTCGCGAATCGGAACAGCAATGTGCGTCCTTGGCCCGCTGATGGTGGCGATCATGGTCGGCGGCGCATATCTCACCTTCTGGATTTCGACATTTTTGGCGGTCTATCGCGGCCCGTTGCCGCAGGCCAGAAGCGCCGAGATGCAGGCCATGCTCTCGCCGTCTGTGGTTTGGGCCGATCTGGAGCCGTCGTCATACGAGGTCCTGACCAAGTATCGTGTCCGCGTTCGGTTCAAATCGGGCAAGCAAAAGGGGAAGACTCATTACGCTATGGCGCCTTTGGTTCCTGCCTGTCCTCCTCCCGGGTGTAGCGGTGTGCGGACGGTGGCCTTGTGGGTCGTCGGCTGCCCGACATCGAGTTGCCAGGCAAGAGTCCCGGCCATCACCGGGATGACCAACCACCTCAACCTCGGCCGGCGCGACATCCACACCTTTGTTCCGACCTCCAACAGGTTTGGGCGTGGAATCTCGGCTGCAACAGCAAAGTTTGACAACATGACGGTGGCAGCAACCGACATGGCCGTCTTTGAGCTCACCGATCTCACTCGGGTCCGCAGGCAGCTAGCGCTGGTCGGCTTTCTTGTCCCAGGTATTCTCCCCATCCTTGCGTTTGGGTGCTGCTGGCGGATCTGGAAGGCAGCGTCCGACCCGGAGCCAGAGTTCTAGCTGGCGGGGACGGCTCCGCGGCGAGCGATGCGCATGGCCTCGCGCTGTTCCTCGGGCGAGACGATGCCGTTCTTGGACTCACCGTCGACGCCGATGTAGGTGCTGGAGACCGGCTCGAGAGTGTCCCAGTTGAATTGGAAGCCGCAGCCGCCTTTGCGCACGGCATCGACGATGGAACCGTGTGCATTGTTGCCACAGAGGATGACATTGCAGCCCGAGACGCGCTCGATGCTTGTGCCGCAGCACGGGCAGCGCTTGCCGGTCCGGCTCAGCGCGGTGAGCGTTGCTTCGTCGACATCGGCGCCCTCAGCGCAGGCATGGAGCTCGTCAGGCGCGACGAGTACGTGGCACTCGACGCAGACAAGGGCGCCGCAGCGGCAAATGCCCGGGCGGATGACACGGCGGCGGTCAGTGCCGTCGGTGCCGACCCGCAGCGAGTATTCGGGCTCGCGGTGGAGGAGTACGTTGCCGCACTCGGCTGGGCATGCAAAGAGCAGCGCCTCGCCAGCGGCACGGCGCTGCTCGCGGATAACCCGCAGTCGAATGTCGTCTGATATGACGGCCCGGCGAGCAAGAAAGGTCAGCGTCTTCTCCTCGATGCGCCCGGTGACCGGCAGCTCGGCGCCGGCGTCGGCGCGGCATTGCGGACAGTAGGCCGGAAACTGGCCAAGCTCGAGCATCGAGTCAAGCGAGCGCTCGATGCAGTCTTCGCAGTAAAAATGATCGCATGTAGTGGCCAGTCCGTACTGCGCTGGGCCCCAGCAGATGAGACAAACAACGTCGTCGTCGAGGACCGGCGGCGCCTGCAGCGAATCGACCCACTGCGAGGTCCGCCCGCTGCCGCGGCACATCCAACAGACTTGCTCAAGCTGCAGCGCGGTCGATGGACCGGCGTCATCGGTCGAGCTGCAGCTGGATGTCGGTGAGTCCGGCGCAACCTGACCCGAGTTGGCACGGACGAGCGAGGGAAAGTCGATCGAGCCCGCAGGAGTGAGCGCAACCCGAGTCGTTTTGTTGGCGCGCATGCCTTCGGCGTCGATGACGGCAGTGAGTTTTCCCTCGCCCTTGCACACTCCGCACGGAGCATCCGAGCCGAGCTCGAACAGCTGGTTCCGCTGCATCTCTAGCGCCGCTGAGCCAGGCGGGACCAGGTGGGTGATGTCGTCGAGCTCGACGGTCTCAGGCTCAAGTACGTTGAGGACGGCGGCGTCGCGCTCGATGGCGTCAATGATGTGCTGCAGCTGTCGAAGCACTGGGCTTGAGGCCGGGTCCAAGCCGGCCTCGGACGCCAGGGCTGCCAGCTCGCGAGCGCGATCGAGCTCCATGTCTTCGTGAGCCTCGGCCAGGAGCTCGCGGACGAGATCGGCCAGCTGGGCTTCGGCCCGGCCAACAATTGCTCCTGGACTTGGCCTGCCGGCACTAGCCGCATGTCGCTGACAGCCTTGAGCCACTTACGGAGGCAATCTATATCCCGCGCCGCCGCGGCCTGTCCGAGCTCGTCGTAGACTTGGATGTGGATCCGCTCCGCGAGCTCGACGACAATATCCTCAACCTCGGCTGCCCGTGGGCTGGACCTAGCCATTGCCACCATGTTCATAACACTCTCGGATGAGGGCGGTGGCTCGCGAGTGGCCTCAGCGGCCAGACACTTGCGCAACGCAGCGACGACCTCATCGTCATCGTGCGACAAGCCAAAGCTGAGGGCAACAGCATTCGCCCGCTTCAGCTGATTAAAAGTCAGCGGCCTATCCCACAACAACAAGTTGACAGTCGCTCTCCCTGCGATCTCGATGAGCTCTGCCACCTGAGGATCGTTGTCGGCGAAGCCCTGGCGCGGAGCGATGGCGTTGATGACAGCGCTCCTGGCAAGCTCCAAGGCATCAATGAGCGGCTCAGCATCGATTTCTATCCCGATTTCCCCCAGTTCTTGGCAGCATCCCTTCAGCTGCTCTTCTGCTGCCTCTCTCCGTCGGCTGGCCTCTGCCAAAGCCTCCCTGGCCCTGGCGACCAAGCGATGGCCTGGCGGAACACCGGCGGCCTCTGCCGCCGCCAGAGCTCGGGTCAGCGTCCCGACTCGACCAGCCAGCACAGCATGTTGTAGCCTCTGATGCGCAGCCGCATGTGTTTCCACCCGTGCCCTCAGTGCCGCGTTGCCCATGCTTGGCCTCGGCTCGTTGGCCCTGTCAAGACCGGAGTTGAGTGTCGAGTGGCAGTCGGAGGGACGGGCGGAAGGAGGGGGACGGGAGATGATGAGGCGGAAGGGGGATCGGGCAGATTAGTGTGTTTGCTTCCTATGTCCATGTGCTTGCTTATCAGCTAGTGTATTGACGACGACCCGTCGCACACGAGTGGTGATGGAAGCGGTGAGATCACTGTGGCGAGGCCGGGCTCATGTTTCGGGGTGACGCGCGCGAGGTCGTGACCTTGCTGCGTTCGCGGTGTGCCTTTGCCTCTTGGGAGAAGACCTTTCTTGCGTTCTGGGCGAGCATGATCTTAGCCCGCACCACAGGCCTGGACTTGTTGGGCAGGATCTTGCCTTGCCGCTTGTGCACGTGCTTGATCGTGCCCTTTGCACGGACCCAACCAGCGCTGTTGATGGACCGCAAGATTGGATCGGTATTGTCGACAAACGAAAAGAACTTCATCATGCTAAACTGCGCCCCGAATCGCTCATCAGGCACATATCGAAGATGCTTGTCAGCGGCGGACATTGCAGGCGCAGGGACGTGCTCGACGAGGAGCGAGACTTGCACCTCGTTCTCAGAAGTGTCGAGGAAGAGATATGCAAGTGTGCCCTCGATCGTCACCTTGGCCACAAACGGCAAGTTGCGGTGTGACTCTTCCTGCCGGAAAATGTTGAGCAAAGTGCCTGCATCCGGCCCGACGACCCGCAGCTTGTCGGCCCGACGAAGCGCAGCAGCCATCCAAGGCTGGCTCACCACATTGAAGGCGAGTGACGGTCGCTGACAGACACGATGGCGATCCTCTCGAAAGACATCGACAGGCATGCCCCTCCTGTCCACAAGGTGCACTCGCAAGTGCGTGGCTGCAAACGGCTCCGGGTTTGCCAGCTCAATTACTCGATTCGTCACCGAGTGTGACGTCGACTCGGCCTTTGTCGAAGTCGGCATGCTCAACATCTCCACCACGGGCGCGGGCTGTGGGTTCCCCTTTGAGAAAGATTTCCTCATGCCCTTGACATTGTGTTTCTCAAAGGCCAAGCTTTTAGAAAAGGTAATTTGCCTGTGCTGGCTCTCGATGTCCATACCAGGCAAGGAGAGCGAGAAGAGTGTGGCGAATACCGAAATGCTCGACGCGTTCCTCCTTCGCCGTTTTTTTGTTCCTCCACGACGTCACACCAAACTGCAACCGCCCGATTGCACTTTTGGCCTTAGATTTGCACTCTCGCGAGGAGATAAAACAGCACCGCGACCGCCTCCAATAGCGCTTCCCTACCTGCGGTATCACACATCATTACCTGGTCCCTCATCAATCGCACGTACGTCGCAGTAAGAACAACAAAACAATGGTCAAGGCCCGCACCAAACCCACGTCGCGTGGCCGTGCCCCAAATCAGGGGAAGCGCAACATGTTCGGAAAGGTGATGCGAGTCCTTTTCCCCCACACCATGGACAAGGCCACGAGGACCGCGCGGAAGGCGGCGCTCACTAAGGCCATTATGGCGAAAACCAACGGCATGCCCGCTGCAACAATCGACCAGCTCACACTCGGCTTGCGGTCCCTTCTTGCCGCAGACTCGTCGCTCCCGGCCAGGACGACTAGCACCCTCCTGACTCCAGATGTCAGCGCAGGCATCGTCCAGGGATACGCATTCGAGCCGAGCGTCCGAGTCGTGGGCGAAGTCTCCCGGCCTGACAAGAACCACGACCTCCGCCGCGCGGCCGGCATGGAGGCAGTCATCACCACCGGCCGCGTCCCCATCGAGAGGTTTGTGGCCGAGGCTTCCGTTCGTCACCATCGCGCCAACCACACCAAAGTCAAGCGCGAGAAGAAGAAGTCTGCTAACGCTGGTAAGAACGACATGGCCATCGAGATTAGCCTGGCGCCAACCGTCGAAGAGGTCAAGTCAACAATCACGACCATCGCCAACAACTTCTCAGGCCGAGCCCAGAAGATGCGCGACACAAGCTCGGGTGTGCAGCATGACGTGATGCCGCAACAGGTTGTGCCAACGACACCACCTGCTGCCCCGTACGAGCCCATGCCCAACGACGTCTCACTCATGCAGACTCTCCTGGCCTCGCCTTGCCCAACACACGGCCCCGCCCTGCTTGCCGTGGGGATCCCGGGCTTGGAAAATGACGTTCCAGGTGTGTGGCCCATGAACATCCAGCAGATACTCCAGACGCCACCATCGCCAAGCCCGACGACAGCGTCCGTTGCCTCTACGGCAGTGGCTACGCCAACGTGTCAGGGAACATCCCCGCCACTCCTCGACTTTTCGATGAGTACAAATGTGGAGGGGGCATGCAATGACCTGGGACTTCTTCCCGAGATGGAGGTCACCACCGATAACAGCGTCTTCGACATCAACGACGAGCCGCTCTACTTTGCTTCTCATATCAACATTGACAAGGTGTATGGGCTTACCTCGCCTCAGTGAGCGCTTGCAAGCGAGTTACAAGATCGTCCAGCGTGTGGATAACACAATCTTTCTCAACAAAGGGCGGAACCGCCTTACGGGCGTCTGTGCGGTGGATGAGGAGAGGGGAGAAGCCCGGTGCCGCAATTGCACCATGGTAGTCAGCCATGGAGTCTCCCACATGCAGCGCAGTGATGACTTCATCATCGCTGTCGGCATCATGCCACGGCAAACCGAGGTCGGCGGCGGCGTCAGCGGCGCGGGTGGCTGCGACAGCGAAGATGGCCGGATCTGGCTTGGGCGCTTTGACCGAGTGCGAGTCGACCACAAAGTCAAAGAACTTGGCCAGATCGAGCGAGGCGAGGGTGTCGTTGACCTTGGACGTCATGTTGGTAACGACACCAAGGATCGGGCGGGCACCAGTCGCCGGCAGCCTGATCTCCCGCAGCTCGCGAAGCGCAGGTTCAACATCGGGGTACATGGCATAGGCACCCGAGGTAGTAAAGTGCGTGACCAGATGATCAAACAGGCCGTCATTGATAAGGAGGCTGTTGATGGAGCCCAGAGCAGCATGGGCCGAGAGCGAGTCCGGGACAAGACCAGCATCATGAGCAGCATGGACCCCGTTCTCAAAGGTAGCACTCACCACCTCCCACCACCATCCATGATGATCAAGACCAGCTTCAGCACCAAAGTTGGGCAGTGACGCATCAGTCGCCTTGTACGCCGCAAAAAAGGCAGTATCGAGCAGTGCAATGACCTCGGGTTGCCTCATCCACCAAAGTCGACTTGGCTCAGCGGTTGCCATGGCCTCGCCATAGTGACTCCCCACAGAGGCGCAAATGTAGGCCAGCGTGTCAGAGAAGTCGAGTGTCACCATCTGCACACGTGACAGTGCTCCGTTGCACGCCCACGTGCTAGCCCTTGCCATGGGGTACCGGGCAAGAAGGGGGGGCGTGAGGTGGTGGTGGTGGTGTGGGCGGTGTGGGCGGTGTGGGCGGCGGGCGACGAGCGCGGCGGCGGTCGGCAAACATGGCTCGATCAGAGTTTGAATTGGTGTTGATGTGATCTACAGGGTGGTGTGGTTGAGGTTGTAGGGGGGGCTGTGATTAGTCAAGCGGCTTGGTGCGCTTGCCGGGACGAGGATTGAGGGAGGCGGCATCGACCTCGGGCTCCTCACCCTCGTCGTCCATCGGCACGGCGGTTGAAGATGCTGATACACTGCTGGCGGTTGTTGGCGTGTCTTCTGCGCGGCGCTTCGTCCGCGGGTGCTGGACATGACCGGCAACAAAGATGGCATCGCCGTGGAGCGGGTGGCCTGCGATCGCTACCGACTCGGACTCGCCGCTGCCACCCGACTTCAGCATGTACCGCGGCTCGTCGGCGGCAAGTTCCGACGACACTGCTCCGGCGCCGTCGGACAGGTATCGCACAGTGCGTCCGTTGATGACAGTCTCCATCATCGAGGTACCCTTGGGCAGGCTCTCGGTCCACGACGGCGAGTAGATCTGCTCGTCGTCCATCGGAATCGCCTCCTCAGCAGCCGCAGCCGATGGCGACGGCAGCGCATCAGGAGTGACCTGGAAGTTTTCACCCTGTCTGGTGTGAAAGTTGACCGTGTTTCCCTCGCCAGTAATGTGGCTTTCCAAGCCGCGCTGCTTCCGCTCGTACGTCAGCTCATTCGACTCTGCATCAGCCCGTTTCGTTCCCGATGCGTAAGATCAGCTACCTCCCTCCCTACCTCCTCCTCCCCCCCCCACACACACACACCTGCAACTCTCTGATCTACTTACCCACCACGGTGGCCTGCGCCTGTCCGACCTGTGCGCTCTGCAAGTTCTTCAGCTTGGCATCCAGCCCTGCACTCGCAGCCGGAGCAGCCATGGCCACACATCCAAATTGCAACCCCAGCCACGATCACAGTCACGCGTTGCCATCACCATCGCCATCACCATCGCCAAGCCCCGTCATAGTCACGGTCACGGCCACGGTGACGGTCGTGATCACCCACCCCATCACCATCACCATCATCATCCCGCTTCGCCCATATGAGTCCACGCCCGCACCAATCCCTCACGCCGGAATCCCAGCCTACATCCAACATACGCGCCAGGATGGAGTTGGCCTCGCTCTGGGCCAATCGACTCTGTCCAGCTGCCGCAGCCTGGCTGCTCGAGCTCGCCGCCGAGCTCCTTGCACGCTCCGAGAGCCGCTGATGGGCGTAGGGATCCATATCAAGGTCAAGAACACACAACTGCTCCTCTGTTACGGTGTGGTTTGTGCCGTCTTGTCAACCTGGACAGTGCTTGAGTTGTAGTAGGCTTGGCTGGCGAGAGGTGTGTGCTCCGGTGTGTTCAGGAAGGTGAGCCCGCCGGCGGCCGACGAGGAGTACACGCCGGCGCTGGGGCAATTGGCTGGAGTCGCGGCGTTGGTGACCAAGCAGCCTGATCCAGGTACTGTTAAGGCCTAAAAGCAAGTCGGTGGACAGACTACAAGAGGCTGGACGCGTGGTGTTTATCATTGCTCTACATGACAGGGCCAAGGTCGGCAAAGTAGCGGACAGCTTGGATGGCCTTGTTCTGCGAGATGGCGTAGACCGGGTCGACGGGCTGGAGGAGATTGAACGGCGAGCCAACAATGGTGAGCGATCCATCCGAGTTGTGCTGTGCCACAGAGAGGCCCGCCAAATTGTAGCATGTGTGGTAGTAGTCTGCATACCGCTCGGGCTTGTCCCGCAGCCCGCCACGCGGCTGCTGCGCAGCTACCAGGATGTAGTCCTGCAGCGCCTCCTGCGAGAACAGATGGCTGCCGCCGCGGACGAACCGGGCCTCAACAACCTCGCCGGGTGCGATGCTCTGTGGCGGTGCGTACATGGTTCCGACCTCATAGACAGAGTCGGCGCCGTGCGAGAGTGCCCAGGCCGCCATCGGCGGCACCGCGCCCTGCCAGAACGAGTAGCAGCCGTCGACAAGCTTGTTGGTCCGACCCTGGAACCCGCCCTCGACCCGCATCTGCCGCGAAGCCACCCAGAACAGCAGCGGCTCCATCCGCAAAAGATGCGTTGAGCCCACGAGCAGCATCGCCGCCAGGCCGCAGTACGTGTAGCCGCCGTGCGGCTCGCTGCCGGGCAACGCGCCGATGCCGCCATCAAAGCCCTGGCACGATGCCACAAACTCACCGACCCCGCGCCGGAGCTCGTCGTCCAAAATGCCGGTAACGCTTGCCACATGAACAGCACAGTAAGAAGCACGAGTGTCGACCTCGCCGTCGTGGTGCATGCAGAACGCGCCACACTCTGCCTTGAGCGAGAGCAGCCACGACCGCAGCGCCGGACGGTCGATGACCTCATAGGCCTCGGGCGAGCCGACAATCGAGAGCGCGCAGACAGCTGCATAGGTTGGCGCCAGATGCGCCAGCTGGCCTGGCCCGCCGGCAAAGCCACCGTTTGGATCCTGGCAGTGGCTGAGGAACGAGATGACGCCGGCCTCCAGATCCTCCCCAAGCGGCGCGCCCATCAGATCCAGCGCGTTGAGGCACCAGTACACGATCCACGGCCGGGATGCGTCCAGCGTCTGATAGCCTGCACCAAGCCGACCCAGACCCCTCCGGACAAAGCCCTCATGTCCGCCCTTATTGAGCACCATAGCCTCCACCGGCAGCCGACCCTCATCATCGCCCAGACCTCGAGTCGCCGAGCGAGTCCCAAAGCCATCTTCATCCCCATCAGAAGCAGAAGCCACTTTCGACTCATGTGCAACGTCCAAACCCATAGCAGCACGTGCTAGTGCTACGAGGTGATCTCGCTCACAGTCTGGCGTGGGTGATGGGACGTAGTTGTCCAGCAACTCGACCACCGACGCCTCCACTCTCTGTTGCTCACGCGAGCTGTGTGAGGGCCAATGGTCATCATTGAACACAACCTCGTCCGCTCCTGCTCCCGTGCGAAGCATGTAGTCGAGGCGCGAGGGAACGGTGTGGTGGAGAGGAGTATGACTAGGTGTCAAGGTAAGCGGGGAGTGGCGTGGGGGGGTGACTGTCCCATCCCCCTTCCCCGTCTCGACTGCTCGCCCGGCTCGGCTGGCGGTCGTCACATGTACTCGCTCGCTCTCGCTCGATCTCGCCAGAAAGTCACCGTCCAGGCTGAAAGGGGGGGGAGGAGAGGGGGGGGAGTGTGTGTGTTTGGGCCGTACGGATAGTTGGTACGGGATGGAGGGATGTTGTATGCTGTTGTGCATCGGCACGTTGTTGGTCTTGATCTGTTGCCTAGAGGGCGTGATGAGGTGAGCCGGGTGAGGCCAGGAGGGCCCTATGCTGTGGCATTGCTCATCTGGGATCGATGGCGGCGTAGTTGTCAGGAAGCGCGAGGTCGTAGCCGGCCAGGATGGCAACGCGGGGGTTGAGTAGGTCGCGGAGTTTGCGGAGGCGGGCGAGGTGGCCCTCGATCCGCGCAACGCGGGGATCTTTGTCGGCGTCCGACGCACTTACGCCATCCTTATCGGCAGCAGCCTTGCCATAGACAGCGCGGCCAAGGACAGCTAGCTCATTGACACCAAACCGGCGCCACAGCGGCGATGGCTGGATGAGATACAACCGGATGCGGGTGATGGCCGGCTGCGGATCAGGCAGGCGACAGCTGATTACCTTTGTCAGCGGTGAGGCAGACATGGAATCGTCTGCACCCTCTCCATCAGCGGATCTGGGCGCCACCACAAGAATGATCCAGGCCTCGGCATCAGTCTCGAGATGGGGATCGGCCATGAGCTTGACGACATCCATATCAATCCAACGATCATCAGCCACTTCATCATCGCCAGTATCATCATTTGCCCGAAGATACGAGAGTCTCAACGCGGCGGTGTAGTAGTTACGAAAGGCGATGACGGCCAGCGCCGCCGAGCTCTCCTTCAGCGTCAGCTCCTGGTACACCGGACATGGACGGCTTCCTGGCGGAGCAAAGACCTGTGGATGGAGAACAAAGCTCAAGTCAACAACCTCGAGCCCATCCTCTCCTTCTCCTGTACTCATCCCCTTCTTCTTCAGCCGTAGTCACGTGCCTCGGCCTCAGCCCTAGCTCTTGCCCGCTCGTCGAGGCCGGTGTGGTCTCGGTTCGACTGGTTGAGCTGGTCGGCCACCACACCGACGTCCGATCAGATTGGCCTCACAGTAGGATAGGATTGAGCCAGCTAGTGCTTGACTATGCCTCATTTTTGCCAATCTCTGCCATCATCATCATTGCGCACGAGTCCTCATCGCCTTGAAGTACAGAGCAAGCGAGTGAGAGCAGCTGAGCCCACTCTTCCCCGCCCCACACATTGCCCTCCCCCCCCTCTATTCCGACTCCGATCTTCTCCTCCATCTTCTCCATCCCCGTATCCCTGCATGTGTGATTCCCTCTTTTGCGATCGATCATCCAACCATAACTTCATTCCCCAGCTCTCCAGCTCGCTTCCTCGACTGGCTTCCTCGCTGGCGTGCGCGCAAGCGCTTGGTCGCCGGCTACCTGACAGCCACCCAAACGCGCCTTCTTCCCCTCTCCAAACTCCAGTCCGACACCTGGCTCCCCGTCCCAGGCCCACCATGACCACAGAAGCCTCCCGCTGTCTCGTACGTATATCCATTCCCACCTATACCTATGTCTATCCCCTAATCCAAGCCTCAAGCTCATTCCCTACATACACAACACCTCCTTATGTGTGTCTGTCTGTCTGCATACATGATGACGCTTGGGGCGTTGATCACCTGGTTGATCACGTAGGGCTGATCGATCACCGGGTTGATCACCCGCCCTCCCCCGCGCCCCCGCCACTCCCTCATACTCTCAAACTCCCTCTCCCCCACCCCCCCCCCTTCCGACCCATGCACCACCCACTAACCCCTTCCTCCTTCTCATCTCCTTCATCTCCTTTACTCTCTCTCATCGCTCAGAACCGGAGTCTGGCCTCGCTCCTCGCCAGACAACCTGGCCGAAAGGCCTCGTCGGCGGGGGAAAGTGGTCACAGCGAGCTGGTACGCACGCGTGCCTAGGCCACTGACCCAAGAGTCCGCCCCCCTTCCCCCCCCCTCCCCTCCCTCCCTCCTCTCCCTCCCTCCCCCCCCCCCCCCGGCCCCCCCTACTCCCAGCCTACCACTCCCACCGCCCACCGCCCACCGCCGCCCCCTTCCTTCCCCCTTCCCCTTCCCCTCCCCCCCCCCTTCGCCTGCCCCCTTCCCTCCACTGACCCCTCCTCCTCTCTTCTCTCCCTGTTTCCCGCGTCGCTGCCACCGCGCGCCAACGCCCAACTCACGTCACTCGCTGGGATGATCAGTCTGCGACGCGAACGATCGGAGACTTGCGGAGCAAGGTGCTGTCGCGGACGGCAAGAACGCCGTCGATGTCGGCTCCGAGGAGACGGCCAAAGTCGAGAGTCTTGTCGCGGAGGCTGTCGATGGCAAGGCTGCACTCGGGAGATCATCACAATCTACTGCTGGAGGCCAAGGCAAGGAAGATCCAGATGGCTGTCCGCAAGTGGCTCTTTCGCAGGCGGCACAAGGGTGCTGTTGTCCGGCTGCGCAAGCGCAACTCGGCCGCCAAGGAGATCCTCTCCACCGAAGAGGTGTATGTGGCGCGGCTCTCCGTCGTTGTCAACGTCTTTCTCGAGCCGCTCCGCTACAACGCGACGCAGGCAGCTAACCCGTTTGTGACGACCGAGGAGATTGGTGCGATCTTCTCCTCGGTCGAGCTGATTCTGGCACTCAACTCGGAGCTCCTGCTCACGCTCCGCGAGCGGATGTCGGGGTGGAATCCAGGCGACACGCTGCTAGCGGACATCTTCCTCCACTTTGCGCCGCTCTTTATTCTGTACGCCGAGTACTCGTCCAAGTTTGAAGAGGGGATGAAGACACTGAATCGGCTCGCGGCCGATCCGGGGCGCGGCCGATTTCTGGCCTTTTTGCAGCACTCGGCGTCGCATCCGGACGTTCCGCATGGCCTCTCGCTCGCCGACCTCCTCATTGCGCCTGTTCAGCGACTCCCGCGCTATGTCCTCCTCCTTCGCGAGCTCATCCGATACACTCAGCCGCTGCACCCGGACTACCACGCTCTGCAGGATGCCATCGAAAAGGTGACGGCATGCACATCGTCAGTCAACTCGGCGATCTCGCGCCACGCCGCGCTTGCCTCGCTCCTCGACTTTGACGCGACTATGCTGCCGTCGCCGGCGCTGCCGCAGCTTGTCCAGCCCTGGCGCCGCCTGCTCGGCAAGTACGACGTGACGACTGACGACGGCTCGCCGCTGCTGCTAGTGCTGTTCAATGACATGCTGCTGTGGGCGGAGCCGAAGCCGGACTCGATGTACAAGTACGTGGCGTCGGTCGGCCTCGAGTCGTGCGTCCTCGTCCACCACATGTCGCAGGTCGACGCCGCTGAACGCGACGAAGGGCCGGAGTTGGACCAGCTCTCGGCCGCGCTGCCTATCATTCCACTTGACGGCTTTCACCTGGCGTGGGGCACCGAGCTCTCCACATTTCACGCCAAGTCGGCCGCCACTGCCGAGGTGATGATCTCTGATATTCTAGCTGCCATGGACGAGCGGCTGGCCGCCAATCCGGACCTAGTTGTCCGGCGCGCCCGCGCCGTTGCGCCGCTTGTGTCTCGGCTTCCGGGCCTCGCGGCCTTTGTCCGCCGCTCTTGGGTCGACGATGTGTCGGACGCCGGCGATGCTTCGGAAGACTCGGACGACGACAACGAGGACCGCGAGACGTCGGCAGCCACCGCATTTCTTCTCGGCGAGAGGGCTTCGGGCGGCGAGCCGTCGACCCGGCCGCGCGCCCCGTCTGGCACTGCTCGCCGCGGCTCGCTAGTCCCGGTCACTCTTGGCTGGCTCCGCGACCTGAGCATCCCGTCGTACTTTGAGGCCAAGATCCACTACCACCGCGGCGGCAAGCTCGCAGTGTACAAAGAGCGGCTAGGTGTGGTCGTCCCGCACCTGCTCCTCCTCTTCAAGAACGCCAAGAACTCGTGCTCGCCGTTTGCCGTCTACCCACTCACCGACGGCGAGCAGGTTCTTGGCGTGAACAAGAAGAAGAAGAAGAAGTCGTTTACACTCTCCATTCCGGGCCTACCACGCCTACACTTTTACGTCAAGACGGAGCCGGAGCTCGTCTCGTGGACTGTCGCCCTCGACGCGGCCATTCCCGCTGACGCGGCTTCTGCGCGTCAGTTTGCGGCTGCCTGGCCACTCTACTCGCGCCTTCTCCATCCAGAGCTGACCAAGTCTGCCATGGTCAAGCATTCGGACTACGCCGAGCTGGTATGGGATACGGTGGCAGCAGCCACCGGGCGTGCCTTCTCGTGGCCGCTGTCGCGGACCATCCAGCATTTGCTGCGGGCCAAGGACCCGGCCGACGGCGAGTACGAGGACGCCGCATTTGTGCCTGCTACCGACAACGAGGGCAGCAGTCAGTCGCGCATCAAGCTCTCGCACATCCTCCGTCCAGCGCTGGCCAAAATGCAGAATGATGCGTCGCCAGCGCAGCTGCGCGAGCTTGGCTTTACCGTTGCCCACGTTCTCCTCTGGGGTCGCGTCACTGCTGGCAACGCGTCGGTTGTGGGCTCGGCGCCGCTGATTCTGGCCGTCAAACGGGTGACGATTGCGCTGTTCGAGTCGTCGGTCCGCTCGCTTCGCTCGCTCGCCATGCTGCTCACCGTCGAGCTCCTGGTTGCGCCTGAAGTGCTGATGCATCACTACGCCGAGCTCGATGTGACCGCCGCCGGCGCGGGTCCGCCGCCGCCTGAGGCTGACCGCAACGCCTTTCTCCGCTGCATGGCGCTGCTGCTGGAGCTGCGGCTGCAAGGGCGGAAGCGGCTCGAGCTGGGCGACGACGCTAAGCTTGTCCACGCTGCGTTTAACGCGCTAGTGGCGCTCGCCTCGGACGTCTTTGCCCGCACCGCGCTCCTCGAGCACTCGCTCATTGACCACCTTGTGGCGCTCCTCCGCGGCATGGCGTCGTCATCACGGGTCTCCAAATCGGAGACGCCTGTCCACACGGCGGCGGCCAAGGTGCTGCGGCTGCTTGCGCAGCACGACTCGACTCGCCGGGCGGTCATTGAAGCCAAGGGCCTCGACGTCATTGTGGCTCTCCTCTCCAAGTACAAGACCGAGGTGGAGCGCGCCGAGCGCGAGGCATCATCGACCCAGTCGCGACTCAAGGTCTCGGAGCCGCTGACTAATGTCATGACCTCGGTCCTTGCAGTCATTCAGTTTCTGTGCGTCAACGACGAGCTTCGCGAGCAACTCGCGTCGCTTGTCATTGTCCCCCACTGCTGGATCTTTTTGCCAACTCGGGCTTGCCGGACTCGTTCCGCGCCGCTGTCGGCCTCGCTCTGCAGCACTTTGCATCATCACACACCGGCCGCAAGCTGGCGCAGGACATGGGCGCGCTGCCGGTGGCGACACAGGTGATTGTGGCGCTTGCGGCGCAAGCGCCATCGCGGCTTTTTGGCATCACGCTCGCGCTCCTCCAGCACCTCACCTCGGGGCCTGCACTTGAGAAGCAACTGGTGCTGGACACGTTCCGTGACCTCGGCGGTCTCTCGCCGCTGCTCGCCTTTGTGGCTGCGTACCTTGTCGAGGCTACTGGCGCGGTGGCGGACTCGGGCTCGCGGCGCGAGTCGGGGTCAGCCAACGGAATGTCTGGGGACGTCTCCGGTTCGTCGGCGCGGACAATGCAGGTGGCGGCGTTTGCGACGCTCGCCAATGTCATGGAGGGAAATCTCATGAACCGGACGCTGGTGGCGCAGGAGACCTCGCTCCTTCCATGCATTCTCGCGCATCTCCACAACGACGAGACCGAACAGCGGGCTCGACTCCACCTGCTCCGAATTGTTGCGTATCTCTCCGAGACGCCAGCCGGCTCGCGAGCCATTGCCGAGACACCGAACATTCTTGACTCGATGCTGGCGATGCTGACGTCGGACACGTCGCGGATGCAGCTGCTGGTGGTCCACATCCTGCGGTTCCTCTCACACGACTCGGCGTTTTCCGAGCAGATTGTCGATGCTGTGGCCGAGCGCGATGCTGTGCCGGGCATCATGCGCGAGCTCTCGTCGTCAGACGTGACCGACGATGACGCCGCTGTCCACCTTGACCGCCTCGCTGCAGTTCTCTCCATTGACCTGCCCCAGCCAGCATCGGGCCAAGACGAGAGTCATGTCGACGAGCCCGACGAGGAGGCGCTGACGTCGCTGCTGGTAAGCGACGACAAGGTTGTGGCACGGGTTCGAGCGCTCTTTGCCTGGCAGACGTCTGACAAGACTCAGCTCTCAATCCGAGAGGGCGACGTCGTTGCGGTCATCGAGACGACCAACGATGAATGGTGGTACGGTGTCCGCGGCGCCAACGAGGGTTACTTTCCCGCGCAGTATGTCGAGCCGGTTGATGCTGACGCACTGGCGGCGCTCATCGCGGCCAGGAAGCCCGAGGCGGCGGCCGTGCCGGCCAAGCCAGAGGCGACATCCGCAGCGAGCAAGCCTTCACTGCTCGCCAACGTCTCGGCGTCCTCGCTTCAGCTGGGCGGCGATACCGAGTCGGGCGCCGACACGGCTGTCTGTGCCGACTCTTCCGCCGACTCGGACTCTGAATCGTTCACCTACTCGTCGTCGGACTCGTCGCATGCCGCGTACGTTGCCGTTGTGCCAACCAAGGCCGATACCAGCCCTGGAGTGGGCGATTCGGCGGCAGTGACCAAGGTGGCTTCAGTGGCGGTCTCGGACGTCGAAATTGCCAGCTCGGCCGAGTGCCTCGACATGGCTCTGTCTGAAGCAGCGGCCGAGGCGGCAGCGGCCGAAATGGTTGTGGCCGAGACGGCAGGCTCGGACTCGGGCTCGTCATCGCCCTCTTCGGGATCGGGCTCGGACTCGGACTCGGGCTCGGACTCGGACTCGGACTCGGACTCGGAGTCGGACTCGGACTCGTCCAGCGACTCGTCAGGCTCGTAAGTGTGACGAGACTCGAGTGGGTGGGCAGTTCAATGAACATGTGTGCACTGTATCTACGACGATGATGAGTTCGAGCCCGAGGCGGAGCCGGAGATCGAGGAAGACGCCGAGCTCGAGGCTGACGACGAGCCGGAAGCTGAGCCGGCCTCAACGGCACCGGCGGCCATGATGCTCGGGCCGGCCGTCTGGCGGTAGGCAAGGTCGGCCTCGTCGGCCCAATCGTAGCCGCCACGGAGGGTGGAGACGGCGGCGGCAAGGGCAGCGAGGGCGGCGGTGAGGACAAACGAGAGAGCGTTGAAGGCGACGTGGATGTTGTCAACCTTGACGGTGCGAGTGCCGCGGACGGTGTCGTCGTGGTCAAGGGAGCGGGCAGAGTAGCCCGCGGTGATGCCGTTGAGGGCAAAGGCGACGAGGACAAAGGCAAAGGCAGAGCTTCCGGTGAGGACGTTCCACTTCCAGACGTGGACGAAAGCGAGGAGGGCGACGCCGACGGTGAACATGCCCGAGGTGATGGTGACGGAGTAGGCCTTGACTGCTGCAACGTTGATCGAGTCAAACGAGAGGTCGTTGTCGATGAGGTTATCGAAGAAGACTCCCATGAGAACGAGCTCGATCAGGGCGAGGAGGAGAACAAAGGCAGTGAGGCCGGCGACGATCTTGCGGCCGGCGCGCTTGAGGGCGGCAAACGAGGCGTCGTCCGAGGTGTCCTGCGCATCGCCGACGTCGGCCTCGTTCATAAAGTTCACAAAGTAGTCGACGACAAAGATAGTGGCGCCGCCAAAGACAACCTGGACGAGAGTGGCGATGCCGGCCATGGTGACGCGGCTGTCGAGGTCGCCGGCAATGTTGGACGAGCCGAGGTCCCAGACCTTGAACATGTAAGCGGCAGCCCAGATGTTGAAGACGACGGAGAGGAAGCCGGTGGCGGTGGCCATAATGCGCGAGGCGGCGTGCCAGGTCCGGAGGTGGACAAAGGCGGCAAAGATGAATCCAAAGGTAACTGCCGAGGCGAGCATGGCGATGTCCATAAACTGCGGCGAGGCGTTGTTGTTGGCGTTGGCATCAACCACGCCGTTGTCCAGCGAGCGACGCAGGTTCGAGTTGTGGTACAGGGAGAGGACGACAAGACGGAAAAGCTCGACGGCAGTGAGGATGCTGGCGGCAATGAAAACGACATGCTTGGGCTTCTCGCCGGCGGCGCCAAACTTGCTGTCGTGCTCAAAGGTCTCGGACGGACCAAAGGTCTGCGAGAGCGCTGGCAGGAGGAGGATAACGACGATGACGGCGAGGACAACGACAGCGGCGACAGTGAGGCCGGCGATGCCGGAAAACTCGTCGGCGAGCTCGACGTTGACGTCCGACTTGCCGACCTGCCACATCTTGATGGCAAAGCCCATGGCGTTGACCTCGAGAGCAAAGGAGATGAGGGCGACGGCGGCAGTGGCCATGCGAGTGATGACGTTCCAGTGCATGATGTGCATGACGCCGACAACAACAAGGACACAGCCCACAACGGCAGCAAGCTCGGTGGCCTGCAGGAAGTACGGCGTCGCCTCGTTGGTCTCGTTGGCGTCAAACTTGTTGTCGGACGACTCAAACTTCCGGCCGGTCTTGTCGGCCACAATGGCGAGGCGGGAGGCGTAAAAGACCAACGCAAGCAGGAGCAGGCCACCAAAGACAGCGCGAGCATTGTAGACGAGCCAAGGCGAGCAGCCACCAAGCGCCGATGACGACTTGTGCGGGCCAACCGCGCCCGGGCCACCCCATGCACCCTCATCGCCGCTAGCATCCTCGTCCGAGTACACGTTGTCGTAGGTATACGGGTCGGCAGCGGACAACGTCGAGCCGCTTCCCGAGTCACTTCCCGAGCTGATTCCCGAACTAGAGTACGACATCTGTCCTTCCGTGACATGAGTGAGTTGCATAAGTGGGGGGAATCCACGCTAGGACCAAGGTGGGGAGGGGGAGGGGGGAGGGGCAAGATCGGCAGAGAATGGGGGCAAGTTGAGCCCAGAACATGCTGGGCTAGCCATCGATAGGATCGGGCGGCGAGGACCAAGATCAGTAGAGAATGAGCGAGCAGAGCAGAACAACCAACAGCAGCAAATTCGACGAGATCAGAATCAGGTGCAAAGCCAAACGAGTACCACGCCTTCCAGCAGCAACCAGCACCAGCATCCATCACCATCACTACCACCAATGCCCAGTCCCAGTCCCCGTCCACCGTCCCCATTCCACCGTCCCCAATTCCCAATCCCAACCAACCATACACCCCACCAACTTGCCCAACCAGGTCATCATGCCCACCATGCCCGTCCCCCCTTCACCCTCCCCCCCTCCCACACACACACACACACACACACACACACACACACACACATACACACACACACACACACACACACAGACTATCACACACTATGTCACTGTTCGTACACTTTGTGTCGTAAAGTCGAGTCTACCCACCAGTGTTATCGTCGTCGTCGTCGTCGTCGTCGTCGTCGTCGTCGTCGTCGTCGTCGTCGTCGTCGTCGTCGTCGTCGTCGTGGTTGTGGTCGTCAGAAGGCGGTGTGCGTCCACGACGGGGGGGACGGGCATGGTGAACATGATGACTCGATTGGACAAGCTGGTGGGGTGGATGATTGCGCGTAGCTGACAGCGTCGGCGCTGGCGGCGAGGGCGCGGAGCTGACGGCGTCGGCGCTGGTGGCGAGGGTGTCGATGATGTCGGGGAGAAAAGCCACGCGAGTCATGGCGGCGTGTGGGCTTGCGTCAGCGTAGAGCGCGTACGCGTTGATGAGCGCGGCGTCCAGAATCCAGTACAAGATGGCGTGTCACCACTTGCGCGGCCACGCCGACTGGCAAGCTCGTCCGTCGCAAGAAGATCCACAACGTCCTCCCGCTCTCCTGTCCGGCCGCTGTGTTCAACTATGCCATGCTCCCCTTCCCGGTCGTTGGGGTCGTCAACGACAAGCTCAGCACCGTCCGCGCGCCCACCGATCCGGAGGAGCGGCGCCGTACGGCACCTCGCGCGCATCGCCCATGCCCCCAGGCGCTCGTCACCGCGACGGCAACTCGGGCATCCTTCAGGCAGGCGTCTACGTTTCGGCCGCCATCACGTCCGGGCGTACCTCCTACCTCAAGCCGCAGACCAAGCAGGCGTCGCGCAGCTTCGGCCAGGAGACCTGGAAGTCAAGCATCATCGAGTTGTTCACTCCGAGACGCGCGACAGCACGTCCGAACGACCGTACCGTTAAGGGATACCAAAAGTCCCGCAGGCGGCAAGCAAAAGCGACAGGCGGGACAGCCAGGCTATGATCAACGAGGCAGTCGTCGACGAGGCAGGCGTCGACGAGGCAGGCATCGACGAGGCAGTCGTCGATCAGGCAATGGTCGATCAGGTTGGTGCCAACCAAGCGATGGTGAGGAAGCGGGGGGGGGGATGTTGGTGGTCCAAGCTGGGGCAGTCAGCAGCGGCAAAACGAGCAGGACGGGGGGGGGGGGGTGGACAGAGACAGAGACAGAGACAGAGACAGAGACAGAGACAGAGACAGAGACAGAGACAGAGACAGCAAGCCAAAGCCACACACCTCACTCCACCACCACCACCACCACCACCACCACCACCACTACTACTACCACCACCACCACCACCACCACCACCACCACTACTACCACTAACCTCGCCAGCATGTCCATGAGGCCTCGGACAGCGCCACTGCGGCATGGTGGGAATGGGAGCGGACAGCAAGGCAGAGGTGGACGAAGCGGGCAGAGTGGTGGAGGACGCAAGATTCATGGTTCTCGACGTGGTGGTGCAAGTGCTAGTCATGGACACGAAAGCTCAGAGCATGGTCATGGGCATGGGCATGGTCATGGTCATGGGCATCATCATAGGCATGGTCGTCATCATAGGCATGGCCATCGTCATGATCATGGTCACCAGCATCATCATCATCGTGGTCACAAACATGATTATGGTCACAGTCAGAGTCATGCTCGCACACATGGGGCTTTCACCTCGGATCGGCTGGCGACGGCGCCGGGCCCGGACATGGCCGCCTCGTCACTCGCTGAAAACGATCCGCTGCGCTCGGTCCATTTGTCGGCCATCTCGCCACCGCTGGCCATGGACAGCATGGCCCTAGACGCCAGGCCGCAGCACATCCTCGTCGCCACAGATGATCAAGACTACTCGACTGCCCGCGATTCGCAGGCATCCGGCTCAGAGACCTCGGCGCTCGATTCGGACTCGAACGGGGCGGGGGCGACGTCGAGATGGGCCGCGCCAACCGCACTAGCTCGGAGCATCCCAGTGAGGGCGCGTCGAGCTACGAGGAGAGCGAGTCAGGCTGGGCCTTCCGCTGGGAGACTGTCCAGGCCAAGGCGCGGGCGGCCGTCGACCATGGCGCAGTCCTTGCGGTCCTTGTCATCGCCACCCTCTACGTTCTGTTTGCCGACGACATTGTTCTCCTTGCCTTTTCAGCCGAAGCCGACGTCTACCACCTCTCGCTGGTCTTTGTCTGCTTTGTCCTCTTTGTGGTCGAGCTGGTAGCCTCTCTTGTCGCTCGCCCGCGCGAGTACCTTGCCTTCTTCTTCTGGTTCGACCTCATCACCATCATCTCCATGATCCCGGACATCCTTCTCCTGTTCTCGTCGTCGGACACGACCGAGGATCCCGACACGTTCACCGCCCGCTTCTCAGTGCTCACTATTGCCCGCGCCGGCCGCCTGGCCCGTCTCGGCTCGCGCGCCGGTCGCCTCATGCGCATCATCCGCATCATGGTCCGCGTCCACTCTTCGCCCGAAACTGACAGCCTCCTCGCCGGACACGTCGAGTCTGGTGCCACCCTCGCCACCGGCAGCGACCTCCATCCGACTGCCCGAGCCGTCGCCTCGGACGTCCACCACTCATCGATTGTCGGCCGCAAGTACACCGCGCTCCTCACCCGCGTCTTTGTCCTCATGGTCCTCGTCACCGTCTTTGCTTTTGTCATTCTCGAGACTGTCCGCACCCCGACTCCCGACGGCCGCCGCATGTCGGAAAAGTACGGACTCGATCTCCTTGAGACTGCCGCTGGCAAGCCCGGCGCCTTGTCTCCGCCTGCCAACAGCTCTTCGTCACCCTTCCTCAGCCCCGAGCTCGCCTCGGACCTCAAGGTCTATCTAGGCTCGCACAGCGACGTCCGACGTGTCGTCCTCCTTGGCTCCACTGTCATCGTCTCGGCTTCGATTGACAATTTGCGGGTGAGCGAGCGGACCACGCTGTACTCGGGCTCGTCGGCCTCACTAGTTGTGGTGAGCAACGTCGACCAGATTGAGCGCGACTCGATGCTCAACCTCATCCAGACCTTCATCATTCTTGTTGTCCTCTTTGGTGGCTCGCTCGTTCTCGTTCGCACCGCCCAGCGCATGCTCATCCGCCCGCTCGAAGACATGTCGCTCATCGCGCTTGACCTTGTCTCTGCGTCGTCCATCCACGGCCCAGCCTCGCATCCCCAGGCAGCCTCGGCTCAGCGTAGAACCTCCATGACCCTTGTGAGCAAGTCCGGGCCTGGTCCGGACTCACCAGGCTCGGCCGCCTCCAAGACAGTCGCTTCGGAAAAGTCATCCATGTTTGGCACCGAAGTCGCCGAGACCGCCGTCCTCGTCGACGTCCTCACCAGCCTGCGCGCGCTCATGCACTCGGGCTTTGGCACTCTCGGGTGGGAAGTCCTCAACCGCCACCTACTGCCAACCCACGAGCTCGACTTTGCCCGCTCCGGTGAACTCCGCCACTCGGCGCTGGCCGTCATCGACGTCTCACCCTTTGTCTCGCCCGTAGTGGTCCTAAAGGGTGCCGTCGCGCCCATGCTCAACGCCGCCGTCGGTCTCACCCACAACGTCGTCGTCACCAACGGTGGCCTCCTCGCCAAGATGGCCGGCGACTCGGTCATCTCGCTCTGGCCCTGTGACACCGTCGGGAGCCGCAACGCTGCAGAGGCCGCCGCCCGCGACGCTGCAGACACCGCCCTCAATGCCTCGCTTCGTATCCTCTCCGAGCTTGCACGGTCGTCGCCGCTCGTCGAGCTCCGCAACCTGGCAGGCATTCCGCCGCCGTCGGCCAATACCACCCTCGGCCGCCTCTCCTCCACGGCAGGCATGCTCGCTGCCGTCGCCCTTCATCTCGGCTGGACCGTCGAGGCCGCCATCGGCTCCGATGCTCTCGTTGAACCGCTTCTTCTTGGCCCGCACGCCGACCTCTCGCTCTACCTCCGCAAGCTTGCGCGCTTCTACAACGTGCCCATTGTCATGTCCGCCACCTTTGTTGCCTGCCTCTCGCCCGTCCTCCGCGAGCGTGCACGCCGCATCGACCGGATCCTGCTCTCGACCACCCACAAGGCCCTCGACATCTACACCATGGACGTCCTCACCCCGCTCTCCGAGCAGGAGATGGACCTTCTGCGCTCGCGCTCGCCGCTGGCCTCGTCGGCCGTATCCTCCGCCCTTGGCCATGATCCGCGTGACGCCTCGCTCTACGCCACCGCGCTCGAGGCCTACATCGAAGGCCGCTGGCGCGAGGCCAAAATCCTCTTCTCCGAGTATGCCGATGCCTATCCCGACGACGGGCCAGCCGCCAACATCATCGACTTTATCGACGAGGTCGCCGACGAGCTCGGCGGCGCCCCGCTACAGTGGCGTGGTGCCCGACTCATCGTCCTCTAGCCGTGTGGTCCTGGGAGTGCAGGTAAAGATGCGTGTTTATGCCTTGGCCCGCTTTGCTGCCCGTCGCGCCTTGGCCCGCGCCAGCTGCGCCGACACAAACTGACGCTGCTTGTCGAGCTCGGTCGCCACCGCAGACTTGACCCGTCCTCGATGGTCGAGACAGCGAGCACTGTGGCGTTCGCTTCCGATGCTGCAGGCCGTGACGAGGCCGGCGCAGCTGCTGTGGCTGTTCGTGGCGCTGCGTCATTTGCCCGCGAGCCCTGCGACTTGATCTCGCTACTTGCGCCCGCGCTTCCAGCTCCACCAGCCTTGCGCGCCGCCTTGCGCTTCCGCGCCGCGGCCAGCGCGAGCGCCATCCGCTTGCGCTGCTTGTCAAGCTCGGACGAGACGGCAGTCGTGAGTGTGGTTTCAGCAGAGAAGACCGACTCACCCATGCCGGCCTTGAGCTTGGAGCTCTTGTCCCGCTTCTTGAGCGTCTCCAGCCGCTCGACCAGCTTCTTGTTCTTGCCCTTGACATCGGAGAGCTTGACCGATACGGCCTTGAGCTTCTTGCGCGAGAGCTTGAGCTCCTTCTTCAGCCGGCTCGCCTCCTCGTTGCCTCCCGGTGACGATGCGAGGTCCGCAACCGAAAGCGAGCCTCGCCGCCCACCGCAAGGCGTCGACGGCCGCGATGAGACCGGCGTGAGCATGACCGACGATGGGATGGAGAGCGAGTCGCTGGCGCCAAAGTCGGCAGCCGAAGCTGATGCCCGCAAATCCGCCACCGAGCCGCGACGGCGGGCCACTGCTGCCGCCTCACGCTTGGCCACCTTGGCCGCCTTCTTCTTGGCCATGATGGCCTTCATCATCAGCCGCTGCTTGTCCAACTCGGCACCGACCGCGCCGCGAACAGAGTCCTCGGTCTTTTGCACGTTAAGGTGATCAAAGGCAGACCGTTCGCCACTGCCCACCGACCCGTTGGAACTCTTCGTGCTCCGCGAAGCCGCGCCTGAGGTCCCGGACTGCTTCTCGCGGCCAGTGGCGGCAGCACTTTCCGAGCCAGCGACCGTCGACCGCGACCGGTTTGCGGCCTTGCGCGCCTTGGCTGCTTTGAGCATCGCCAGCGTCCGCTCGCGTTGCTTGTCCATCTCAGAGCCAACAGCTGCTACAAGACTCGCTTCCATAGAGAACGTGTCGCCCATGCCGTCCTTGACCTTTTCGGTCTTGCGCGCCTTCTTGACCGACGTCAGCTTGCTCGCCAGTGCCTTGTTCTTCTTCTTGACAGAGACCAGCTTCTTTTGCAGCGCCGAAATCATTGCTTTGTCCTTTGCCCCCGCCCGCGGCGTCTCTGTCTCAGAGCTGGTGTTCAAGCCGGAGCCGCCTGCTCCGCCCGCTGCCTCCCGCGGCGGCGTCCGTGGCGTCCGCGGAATCTCTCCGGCCTTGATTTTGGCCTTGCGCGCCTTGAGCGCTGCGATGCGGGCAGCCATCATCTGCCGCTGCTTCTCCAGCTCGGTCCCCACTGCGCCGCACACCGGGTCTTCGACCGACGAGACCGACATCGGCATCTTTGGCTTTGGCTTTGGCTTGGCCTGGGCCTGGGCCTGGCGTGCCGCAGGCGCGGGCTCGGATGGGCTGGACGCAGCCGGAGCGTCGGGTGTATCCTCAGGTGCCAGCTCGTGGTCGGGACTGCCACCGGCGGTAGCACGGGTGCGGGCTTCGGCTTTGCGCGCCTTGGCAGCCTGCATTCGCCGACGGACTTGCTCGCGCTGCTTGTCGAGTTCGGACGAGATGGCGCCGATAAGGCTTGTCTCGAGCGCATGGATGTTGTGAACGTCGGCCGGCGACATTGACGGCGCGTGCGATGGACCCGCGTTAGCGGGAGCTGACGACGGCGACGACTGCGCGGTGACCAGGCTAGCCTCGGCCGCCTTGCGCTTGGTCTTCTCCTTCAGCAGCCTCCCGACCGCATCCTCAAGCTGGCCCTTGAGCTCAGCCACCTTGGCCTTGTAAACCTTGCCCTTGGCCTTGGACGCAATGAGAGCGTCCTTAAACGCCATGCACTGACGCAGCTCGTCCTTGAGCGCCGAGTTGGTCGACTTGAGCTTGAGCGCCTTGGCGGTGATGGCCTCGCTCTTTTCGCGCTCCGCCACCAGCGCCTCCTTGTACGCCGCAGCCTTCTTCTTGGCCGACTCAAGCTTGTGGACCGCAGCACCACGCAGCTCGTCCATCGACTCGCCGGACGCCTCCAGCGACGACATCAGCTTGGCGAGCTCGGCATTGAGGTCGTCCCGCTCCGAAGTCAGCGCAATCGACAGCTCCTTGAGTGCTTTCCGCTTAGTCCGCTCATTCTCAAACTTGGTTCGCACAAGCGTCAGAGCCTCGACATGCTCCGCAAGCGAAGCCTTGGTTTCTCCAAGCTCGGCCTCGCGAGCCTTGGCCTCGTCTGCCGCCGCGGCAAGCTTTGCCTCAAGCTCCGCCTGCCGAGCGGCCGCGCTTGCGGTGAGCTCGGCCTCGCGGGCTGCCGCCGTCTCGGCCGCCGCAGTCAGCTCGGCCGCCCGCGCCTCCGCCTCGGCCGTGACCGCCGCGAGTTGCGCTTCGAGCTGGGCCTCGTGCGCCGCCGAGTTGGCTGCCGTAGCTGCCAGCTCGGCCTCGTGGCTGCTGGCGTGCTCGACAGCTGACGCCACGGCGGCAAGCTCGGATGCGTGGGCCTCAGCCTGCGCCTTGGCCTGTGCTTCCGCTTCGGCCTTGGCCGCAGCGAGCTCGGACGCATGGGCGGCGTCGCGAGCAGTGGCCTCTTTCTCACGGTCAAGCTGCTCGCGGCGAGCAGCCTCCAACTCGGCAACATGAGCCGCGGCCTGGGCCGCAAGCTTGGCCTCAAACTCGGCCGCTTGCGCCGCAAGCGCTGCGTGGAGCAAGTCTAGCTCGTCAAACGGCCCAGTCTGGGTGGCGACGGTACAGGTCGGCGGCGGCGAAGGCGGGTGTGGCGGCGGGGCCTGCGCTGCCGACTCGAGCTGGCGCGCCAGGTCGGCGGCCTGAGCGGCAGCCGCGGCCTCAGCGGCCTCAGCAGCCTCCCTCGCGGATGTCTGCGCCTTCAACAGCTCGTCGAGATGGCTCGACTTGGTGCTGAGCTTGGAAATGGTATCGTTGGCTGCGGCAAGCTCGGCCTGAACCGTCGACAGCTCGGCAGCCTGCTCGGTAACAGAGACTTTGAGCGAGGCAACCGAGTCAGCGGTGTTCTTCAGCTTGCTCTGGGCTTCCTGCAGCGCCCGAGTCGAGGCCTCGGCCTTGGCTGATGCCTTGGACGACGAGACCTGATATGTGCGAAAGTACGAGAGATACGTCATGATCGAGTACTTGTCAGGCATGGCGGTGACAGCTTCGGCCACAAGCAGACGAGGGATATCAAAGCTAGACTCAGCGACTGCAAAGGCGAGCTCGAGCCGGGCGGCCGGCTCGGCCGGCACGTCGGCAAAGGTCAACGCCGATGGTTCCAACACCTCGCAGAGGGCGCAAAAAACCTTGCCGTCAGAAAACGAGCTCGTCAGATTGGTCACGCTCAGCGCGTAGTCCTTGACGGTCGCCTTGACCCACTCGAGCAGGTCCGACGCCACTGACGCCGACGAGACCTTGGCAGCCGAGTTGCGCCGAGGGCGCGGCGACGGCGTGCCCAGCCGATCTGGCGTGCGGCTTCGGCCGGCCGGCGAGTCGATGCGCGGACTCGCCCCGCCAGCGGCAGCACCTGCATCGCCGGAGCCGAGCTGGCCAGAGCCGTCGCCTTCAAGACGCGAAACGTCCCCTGCGTCGACAGACTCGTCAAACTCGTAGTCGTCGTCGTCGTCGACCAGCTCTAAATGGACCGAGTTGATCTGGAAGGAGCAAATGAGAGACCAGACAAAGCCAAGGATCATCTTGATGTCCCCATCGATAAAGTTTGCCGGACGAGCAGTGACATTGACGCCAAAGGATGCGGTGTGCGCGAGAGCGAGTGAGAGATTATCAACGATTTGAACTCGCATTCTTGGCTTCTTTGAGTACTTGCCATCATTGACCTTTGAGTCTGAGAGGACTTCAATGAGCTTGATGAGGGTAATGCCATCACCTAGTTTGCTCAAAGACTCCAGTTGTATGTCCAGTCCAGCAAGTCGCGAGTTGATCCAAGCCGTGAAAGTGGCTGCCTGCAGACGCTCATACTGAACAGCCATGTCCGACATGACGCCTTCCTTCACCACCCCCTTTCCCTTGCTACTCTGTTTCGTCAATCTTTCTCTCTCTCCTCCACTCTCTCTCTCTCTCTCTCCTCTCTTGCACGAGATGGGTGATGCCGCTAGCCTTGCTTGTGACCGTCCCACTCTCTCTCCCTCCTGACTGTCAGACCGCACACAGCTCCCGCTCCCGCTTGGTTTTTCCCCCGTCTTTCAACTCATATTTTTTCTCGGCTACCCTCTCGTTTTTTTCACCGCAGATTTAGCCGCACCCTGACGGCAGGTTGTGTTGATGGTGATGAGGGTGAGGGGTGAAAATGCTGCTGCAAGTAGTGCATGTGATCATCATCGGACAGGTTGGCGAGTGAAGTGCCGGAGGATGAGGGGGGGGGAATGAGTGAGTGTTACAGAAATGAGATGATGTGTGTGACGTAGACAGGCACAGGGAGGCGGAGCACGAGGATACCATGCGGTCGATCCGGCCAACGACGCAGTCTAGACCGACGGTGGCGGCTTTCCGCAGAACGGCGGGATATGGGCGTCAAGGAGGGCGGTGTGCGAGAGGACAAAGCGAGGGACAAAGCCGTTCGAGGCGTAGACGAGCTGAGAGCTGGCGCGGAGGGTGGAGAACGGGGTATCGAGCCAGGCGCCCACGACCGGCGGTGCGGTCGACGCAGACATGTCGATGGGCTCCGAGTACATGAGGATGATGCCCTGCGGGCCGTCCTGGTGGTCCGCATCGCGGATGCCAGAAGCCACAATGGTGTTCGTCCGCGGCAGGAGACGGACAGTAGTCAAGGCAAAGATGGACAGCTCGCCAGGAGCAGTGGTGTAGACCCGCGACCAAGCACGCTGCGAGACGTCGAGGAAGGCAAAGGCCCGGGCGCCGTCGCTCGCCAGCCACAAGGCCATGATTCCGATGACCTCGTCCGAGACATCACTACGGACCGGAATGATGTCGGCGGAGAGGTAGGGGACCCCGTCTGGGAGGGCCGGGAGCGGCACCAGATCGTCGCCGATGGCAAGCGTAGCGTACTCGCCATTGATATGGGCGGCGCCGGTGAGAAGGAAGCCGTTCAAGGTGCCCGGAAGAGGCAGGGCGGTAAGATCACCACCACCATACTCCTGGATGCAGTACTCGGCGTAGGCGACGGGCGGCGTGACAAACGAGCAGCAGGCCCCGGTCGGCGCCTTGAACGACGAGTTATGCATGAGCGCGTTGCAATCGCCGTTGTCGACCGGGGAAAGCGGAAGATCCTTGCCCGAGAAGTTTTGGCAGCCAAAGGTGCTGCCGGTCACATTGGCTTCGCCCTTGGGCACGAGGCCCTGCCACTGCGAGCCGGCTGCAGAGAACTTGACGGCGGCGGCAAAGGGGAGAAAGCCAGCATCTTCCAAATTGCCGACACCTGGCACAAGGCGCGCGTTGCCTGAGTAAACAAGAGTGCGCGAGTGGCCGCCGGCAGCCCAAGCGAGTGAAGACATCGTCAGCCGCATCGGTTGCGACTCGTTCTTTCCGAGCGTGCAAAAGCCGGAGATGTAGTCAATGATGCCGCCACACGAGAGACCCGAGTCGGCAGCCGCCATGGGCCAGTACTTGCCATCCATCCACACGGCAGCGCTGACGGCAACCTCGACGCCGTCAACCTCAGAAAAGTATCCCGTGACAGCAAAGGCAGCACGATCAGCAGTAAGCGTCAGCGTCGACGCGCCGTTCCTCGGAGTGTATCCAGGAGTGCCAAGAACAATCCACTTTCCACGAGCAGCATCCCACACGCCCGCACCTGCGATCAACTCGTTCGTCGAGGTGTTGCCAATGTAGCCTGCGACGAGAAGCGATGGATCCGAGACGACCAACCCGTCCAGATCGCCCGAATGAACAGGGATGAGATCAAAGACTTCGTTGCCCACTGGAGTACCATCACAATCAATAAAGGGAAAGCCTCCACCAATGGTGGACCATCGAGATGTCTCCAGATCAAAGCCAATCAGACCGCCAAACGCCCCGGGCACCACGCCAGTCGAGTCATTGGCCAGAAAGGCAAAGTCGCCAGCCACAGCAAAGGTGGTGTACTCGGACAGGGGACTGGCTTCAGCAGCTGCTACAGCAGACGTGAGCACCAATGTGAGCGTCACAATAACCACAAGGAAAGATAGCGACATGTCCACGAGGTCGGGCGTGCGCGGGAGATTTGCACGTGCGCGCGACAAAGTTGGAGTCAGCTGTGTCCTCCGTCACTTGCCACGATTGCTACGAGCCGCTGGCACCGTACAAAGCCAAGTCCTCCGACGGCGTCTGCACAGATGTTCCGGAGGAGCGGGAACTCACCCATCCATCCTTTGATGGTGATCTACGACGACGATTCTTACTTGAGGCTTACGACGATCGCTCGTGTGCACGGGATCACCGTGCCGATAGGCACGATGTGCTGGCACAAAGGGTCAGGCAGTCGAGCCAGTCGAGCGACGGCTTGGTTGGCAGCCGAGAGTATGACCATACCACACGCAAGACTGTACCCTTCAGCCTTGATCCCATTCGATTTCAACCACATATCCCCCCCTCCAACCCGATTGCTTCTGACACCGCCAAGGTGAGCGAGATCAGCCCCTCCCACACCTGCGACCTACCGCTACCTCTCAGCCAGAACAAGATCCACTACCCCGACCAGCCCTATACCGCCACCCCTTCCCCCTTCCCCGCTCCCCTAACGCTTTCGATTGTACGAAATCAAGATCGATTGGACTGTTCATCCACGCAAACGGGAGAGCCAGCAACCCAATGGTCGAGTGGCGAGAGAGTGGCTGGCGTCACCACCGGAGGTGAGGACAGGAGGGGGACGGGGGGGGGGGGGGGGGGGGGGGAGTGAGAAAGGTAACACTTCACTCGCGCAAGTAGGAGGAAGTGTACAGGTAGTGTACAAGATGGAGAAGTTGCTTGGAGAACAAGTTGCTCATGTGCTGGGAGTGGAGGGCGTTTTGGTGGAGCCGACGCAGGTGGCGCTGAATGGTGATGGCTTTGAAGCTGCTGGCTTGTTGGATGCTACGACATTTGTGTGGAAGGTGGGTACCACACCACTTGCTCATCCGTTCTACATTGTCATCACTTGGATCATATATCTCTCGCTTGTCTTTGGTCTCAAGGCTGTTGTTGGCTCGCGATGGCCCACAAAGTACATCTCGGCAATCCACAACCTCGGTCTCTGCTTGGCATCGGCTGCCATGCTCGCCTCTATCATCGTGTGGATGGCTGTGCAGGTGAGCGCTGGCCACTGGCAGCGGATCTTCTGCTGGCGGAGCATGCCTGGGGCTCCTGGTGGGCATGACGACCCAGCGGCGACCGAGATGATCACCGACTCGGTTCTCGTCTACACCGTCACCATGTACTACTACTCCAAGTGGTGGGAGCTCCTCGATACGGTCCTCCTCGCTGTCACTCTCAAGCCGCTCATCTTCCTCCACGTCTACCATCACTGCGTGGTCATCGCCATGGTCTGGATGTGGCTGCAGGGCGGGTCTGTCCTCGCCTTTGGCCTTGGTGCAGGCTTCAACACCCTCGTCCACGTCTTTATGTACTACTACTACATGCAGCGCTCGCTCGGCAATAAGGTCTGGTTCAAGAAGCACATCACCAAGCTGCAGATCATCCAGTTTGTCTCGTCTTTCCTCCTTGCCATCCCCTACCTCGGCCTCACTTTCGGCTACATCCCGCTCAACAAGCGCTCCTTCCCAAGCGCCTCGCCCGGCGACATGCCGCTCCTCGGCTCACCAGTCGGCCACCAGTGCTCCGGCTGGTACTCGTTTGTCTTCTCCTCCTTCATCAACGCCTCGTTCCTCTACCTCTTTGTCGCCTTCTTCCGCTCAACCTACAACCGTCGCAAGAAGGACAAGCAGGCGTAACTTTATCTGATCGCCAAGTACTCGTATCTCCGTCCGCATGCGGTACCTGGCGAGTGATGGCACCAGCGAGGAGCTTGGGCCACCCATCGAGTCTGACGCCTCCCCTCGCTCGCGGTCGCATCCATGTCTTCGTCGACATCGGTAAGCCATAAAGTTGCTGACTACTACCCATCGCTAGAGATGTTAGAGCCCCTCTTCCTTCCTTCTTCTTCAGCCTGCCACGGCTATCACTTGCCCTCACTCCAATTCTGGCACCGCCTTGCCCCGTACCACCATGGTTGCACGCCGTCGCTCACCATCGGTCCGCGTCAACTCGCTCAACTCGCTCCCTCGCCCACCACGCACACCTCGCTCACCTCGCTCACCTCACTCACCTCACTCACAACCCACCCACATAGCCTAGAACCATGTCGGGCGTACCGATACGAAGTCTGTTTGGGGATACGCAGCGGTGGTGTGAGGAGGACGAGGCGTACGCTGAGAACGACGATGACTCGAGCAATGTGGCACCGCCCGTCTCGGACGCTGCTACCTTCTATGCAGCGGCTGGTGGAAGCGAAGGCACACCAAAGAGCAAGTCGGAGCTGAAAGAGGGCATGCGGTTGGTGCGCGAGTCTGGATATGGTGATGTGGTCGCTGTTCGCGTCCCGCTCGACGTACTGGACAGCCATGATGATGATGACGATGGAGATCGGGTGGAAGAAGCCCGGCAGGTTCGCGAGGAGGAGGCCATGGAGCAAGGCATGCGCAGTATGAGTCTGGAGGAGAGGATTGAGTATGATGATGCCGCGCTGGCCGAAGAGGAGGCGTATGAGAAGGCCGCTGAGGCCGGAACGACGCAAGTGTTCTCCTACGACGAGCTGCTGGTGGATCCGGATGCCGATGACGACAACGAGACCTGGGCGCAAGAGACATACGCTGCACCGGCAAACTCACCGCGGCTTGCCTGTCCCTCGTGTTTCACCCTCCTTTGTGTCGACTGCCAGCAGCACGAGCGGTTTCCCTCCCAGTTCCGGGCCATGTTTGTCCTCTCGGCGGCTGAGATTGTCCCACACCAGCGCCTGGCATTTGCGCCATCGGCCTCGTCTAGCCGCCGGATGAAAGCTGTGACGAGTCAAGGCACAGTGGTGCTTGAAGGTGGCGATCCCGATCAAGCCGCCGTCTACCTCCCTGTCCGCTGCGGCGTGTGCAGTGCTGATGTCGGCGTTTTTGACTCTGACGAGATCTTCCACTTCTTCAACGTCGTCGTCTCCAACTAGGCTACCTTGCGCATGGCAGCGTTGCGCCTGCAGCCGAGATCTATTACCTGGACACAAGCTCGAGCACACCACCCGGCCCGGTCTCTTCGCCCACCCGTCTGCCCCGATCCTCCCCCCCCCCCTCATCCCACCACCACCAAATCAGCCATCATTCAGCCTCACCTTGTCCAGCCTACCACACCATCACTCGCCCCCATCACACTCACCCGCCAACCCCTCCCCCGCCTACCGCCAACCCGACCACCGACCCGACCGCCGCCCAACCAATAAAATGATACAAACATCAATAAAAGTTGGTCACACCCCTCTCCCCCCCCCCCCTTCCCCCCCCCACCCCTCCCCCCTCACACACACCATGGCTTCCCGACTTGTGCGGTTCCCCTCGATGACGATTCGGCTCATGCAGAGCACCAAGCGACTTCCTAAGGATACACTTGCCTTTAAGGTCCCCCGCAAGGTTGGCAAGTTTGAAATCAAGGCTTATATGGAGGCTCTGTATGGTGTCCGTGTCGCCTCGGTCAACACCGCCATCTATCCGGGCAAGACCGGTGTCTCTCGTGACGGTCGCTACAAGCGCTCAGACTGGAAGCGTGCCTTTGTCAAGTTTGCTGGCTTCTCCGCTGACTCTCCCGTCACCTCGCCTGCCTCTCCGTAGCTTGTTTCTCTCCTCTCCCTCTTTCGCTACACCCTCTCTGTCGTCACCGAACAAGACGCTCCAAATCCGGCCTCGCCGCCTCGCCTCGCCGCCTCGCCGCTTTGCCGCCTCGCTACCTCGCCGCCTCGTCGCCTCGCCGCCTCGTCGCCTCGCCGCCGCCTCGCTGCCTTGCCGCCTCGCTACCTCGCTGCCACCCCACTCGCTCGCTCACCCCCCTTATTCTCGCTCATCCCATCTTGCTGCCCTCGTGGCATCGATTCACTCGTTCGCTTGCTCAGCCGCTCGCTTACTCAACCGCTCGCTCGCCCGCTCCGACGGCTTGCTTGCCTTGATCCCCCCCCCCTCTCTCTCGCCCATGCAAGTACGCCACATCTGTGCTTTCATGTCTACTTGTTTGTCTTGACATGCGCTCTCAGCTGTTTGTAGCGATCTTGTGGCTGGCTGGCGTGAGGCTTGCCTGGTGATGGATGATGTGTTTGCTCTTGTGGCTTGCGCTTGCTATGCTGTTCATTCCAGCTCGTTGGAATGAGACTTGCTCGGTTGTTGCGGACTGCGTCGGTGCGATTGTGTTGCGCAACAAGAACAGGCTTTGTCTTCTCGGCTGCTGTTTCTGGTAAAAGAAAGCAAACGCTTGCGGCAGGGTACCTGGCATTTACGTCTCCTTCGACTTGGGCTTGGCCTTGTACGAGTGGAGGTAGAAGTTGAGGAAGAGAGTGAGCATCGAGATCATGTAGGCAACAAGAGCATACGCCATCCAGTTGGGGAAGACCTTGCAGTCAAAGATGGCGCCATATGCGCCGTGGATCATGAGGAAAACAAACTGAGCCATCTGCAGCTGAGTCAGGTACTTCTTCCACCATACCGAGTAGCCTGCAGCACGAAGACCGTAGTACGAGTACATGATGACGTGAACACACGAGTTGATCATGGCCGAGAGGTAGCACTCCCCACCGGCAGTGAAGCGGATGGCGAGCCACCAGAGCAGCGGCATGGTGGTGTGATGGTAGAGATGAAGAAAGGTGACTAGATGGAACTTCTTCCTCGCCACAAAGAAGATGGTATCCAAGAACTCGATGAACTTTGAAAAGTAGAACCACCAGAGGACGGCGGCCATGCCGTAGCCGCGGTCAGAGTAGTCGACGCCATTGCAACGAAATCCGTAGCCAAGAACAAAGAAAGCATTGTAGGCAATGACGATCGCCATATAACCATTGAGAGCCACCATGGTGGCATTGTAGACTATGACCAAGTACTTGATGTTAAACGGTTCCCTCGTCATCATCACCTTCTTTCCACCCCAAATGATGAAGAGATAGATGGCACAGAGGAGGTAGCCCCAGACGGGCGAGGACATCAACCACCACTCGGCCGTCCTACGGTCTCCCTCTGCATACAAATACGCATACACTCCGTCCAGCGCATCTCCTGGGTTCCCTACTTCCATTCTAGTGATTCTCCCTCTCTTTCTCTCTTTCTTCCTCAAGTGAGGTCTGTATCCGTACACCTCCCCCACAATCCCGTCTTCCATCCCGTCTCCCTCTCCATAAACACCTTGCGGGGGTTGCCGTCCCAGGTACGATCCTCCCACCCGGCAAAAGCCCGTTCTAGCCCCCGCCCCCCTCTATCCCCATAACACCCTAACATATAGATCGGGAATGATTGGAGACAAATCTTGATGAGTTTGGGCGTAGAGGAGGTGCGTGAGATGGTAAGGGATAAGGAGAAGACTGAATCTGATCAAGATGGTGTGTGAGTGTCATCGAGGCCTGCCTGGCGGTCCACCGCGGTGTGATCACGTGTCTTCGTGACTTTTGGCTGCTCGCGATCCCTCACGCAATACACATGATAGAGCGCGCGGAATGTCAAAGAGGAAACAGAGGCGGGATTGGAGGAGCTAGCAGCAGGGAAAAGAGTAAGAACAGAATGGAGAGAGCGGAGCTTATCTAGATCGTTCATATCGGTATTGATTATGACAGCCATCTCTTCACACGGCGTGCTGCCCGGATGCCCACTCCGATGAATGGGTGGGGACGGGAGATCACGACGGGGATGTAGATGAAGATGGCTGGGGCAGTGGAGGGAGAGAGAGCGGCTGCCACTGACCGAATTTGCTCGTGTGAGTCCTCCACGACCCGATTCGGGAGAGAAGTCGACAGGGCCATGGCGTTGAGGGCGACCAATGGAGTCCAACATCTACTCGTCCGCACCCGTGAGCGGCTTGGCCTTCTTGGCCACTGGTGCAATACCATCATCGTCGCCTCCTGTAGTACTAGGCTCGTCCTTGGCCGGCCGCTTGCGCTTGATCAGCTTGGGCTTGGGCTTGGACTTGGGCTTGACCGCGGCCTTGGGGTTGGCGGTTGCCGACCGCCGCTTGGCGATGGCTTCTTGGCGCTTGCGCAGCGTCTCGGCATCAGCCTTGACGCCAGTCAGAACCTGCGTTGGCTTGACGTACCCTGTCACATCGCCTTCGACCTTCTGAGCTTCGTCATTTGGTGCCGCCTCGACCTCTCCGGCTGCGCTCGCAGGAGCTGCGGTGGACGGTGCTGATGCAGTGGACGGTGTTGATGCAGTCGACGAGTGAGCGGTTGCACCAGTCTTTGCAGCCGATCTCTTCGCCTCAGTCGCAGGCGGAAGGTCAGGGAGGGGAGCGCCGACCGGGTTGTGAAGGACCTTTGCCAGATGAAGCCAGGAGAAGCACTTTGGGATGGCATCATTGATGGAGGGTGGCTTTGCATGGTTAAAGTACACAATCGATGTCATGTTGTGAACAGCCTCCCACTCTGAGCTCCGATTGCCGGACTTGTGCAAGACCAAGGCGTCATAGCCATCAGGAATGACCAACTCTGCGCCATGGAGTTCCCGACCACGGAATGAAGAATCTACCACACGAGCACAGTAGCCTACACACACACAACAACGATCATTGACCACCAACTTCCCCAACAATGAGTATACCCACACCCACCCACCACACCATCAAGCATGATCTCTCTCTCTCTAACTCTCTCCCCCCACCCCCTTTTCTCTTTCTCACCCTTTCTGGGGTTGTGGTGGTGGCAGTGGTGCGTACGTGAGACGCCAGCTGGCTGGATAGCAGCAGCCGGAGATGTGGGCAGAGGCTCAGTGACAGTAAAGTAGGTCGCGAGAGCAGTAGGCCCTGTATGCTTGATACCAAAGGGCATGTGATAGACAGTAGCCTCTCCTACTGTCCCCCCAAATTGCACATTAATCCTCTGGCTGCTCTCACCCATACTGGCTACCGTCGAGAGGTGCTGCTCGCTTCCCGCCCCTCGTCCGTCACCCGACCCGACTGAGCCAAGCCGCCCTATCCGACAACCGACCCGATTGTCCCGACCGGACACAACCCAATTGAGCCGAAGGACCCGACAAAGCCCTCTCTCTCTCTCTCTCCATAATAGCAACCATGTGTTCTCTTTGTGGGATCAGTTCCTTGCCGTCCTTGCCATACCGATCAGACTGACCGACCCGACCTATCACTGCGATCGAGATCGAGCCGATGAACCAGCACGACCAAGCGCAATCACGAGCATCATCACGCTGCTGTGCGCCAAGTCGGGGGTTAAGGTGCGCTAGCCGCCATTTTCAAGTTGTTGCCCCTCCCTCTCCTCGATCATCGATGGCCGTCCCTCTGTCCTGTCTTGTCTGGTCATTGCAAACAGTGTTGCTCAAGCGACACTCTCGGTTGCCAGCCGAGCGGTCGCTCCGCTCCATCGAAGCTCTTAACAAAGCAAGGAACAAATTGCGTGTGAGCGACTTGTAGCAGTCGTCGCTTCTCTTTCATCGCCCCCATCTCCCCCTCCCCTCTCCCAACGATCATGTGCGCATCTGCCGCCAAACTCGCCAAGTGCCCGGCGCCAAGTTGGCCAACCGATTGATGACAGCCGCAGGTCATAGACCGACCGACTCGGAAGGATAACTTTGCCACACCCGTCCGCACGCTCACCGACGGACGCAACGACCCCCGTCCTTCAAGAATGTGTGTTCGGACAGTTGTGTGGTGTATGGCGGTAATGAGTGTGTTATGTGTGTCGCTCTCTTCGCCGCAAACAGTTCCATGGGAGGCCATGCAGGCCAGGTCACCGGTCCGGCTGATCCTTCCTCAGGGAATGGTGCCACTGGAGGCAAGTACCATGGCTATGGCATTAGGTGAAGAAGTGGCGCAAGACTTGGTCATTCTCTCCCTTCCATCGTTATCACTCTCAACATGGGATGCTGCTATGGATGACTTTCATATCGTCGGCGATGTCTATGTCTTTCCTGGCCTCCTCTACCCACAAGCCTTTCTCGATCTCCTTCGCCCAACGTCCATCTCGCCAGCAACCGCTGATGAAATCCTCCTCACACAAGGTTCTCCTCTGCCTGCAGACGATGCAATAGAGGACGAAACGTCTACGGCAAAGATGAAAAGCTTGGACACCAGCCCGATCTCTCGCTTGGGACTCTCTCGCGACAACGTGCTCGGCATCGCCGATCTCACCGCCTCGGCGGCTACCCTTGCTGACCCGGATCCGTCTGAGGTCGCTGCCAAGCTCGTTCCCTGGCTTGCTGATCCGGTCGTTATCTACTACCGCAAGTCTGTCCTTCGCTCCCTTGGTATCTGGCCAGAGTCGATAGCTATCGACTCGTTTGCTAAGCTCATGGATCTTGCCGCCAGTGCACTGAGGTCTGGCTATGTTCCGTTCTCCTTGCCTCCGGACACGCTGCTTCACAGGGCGCCCCTCCTTTGGTTCGACTACATCAACGTGCGGCTGAACGGCCCCAAGGCGCACATCTCTCTCAGGCACTCCCTCAACGCTACCAACGAGGAATGGATCAACCGCGCCCTCGTTGTCCTGGCCGACCTCATCGACCGCGAGTACATCAGCGTTGCCCAAGGCTCGTTTGACACGTTTCTCACCGGGTCTTCGCTCATGTGCCTCACTACATACTCGTCGCGCTTGCTCATGCCAACCAGCATCGTCGACGACCTTGGCATTCTTCGGTTTCCAGACTTTGATGCCACAGCAACGGCTGCGTTCCCACTGCTGAATACGCTCAATGTGGAAGACTCAGCTCTTCGTGAACGAGGCGAAATCGTTTTTGGCTTCTCGCTTGGTGCGTCGCAATATCCAGGCACCGAGCAGAAGACCATCAACACACTTGCCACGCTTGCAAACCCGGCGTTTTTCGGCCGCTATATCAATGCCTCGTCTGGTACACCCGTCTTTGTCCCGCTTGACCCTTCGATCGACTTTGCAGCCATGACGTCTGATCCGCTGGCGCTTGCAGCTCATGCGCCGCTTGCAGAAGCCATCGTGCTTGGTTCATCAGCAGTGGACCGCATCGGCGGCTCTGCGACAGGCCTATCGGAGCTCTCCCGCGTCTGGTCTGAACTGCTGGTCAACTGGATGTTTGCAGTGCCACCGACTTCGTTGTTTGACATGTCGTGGATGGCATCACCAGTGCTCGTCTCGTCGTTGCAGTTCCACGCTCGGCACGCTGCTGCGATGGGGAGGAGCTGGGGGGAGGCGGTTCCGCGGCTTGTCGCCGACATCGATGCTGCGCATCTACTCCACGTCTACCTCACAACCTCTCGAGTGGCGTTTTACCCTCCGGGTGGTACGTACACCAACGCGTCGCTCGTGGTTACACTTGAGGTCGACACAGTCAATGCCACTATCTTCTACACCCTCGATGGATCTGAGCCGTCGTCGTCGAGCCGCAAGTACGTGGCACCACTCGTTCTCGACACCTTCCCGCACCACACCATCCGTGCATTTGCCACTTCGAACGTTCTTCAGCGCTCCCCGCTTTCAGAAGCCTCGTTTCACCTTGCTGCCATTCGGCAGACCGTGGTCATGGGCCGCGGCGCTGGCGAGACTGACGTCGTGGCCGTTCTTGCCATCATTTCTCTTCTGTTGATCTTAATCCTTGCCGCCGGTGGCCTTTTGCTCTGGTGCCTCCTCTCAGTGTTGCGGTCGAACGAAGTACTGGCGACCAAGGCATCGACGAACACCACGCCGCAGGCCTTGGACGCCAACAACGTCAAGGTCTGGTATCCACTCGGCATTGGCTCCCTTGGCGAGGTCTTCCGCGGCTGCTACAACGATGGCGCCGTTGCCCTCACCCTTTTGCAGCTCTCGTCGACGTGCACTGGCCTGCGCATGGAGCGGGCAAACCTAGGCCGCGGCTCAGGCAACTCGTCGCCCAGCTGCGTCCTCAACGCATCTACTGGCTTTCTCACCGCCGAGCTTCCAGGGACCTCGATGCTCGGCTCTATCAAGACCATGCAGCTGCCAAGGGTTGCCGTTACCGGCGACCCAAACTCGGCCAACGCCTCTCCGGATGCTACTGTGCCAGAGAAGGCAGTGAGACGACAGACATTATTGCCGTCGTCGCTGTCATCGTCGTCATCGTCATCGTCGTCGTCGTCGTCGTCGTCGTCATCGCCCGCAGGAAGCAATCACGATGGGCAGCAACGTGTGGCAGCCGGATCTGCGTCTGAGCAGTTTGAAGATGGTGCGAGCGACGACGACTCGATGGGTGCCCGCCGGCGTGAAAGGGTCGGCGAGTCTTCGCTTGCCACCTCTCGTCAGGGCTTGTTCGCTGGATACGATTCGATGGATGTCATGTCTGTCGATTTGATGGCGACAAGCCTTCCGCCTGAGCCCAACACACAGTTTATGACCGGAGGCATCTCGCTGGTGACTGGAGACAACACCAAGTGGATTCCGCTCGCACGGCTCACACCTTGCGTCACTGGTGAGTACCTTGTTTCGGAGCAGTTGCTGGCGATGCAGACTGCTCTCTCTGTCTTGGATCACCCGAACATCAATCGATTTGTGGGTGTGGTCCTCTCACCACCGACACTCGTGACAGCGTACGTGCCCAATGGACGGCTGTTTGACCTTCTCCATGACATCTCCATTCCGTTGGAGCTTGGCATTCGGCTGCGGTGGGCACACGGAGTGGCCTCCGGCCTCTCGTACCTGCACGAGCACGGCATCGTGCATTCCAACTTGAAGTCGACATGCGTTCTGCTCTCGCCAGTATGGGAGCCTGTCATCACGGGATTTGGCGTTGATGGTCTCATGGACGTGGTTGGTGACACGATGACCACTTATGTGGCGTCGACCGCGAGTCTGTACTGGTCTGCGCCCGAGGTACTGGCCAACAAGGCAAACGTGTCTACAGCCTCTAACGTCTTCTCACTCGGCGTCATTCTGTGGGAGCTGCTCACTCGCGAGGACATGTATCCGAACGTGGCCCCGCAGACGGTTGCAGTTCGCGTTGTCGCCGGGGACCTACGCCTCGACACGTCGATGCTAGTCCGAGCTGCGGCGGGCCCGTCGGGCGTGCTTCCGCGCATAGGATCGACGCTTGAGCCGGCAAGCCAGAGCTCATTGTCGCTAACGCGCCTGCGGACCGCGGGATCTGCGACTGGAGCCACGAGCCAGGGCGGCGAGCGAGGTGGTGGTGACGGCTTGCCGGACCACAAGTCGATGGAGGCGTATGCCACGCTGCTCACACAACTGTGGGCAGAGGATACGCGAATGCGACCTGCGCTGCCGGACGTGATGGAGCGGCTGTCGTCGATGGCCATGTTCAACGTCTCACGGCCACCGGCGTTTGCCAGCCTTCGGCCGCGCGGTCGCGGCGTGGTTGTCATTGCTCGGGTCAACTCGGTGGTGACAGGCATGGCAACGGTCCCACATTCGTTCTCGGCCGCTCTCAAGATCTTCCACAATCTCTGCCGTGCCGCAGCGGCGACCTGTTCCGGTGTGTGTGTCGAGCAGACCATCGACTCGGTCACCATCACGTTCCTGCAGCGGTCGACTGCGCTGCGCTTCTTTTCCATGCTCCGCGACAAGCTGTACGCCACCAAATGGCCGTCTGGATTGCTCAAGTCGGAGCTTGGACGGCCGGTCATTTCAGCAACCGGCCTCGTCATCTCGCAGGGTCTGCAGGTTGACATGGTCATTGCTGCTGGGCGGCTGGTCTCGGTCAAGCAACCCGGAACGTGGCGCTGGAAGTGCGAGGGGCCCGCTATGGACGTTGCGATTGCGCTGCAAGCCCTGGTCTCGCCTGGCGGCTCGCTCGCGGTTGGTCTCGCCACCGACCCGAATATCAAAGGCTACAACGTCCGAGTGCTTCCGTCGCGAGACGTCTCGCCGGCCCTTCTCAACTGCCGCATCGTGCAAATCATCAGCGAGCATGTCGACAAGACGAGCGGAACGCCTGCCGCGGCCATGTCTGGTATGGTCAAGCTGGTCCACACTCCGAGGCTGACCTCGGCACATAGCGTGGCGTTTGGCTCGCCATCACCGCTGCCTCAGATCACCACTGCACCCGCTCGTGTGCCTGCCTCGACCATGTCTGCTCCCACGTCTTCCGGCCATCCACCATATTTTGTTGAGGAAGAGGAGGAGGCTGAGGCATGGTGGTCGTTCTACGAGGAGCAGGAACAAGAGGAGAATGTGGCGGACGGGCGTCCACCCAGGGGCGGGTTCAAGGGCAAGGGCAAGGGCAAGAGCAAGAGCAAGAGCAAGGGCAAGGGTAAGGGTAAGGGCAAGGGCAAGGGCAAGGGCAAGGGCAAAGGCAAGGGCAAGGGCAAGGGCAAGGGCAAGGGCAAGGGCAAGGGCAAGGGCAAGGGCAAGGGCAAGATAAGGTTGAAGGGCACGTTGCGACGTTCGACCTCGCTGGACACCTCGTACTCTACATACTCGAGCTACACGTACTCGACGAGCTATTTGGCGTATTCGAGCTCGTATAGGCGTGGCAGATCGAGCGTGACGTACACAACGTCGCTTGAAGACTGTTCTTCATCTGCCAATGTGAACCATCATCCAGTGATTTCGATGCCAAGTGGGCACACGCCACAGCACTCTGTGCTGCACAAGAGCGTTTCGCTGGCACTTGTTGCTGACTCGGATGCGGTGGTTCCCAAGGCTGCGCCGGCCAAGTTGTCGCGGGTCAAGGGCAAAGACAAGGGCAAAGACAAGGGCAAGGGCAAGGGCAAGGGCAAGGGCAAGCAGTTTCGCAAGCGCCGTGTGACGGACATATCGTACTACTATGCTTCGTCGTACGTATACTCAACATACTCATACTCGTCATCATCGTTGTCATCGTCGTCGTCGTCATCATCGTCGTCGCTGTTTCGGCGGGCAGGCGAAGCGTCCGAGTTGGTGTCTTCCCGGATGGTTGGCGACATCCCCGCCTCGCAGGCCGTGGCTGCTCGAGCTGGCGACATGTACGCCTCGCACGCAGTGACAGCCGGTGGAGGCGACATCCACGCCTCGCAGGCCGTGGCTGCTCGAGCTGGCGACATGTACGCCTCGCACGCAGTGACAGCCGGTGGAGGCGACATCCACGCCTCGCAGGCCGTGGCTGCTCAAGCTGGCGACATGTACGCCTCGCACGCAGTGACAGCCGGTGGAGGCGACATCCACGCCTCGCGTCTCGCGCGCAGTGGTGGGCTCTTTGCATCAGAAGCTACTGCTTCGGAAGACAATCTGTCGGAGCAAACGTTTCTCTCCCGCCGGGCCGATGCGCCCCCGGCGTCGCTTGCGTTGTCGATGGTGTGCTCGCCAACAGCAACTGCGCCGCTGTTCCAGTCGGGTCTGAACATTCAGCTGACATCGATCCACGCCTCGCAAGTGGGCGCGAGTGGACCGCTTGAGTCTGGAGAGTCGAGCGAGGGACACCACAACTTGCTGATGCAAAGCTCCAAGGCGTCGTCGGACGTGGCGGCATCGCAGCAATCATTCGGTCACGCTGCGAGTGTGACGGCGTCACCAAAGCCGCGGCTTGCGTCGGTGGAGCTATCAGTCTTTCGTGCGCTCGGCATTTCCGGCATAGGCATTCCCTCGTCGGGCATCGCGTCGTCTCCGGTCATGGGAGCGTCACCCAAGTCTGGGCTCCACTTTGATCGTCTGGCTGCAGCTGGGGTTGAGGGCCACGACGGGCTGCCGTCGATCATGATTCCTGATGCTTCGGTGTCAATGACTGGGTCAGTCACCGAGCATGGCAAGTCGGACGACGTGGCTGAAGTAGTCAAGTCCAGGTCTGGCGAGATGAGGGGCGGCTGTCTGCCGTCGGACTCAACGGCCTCAGTTGCGACAGTCTCGGGCCAGTCAGGCGACTCACAGACGTGCCGGTTGGAGCGTGTGCCCGAAGGGGGCGTGTTCTCATCGTCCGGGCCGCGCGCGCCGATCGTGTCCAACAAGTCGATGCGGTGGCTCATTCCGATGCGTAAGGTGGAAGCCATGCTACGCGATCGGCCTCACCAGTGGCCGAACCTGACGCTGGTCTCGTCATCGCCGCTGGGTACCTTTCTGGTTCGGCGCCACTTTCGCGACTTTATGCCTGTGCGACTTGCGATCAACGCGTCGGCAGACGTGGTGCGGCTCAAGATGCTACGGTCGCGGCTCGAGCTGCCTAAAGTGGTCGGCGTTACGCTCGCGAGCTCGTTCATCTTTGTCATTTACCGGGTCAAGCAGCCGTCGACCGTCTACGCGCTGAAGGAGTGCTGCTTCTGTGGCCGGTGCAGAGGCGAGAAGCAGATTCGCGAGGTCGCCTCAGGTGACTCGGTGTCGAGGAGGCAGGCCAACTTTGTGCGGAGCCACCCCCTGCTACGTCCAGATGGCGCCAACCACGCTGAAGGCGATATGGCCAACTCGATGAGCTCGTTGCCGTCTGACGATGTCTCAACAAGGTCGCTGCCCAAGAACAAGCTGGTCTGTCTCAATACGGTCCAACGCCGGCGAGTGGCGCTCACGGTAGTTTCTGCTCTTCTCCATTTGCACCAGTCGGGCACAATCCACGGCGCCCTGGGCATGTCAGCTATTGGCTACTGTGTGCGGACCGGTCTCGCGGTCGTCATCGACTACGGTCTGCCGTCGCTCTTGCAGACGCTGGCATCAACAGCGTCCATCGGCAACGCACCGATCCTGGCACCTGAGGTTCTCAACGGTGGCGACTTTACCAAGGCTGCCGACATCTACTCGCTCGCCATGGTTCTGTACGAGATCCTTATGGGCGAGCCGCCGTACCCAGAGCACACTGCGATCGAGCGGGCACTCGCGCTCTCTTCGACGCCGATGGTCGAGTCGTTGGCCATGAAGTCCGTCCTCGTCAAACCGCTGCGACAACTGCTGGGCAAATGCTGGGACATGCGGCCGAAGAAGCGCCCATCAGTCCAGCAGATCTACAAGTCGCTCACCAAGCTCAACGTCTGGTTCAAGTGATAGCTGCACTCGGCCTGATCGAGTTCCAAGCAGGAGCCGTAGCCGTAGCCGGAGCCGTAGCCGTAGCCGAAGCCGCTTCCAGCCGTAGTCACCCAAACACACCCACCTCCACCACCGTCACCCACCCTCTATCGAACTGCCGTCTCTCCTGCCCAGCCACACTACCATCACCGTATCGCTTTCCATCCGATCTCGCTCTCTGCCCAATCTCGCTCTCCGCCCGATCTCGCTCTCCGCTCACCCAACAAGCGTCATGTCCCAAAGCCACCACCACCGAATCTTTCTAGCTCACATTTTCAGCTTGCTGCTCATAGCGATGCCGACAGCAGCGCTCCGCTCCGTCCCGCCCTCGTCCGCTCCTCTCATGATCCCCCTGCCACCGGGACCCCCTCTCCCCCCCAGCCCCCCAGGCTAAACACCCAACTAAGTCTGAGCATCTTTGGCAAACATAGTTGTGTGCGACAGCAGACAACAAGTATGATGCTTGCAAGTGGGATTGCATGGGTGGGGAGCGTGGTAGCGGCGGCTATGTGCTTTGCTATCGGTTCCAATGATGTCTGTCAATCGTTGGCAGTGGGCTCTGGTGCGGTTGCCGTCTCGACAGCATTGGCTATGGGAGCTGTGGCAGAGTTCCTTGGTGTCGTTCTTATGGGTGGTGGTGTTGCTCGTGCTGTTAAGGAAGGCTTCGTTGTCTTGGATCTTTATGCCGATACTCCTATCTTTCTCTCCCTTGGCATGTTTGCTACACTCGCTGCTGCTGCTCTCTGGCTCCTCGTCTCTACCTACGCTCAACTGCCGGTCTCTACCACACACTCGGTTGTTGGTGGTCTTGTTGGTTTCGCTTTGCTCACAAAGGGCTCCATCGCTCTCAAGGCTGGCTTCTTTTCAAACGTCGCCCTCTCTTGGGTCCTCTCGCCGGCTCTAGGCGCCGCTGCCTCCTTTGCCATCTTGAAGATCATCAACAGCCTCATCTTTGACGCTGGTGATCGTGGTGCTACTCTTCGTGCCCGCCGCTATCTTCCGCCTATCAACGCTGCTACTGCGTGGATCATGGCTTTGTTTATTGCCTACAAGGGCTTGCCAAACCTCGGCTACTACCTGTCGTCCGCTCAGGCGCTCGGCGCATCGGCACTGATCGCTGCTGCCGTCTGGGCCCTCTCGCTCATCGGTGTGCTTCCGGCTGGGAGAGGCAACGGCTTGGGCAAGACGGTCTCGGCCTCGCTGCCCATCACGCTGGACGGATCGGCGCATGGTGCGGCCGAGAACGCTTTTGTGCCGCTGCTTGTTGTCACCGCCCTGCTTGTCGCATTCGCGCACGGCTCCAATGACGTCTCCAACGGCGTCGGCTGTCTCCTTGTCATGCGCGAGGTTGCCGAGCACGGCCGTCTTCTCACTGCCGCCGACGTCTCACCTCCCATTCCGTCGTGGATCATGGTCATGGGCGGGCTCTCGATCTCGGCTGGCCTGCTTGCGCTCGGAGCGCGGGTCATGGCCACCATGGGCTCGCGGATCACCAAGCTCACGCCGTCGCGCGGCTTTGCAGCGCAGTTGGCCACCTCGACAACCGTTCTTCTTGCCACCGCCCTCAACATGCCGGTCTCGTCGACCCACACCATGGTGGGCGCGGTGACCGGCCTCGCCCTCGCCTCGCGTGGCTCGGCGGCTGACATCAACTACGGCACCATCAAGAAGATCGTTGTCTCGTGGGTCATCACACTTCCTATCGGCGCCGTCACAACTTTGGTCATCTTTTATCTGCTCAAGGCTCTCTTTTACACCTCGGGCTGATGGCTTACTCGGTGGCCGGCGCGATGCGGGTCATCTTGTCGAGGCTGAACCTCTCCACGGCATCCTTGGTGGCCGCGCCAAAGGCTGCAAGATGCGGTGCTTTAGAGTGCGCCTCCAGCAGCTCTTCGGACTCCCACGTCTCGTAGAAAACAAAGTGCTTGTCGTCGGCGTTGTCCACGTGCAGATCGTAGCCCAGGCAGCCGGCTTCGGCCAGAGTGATCGGGATGAGCTTCTCGAGCTCGGAGCGAACAAGCGCCTGCTGACCATCCTTGGCATGAATGTGAACAACAACAGTGACCGGCGAGGTGGTCATGATGGGAAGGAGAGAGGAAGAAATGGAGTACCGACTGGGTTGGGACGAGCGGGAGAGTGAGCAGACATGAGCCGAATCAAATAGCGTCAAGAGTGATGATGACGTGATGTTTTCGTGCGGCGGAAAGCGTGCGGGGATTATCGCATGAGCAACGTACAGTGTATAGGTTGCGCCCATGCAACAGATGCCCTCACCCAAACGTCTACCTTCTCATCAAGCCCATATGGCCGACAAAGACCATCTGCGTTGGATTTGTTGTAGTTAAAGACTGATCGCTACATGGAACGATACATGGAACGATAAGATGGTACAGCCAATAAAATCAGCCAGAGTCGAATTCGCCGTCGACGCGCAAACTGCGACCTTTTTTGGCCGGCAAACTTTGGTTTGGCGGTGCCGGCGACGGACACGACCACTCGATGATTTCGGCGCGGGCGAGGGCACGGGCGAGGGCGAGGGCGGACGACTCTGGGCACACCTCACCCCCCTCCCCCCGGACCAGTAGGAGAGGGGAGAGGGGAGAGAAGCAGTTGTGTGTGTGTGTGTGTGTGTGTGTGTGTGTGTGTGCGGCGAGCATGCGAAGAAGCAGGCTGCGTAAGCCACGGCAGTACCTGGCCTCGCCAGTCAAGGTACTGTCGCTGACCTCCACAACAACAACAGCAACGACGACAACAACCGCATCATCATTGTCATCGTCATCATTGTCATCGTCATCAATGTTGTTGTCTGCCTCGGGAGCACCAATGAGGTTGTCTGGAGGAGAGGAGAACATATGTCCACAGACCTATGCCATGACCAGGACCAAGCCCAAGACAGCCAAGGCCGAGGCTGACTCGCACGCGCCACTATCATTGTCATCATCATCATCATCATCATCATCATCATCGTCATCGTCATCGTCATCATCTGGGAATGCTCTCGTTCGGACTTGTACGGCTGGTGGCATTGGCTTGGGCAAAGAGAAAGGCCCTGATCCGTGCGTAGAGGTCATCTTGCTCTCGTCGCCGGAGTCCCCGCGAGGCACAGGATGCACGGCTTCCGTGTTGGCAAGCACCGGTGGTGAGCCAAGCTCGCCGGTACGTGCTCGATCGCAGTCGTCCGACTCGTTCCAGTGGTCGCCGGTGAGACAACCGATGCCAACGCGATCTCCGTCGTCCTCACCACCGCCAGCTGTCGCTTCCAACGAGCCGTTTGTCTGTCCGCTCTGCTCCAAGACTCTGCCTAACGTCAGGAGCTACGTCGACCGCGCAGCACACGTCGCCTGCTGTGGCGACATGGATCTCGGCCTTCCGAGAGCAAAAACACCTTCTGCGGAAGCGTCGTGCATGTGCTCGATTTGTGGTGTCTCGCTCGACCATCTCACCCCAGCCCGGCGCACCATCCACGTCAACCGCTGTCTTGATCCGGAGCCGGCGGCGCGTGCTCCTGCGGCCATGAGGCCGGCCGGCATGGATCTGGCGCTGGAGGAGCCAGCGGCGACCGGGACGTCGATTGCCGACCCAGTGTGGGCCTGTCCGCTCTGCTTGCGGGACAAGTCGGATCTCGATTTTGTGTCGCGGCTGCAGCACCTCAAGGTCTGCGCAGGACGGAAGGGCATTTCTCCGCTCGGCGTCCGCGCGTTGGTGGCGGCAAACAACCGCAAGCGGGCACGCGACGAGAGTGGCGATGCGAGCCAAGCTGACGAAGCGCCGCTGGTCCAGACTCGCCTTGCTGCCAAGCGACGCAAGGGATCTGAGCAGGCGTTTGAGGCCATTGCAGCTCGCAAGGCGGCGGCCAAGGCGGCGCGGGTCCAGCGATCGCGGGTCGGTAAGACGCCCAAGTCTGCCTTTGAAGCCGACACACTAGCGGCCATGGCGCTCTCCAACTCACTCAACGGCGACAAGCACATGGACACTCTCATCCGCAAGCCTGCTGATGCCCGCGAGTACATCACTGCCGTCTCGCCGCATGGCGCGTCGGTAGTGGCGAGTGTTCTGGCGGCGGGCGGGTCGCCGTCGCCGTCACCGTCGTCGACGACGGCGGCACTTGCAGCGTCGGTCCTATCGCGCCCGCCGGCGCACCCAGTTGCCGCTACCTCGCCGTCGTCATGGACGCTTGCGGCAGCGGCCCAAGCGCCGGCTGCCGCGTACTACACCGAGCGCATCCGCTCGTCGGCGAGGCCGGCCGCAGCGAATGATCCCCCAGAGTCGGAGACCGACGCGCTTGACGCGCTCTGCGCGGCGGCTAGCAGCGAAAGCGACGACGAAGTCGACGCAGGCTACACTGCCGCAGAGAGTGTGACCGCGCTTGATGCGCTGTATGCCCGGCGGATGACCCATCTCAACGCCAGCATCGAGGCTGCGCGCGCCCAGCTCCGCAAGCTCCAAGCCCAGCAGGATGACGAGGGCGAGCAGTATCGGGCAGCGCGGACGGCGCTGGCATCGAAGACGCCAGTTGATTCATTCCCGGCACCGCGAACCGAGTCTGAGTCTCAGCCTCAGCCTCAGCCTGTGGTAGTCGACGTCCCGACGGCAATGGTGACGCCGGCGCGAAGTGCGGTGCCGGCGCGGTTGGGACGGACGCCGCAGATTGCCACACCGCGGTCGCCATTTGATGGCGAGCCTGATTTCGAAGCGTACTCGGACAAGGATCTGGTGGCCTTTCTGCGGAAGCATGGCATGGCGCGGGCGTCCAGGCGGGCGATGCTGACCTCGGCACGCGAGATCTGGCGCGCACTGAATGTGCCGCGGTTCAACGAGCGCATGGTGCAAAAGGCGCGCAATGCGGTGCGCGCCGCCGCTGTTGTCGGTGATGATGAATGCGCGCCGCCAGTACAACCAGCTGTCCTCACCGCTGCTGACCAGATGGCCAGCCTTGAGCCACTGGTGGTTGCTGCCGTCTCCGGCAGCCACGAGCTCGCCGAGACCGTGGCGCGGCTCCAACCGCTTGGTCTCTCTGCAGTTGTCAACGCAGTCCGAGCTGCTGCCGCCGCGCAGCCCGGATCGGCCAATCCGCTCGAGGGCATTTCAGCTGCCGCTCTTCGCCGTACGGTTGCTGCTGTTCTCGTCACAAAGTGCGTTCTCTTTGCCGACGAGCACAAGCCATCGGGTCGTCGACACAAGCAGCGCAAGTCGGCTTCCTCCCGCTCATCGGCATCCCGACGTCAGTAGCCCGATAGTGGCCTACCGGCTTCCCTGTACTGGAAACGTTACCATAGATATCACACTATCTGTTCGCGCTCGCGCTCGCAGCTGGAGAGCGCCTCGTCGATCATCGCCGTCCATGGTCGCAACTCCAGCTACAGCCGAATGTGTTCCGCTCCGCCCGCTCGCTCTCACCGCCCACCCCGCCGGCCCAAGACCGAATCAAGTTCACACTCATCTCTCTCTCACTCACACACACACACACATCTCCCTTCTTGGTCATCATGAGCTTTATCGGACGTAGTGTTCTTCCTGGAGCTGCGCGTGCTGTGCGTAGCATCGGGCAGAGGAGCCAGGTGCGACTCGGCTCGAGGAGCAGCAGCAGCGGTGTGGGTGGTGGCAACGCTCGGGCCACCCAGTCTCGGAACAACGCTCTGTTGGCCCTGGCTCTTACGGGATTCGGTGTTGGAACGTATTGGTGGACTATGTCGGCAGTCTCAAATGTAGGTCTTCTTCTCCTTCTTCTATCTCTCTATCTAGCCTGTGCCTTGGGAGCTGCACCTTCTCTGCTCGGATCGAACGCCTGCTCGTGTCGCGTCATGCAGTTGGGATGAAGGCGGGGGGGAGGGGGGCAGGTGCCGGCATGACACGCACATGCACCGACTTGGCTCACTCACATACTATATATTGGGGATGGAAACGGACTTGGAAATGCGGTTCGGGCCGGGATCGCTCGGAATGGCTTGTATCGGACGTGGTATTGGTTGGGGCGACCGGATCAATGGTGGACTCGACCTGGGGTGGGTGGTGTGTAGAACGACTTTAACAAGGTTGATGAGATGGGCAACCTCATTGTTCCGGGATCGTCGGCAGCAGCTTCGTCGTCGTCATCGTCGTGAGTCTCAATGGCTTGAAGTTAGCCAATCGTTGTGATGTATGCGTTCAATGGTTGATGAGCCTGGTGCGCTCGGTAGGGAAACTGGGGGCACTGTGGTCGATGCGCTCGTGGTCGCTGCCGTCGCCGTGGCTGTGGCTGTGGCCATGGCTTGGGCCGTGGGCAAAGCCCATGTAAACGAGGGCGCAAAAGCCAATGCAGTCGATGGCCAGCGCTGAGAGCTTGATGATCTCAAACTGCTGGGCCCAAGCAATGTGCGAGAGCTCGTTGAAGTAGATGAGCTCGGTGGCGGTGAGCACGCCGAGCGGGAGGCCTGACCACAGCAAATCAAGCGCGAGTAGCGACTCAAGCTTTTGAATCGAGTGGTGGGTGGCGTGATCAAGGGTGCGGAAGCCGTGGCGGAACATGCTCTTGACCATCATCCACATCATCTTCACCCGGATGAACGCGAGTCCGATCTTCCACACCACAAGCATCATGAAAAACATCGGAGCGTTCTGGCACGTCAGATCCGGCGGGTCGCGGCTCTTGTCTGTGTCATCTGGCAAGCCCTCCGCCCGGTTTGCAGTGATCCGGTTTGCCCGGCTCATTTCCGCCGAGAGCTTGTACACCACCATCGACGGGATGACGCCAACAATGGTGAGAATGAGCCGGACAATGAGAAAGGTCGTCTCGAGCTGCTCCTTGACCTCGTCTTCGTCAGACTCACTACTTTCTGCGCCAAGCACACCGCGGTACGACGACGATGATGACGACGACGACGAGTCGCTGTACTGGTCGCGCTGCGAGACAATGACCACCTTGACCAACAGTGCAATGTCGGCAAGCAGATCAGCAAGCCCGCCAAAGTGGATGAAGAGGACAATGAGAAAGTAGAGCGGCAGCGCTCGTGACTCGAGCTTGGCCACCATCCAGGCGAGAGGAAGGAGCGCAAAGGCAGCGACTGCCATGACTGCGCCCTCGACTACAAAGGGAGCAAGGAATGCAGTCAGGACAAACGCGGCAAGGACAGTGCACCCGCCCAAAGACTTGATCGACCGGTATCCGCGCCGGATAGTCTTCACAATGTCGAGCGCCACTTCGTTGAGGCCAAACGACCTGACCCAGACAGATGCGCCGATAGCAGCCAGAACAAAGATGCCACAGGTGATGGCGAGCATGAGATGCTTCTGCTTGGCGGTCAGCGACGATGGCTGCCACTCGGCCGGTGCAGGCGCGTTTGTGCAGTACACAACCGCATTGTCCTGGTCCATCACGCTGTCGTGCTCGATGGCGCTTGCCAGGCCAAAGCCGTTGATGGTGACAAAGCGGCGGTCCGCCACCACACGCTCGATGTGGCCAACAATCTTGGGCGCTGAGAAGATCACCCGAGAGTAGCCGAGCTTGAAGCACGGAAAGTTGACCATCGAGACCTGGAGATGCGAGCCCAGAACAAGTGGCGTCGGCGAGGGCGGAAAGTTCGGCTGAACGTCGGCGTTATCGTCAAACTCAAGCATCGCCGACACGAGGCTCAGGTTGAAGCCGGCACCCGAGCTTTGTAGAAAGTCACAGTTTGTGAGCGGGATAAGAAAGTCTTGTGGCGAGCCGCCGTTGTCAAGCATCACAGCGGGCTTGTCGATGTAGGTCACCGCATCCGAGCACATCATGTCGCGCAGCATATCGTAGCGAACAAGTGCCTGGCTGATGCCGGCGAGGACAAGTGTACCAGGGCCTGAAACTGTTCCATGGCTAATCCGCGGATAAACCCCCCGGAGCGTCACTTTGGTGCCGATCCCGAGGTGTATCTCGCCGCCGTTGCGGACGTTGATTGGGGCGAGAAACCGCGGGTTGACCAGGTCGACCACCATGTCGTAGCCGTCGCCGAAGATCAGCTTGCCGCCGTCGACGTCGATGGAGCCGACGGAAAACGAGAGCGAGAACAGTGTATTGCCATACGTGACGGCGCCCTGTGAGCCGATCTTCAAGTCGATGTTGCTCACTTCGGCGCCGATTGTGGCCGTCGTGTTGAAAGTGACTTGCGGGAGAGACGGCGGTTCACCCGAGGGGCTCGCCGGCCCACGCAGAATAGACATGATTGCGTTATCAAACAAGCCACTGATGAAGATCACCTCGACAGCTGGATCGGTGATGACTAGGCCGGTGAATAATTGATAGCTGGAGGAGGACCATTGCGACGGCTGGGTTGAGATGTATGGCGAGAGCTGGACCATCAGGTAAATACCTAACTGTTCAAAAGCCGCATTCACCGCCGCCAGCTTGAGGTTAACGACTGGATGAGGGCCAAAGTGCATTGGCCCGTTGAGCATGCAGTTGATGTTGAGGCGGGGCGCAGCGATGGAGGACTCCGTCGACGTGAAGGCAATGGAGCTTGATGAGTCGCATACGACAGAGAATGAAGCATCAAGCTCACCAAAGCCATCCTTTGGAGTCACACTCATCGATCTAGCAGTTGCCTGGAGATCGGTTGGCAAAGTGAGCTTGAGATCACTGCCGCTCTCCAGAGTGATAACCACGTCCGAGTCGGAGTTTGGCACATGCGGAGGGTCCCACACCGCCTTGTTGCTCCAATCGCAAACACCGTCGCAAACGAGCTGGTGCTTGACCCCAAGCGCAGTGGAGGGAGAGTAAACCACAATGACAACAAGCACAAGAAACAGGAAGAGCCGCCACTTGGTCACCATGGCTGGATCGGTGTCTGAGCGGCCGGCCGTGCGGTGAGGAGAGTGACAGATGCCTCGATCCGCCGGCGTCTTCCCTCAACATGTTGATAGGTGGCGGAGGGGGTTGGTCGAAGTGGACGGAGCGCGAAAAAATATTCGCCATCCACAATCCACAATCCCACAACTTCTTCCCCCGCGACCCGACCCCCCCACGGACAACACACCGCACCACTTATCTTAGACCGAAGCAAACATGTCTGCTGAGACCTTTGACCCCGCCCGCAAGCTCAACGTCGTCATCATTGGCCACGTCGATGCTGGCAAGTCCACCATGACCGGCCGTCTCATCTACGAGCTCGGCGGCATCGACGAGCGCGCCAAGGAGAAGCTCGAGCAGGCTGCTGCCGAGAACAACAAGGCCGGTTTCGCCTTTGCCTACTTCATGGACACGTCCAAGGAGGAGCGTGAGCGCGGTATCACCATCGACTGCCAGACGTCGTCGTTCCGCACCACCAACTACGACTACTCGATCACCGACGCCCCCGGTCATGCCGATTTTATCACTAACATGATCACCGGTGCCGGCCAGGCTGACGTCGCGGTCCTCATGGTCCCGGCTGACGGTAACTTCGAGGCATCGATTGCCAAGCCGTCCGGCATGATGGCTGGTGGCCAGACCCGCCAGCACGCCAACCTCGCCAACCTGCTCGGCATCAAGCAGCTCGTGGTTTGCGTCAACAAGATGGATTCGTCTGAGGGCGGCGCCTACAACGAGGCTCGTTTCAACGAGATCCGCGATGAGGTCTCGCGCATGATCGACGAGGCTGGCTTCCACTCGGCCACTGTCCCGATCATCCCGGTTTCCGGCTGGGTTGGTGACAACCTCACCTCGCCGACCGAGAACATGCCGTGGTACAACGGCTGGTCCGGCCGGTACGGCTACACCGCCAAGCGCAAGAAGAAGGGCTTCGAGATTGTCGGCGGCACCGAGATCAAGGGCAAGACCCTTGTCGAGGCGCTCGACAACTACATGCGCATCCCCGACCGTGACGCCAACGGCCCGCTCCACCTTTCGGTTTCGGGCTCGCGCCTCATCCCGGGCCAGGGTCTCGTGACCATGGGCCGGATTGAGATCGGTACCATCCGCAAGGACGACGTCGTCGCGCTCGCGCGCAACGGCCTGTCTGGCAAGACCTTCTCGATCCAGATGCACCACCAGGACGTGGACGCCGGTATTGCTGGCTTCAACGTTGGCATTGTGGTCAAGTTCCCGAAGGGCACCAAGCCGAAGCAGGTCAAGCGTGGTGACCTCCTGTACCGCCCGGCTGACTACGCCGACAAGCAGGAGCTCCTCCCGCGCCGCGTCAAGTCGTTCCGCGCCATGATCCGCGTGCAGAACCACCCTGGTGACCTCAAGGTCGGCTTCTGCCCGCAGATGTGCGTGCGTACCGGCCGGTGCGCTTCGCGCATTTCGGAGATCCACTGGGTGATGGGCAAGCGCACTGCTGGCCAGAAGCTCGAGAACCCGGAGTTCGTCCGCAAGCACGAGATGGCCGAGATCACCTTCGAGCCGCAGGGCTTCCTCTACTGCGAGACCTTTGAGCGCTCGGAGTCGTACGGCCGTGTTGCCGGCCTCGAGTCGAAGACCCTTGTCTTCATGGGCAAGATCATCGATGTTGAGTACGCTTAAATCGGACCACTTTTGGACACGAGGGAAGAGATGGGAATGAGCGAGAGAGAGTTGATCGCGAGTGGTGCGCGATGTGAGCGAGCAGATGGTTGCGGGCGGGCTCGGGCGTGGGTGCGGGTGCGGGGACATTCGTTTGGACAAAGTGGACGGAACGCGAAAAAATATTCGCCATCCACAATCCACAATCCCACAACTTCTTCCCCCGCGACCCGACCCCCCCACGGACAACACACCGCACCACTTATCTTAGACCGAAGCAAACATGTCTGCTGAGACCTTTGACCCCGCCCGCAAGCTCAACGTCGTCATCATTGGCCACGTCGATGCTGGCAAGTCCACCATGACCGGCCGTCTCATCTACGAGCTCGGCGGCATCGACGAGCGTGCCAAGGAGAAGCTCGAGCAGGCTGCTGCCGAGAACAACAAGGCCGGTTTCGCCTTTGCCTACTTCATGGACACGTCCAAGGAGGAGCGTGAGCGCGGTATCACCATCGACTGCCAGACGTCGTCGTTCCGCACCACCAACTACGACTACTCGATCACCGACGCCCCCGGTCATGCCGATTTTATCACGAACATGATCACCGGTGCCGGCCAGGCTGACGTCGCGGTCCTCATGGTCCCGGCTGACGGTAACTTCGAGGCATCGATTGCCAAGCCGTCCGGCATGATGGCTGGTGGCCAGACCCGCCAGCACGCCAACCTCGCCAACCTGCTCGGCATCAAGCAGCTCGTGGTTTGCGTCAACAAGATGGATTCGTCGAGGGCGGCGCCTACAACGAGGCTCGTTTCAACGAGATCCGCGATGAGGTCTCGCGCATGATCGACGAGGCTGGCTTCCACTCGGCCACTGTCCCGATCATCCCGGTTTCCGGCTGGGTTGGTGACAACCTCACCTCGCCGACCGAGAACATGCCGTGGTACAACGGCTGGTCCGGCCGGTACGGCTACACCGCCAAGCGCAAGAAGAAGGGCTTCGAGATTGTCGGCGGCACCGAGATCAAGGGCAAGACCCTTGTCGAGGCGCTCGACAACTACATGCGCATCCCCGACCGTGACGCCAACGGCCCGCTCCACCTTTCGGTTTCGGGCTCGCGCCTCATCCCGGGCCAGGGTCTCGTGACCATGGGCCGGATTGAGATCGGTACCATCCGCAAGGACGACGTCGTCGCGCTCGCGCGCAACGGCCTGTCTGGCAAGACCTTCTCGATCCAGATGCACCACCAGGACGTGGACGCCGGTATTGCTGGCTTCAACGTCGGCATTGTGGTCAAGTTCCCGAAGGGCACCAAGCCGAAGCAGGTCAAGCGTGGTGACCTCCTGTACCGCCCGGCTGACTACGCCGACAAGCAGGAGCTCCTCCCGCGCCGTGTCAAGTCGTTCCGCGCCATGATCCGCGTGCAGAACCACCCTGGTGACCTCAAGGTCGGCTTCTGCCCGCAGATGTGCGTGCGTACCGGCCGGTGCGCTTCGCGCATTTCGGAGATCCACTGGGTGATGGGCAAGCGCACTGCTGGCCAGAAGCTCGAGAACCCGGAGTTCGTCCGCAAGCACGAGATGGCCGAGATCACCTTCGAGCCGCAGGGCTTCCTCTACTGCGAGACCTTTGAGCGCTCGGAGTCGTACGGCCGTGTTGCCGGCCTCGAGTCGAAGACCCTTGTCTTCATGGGCAAGATCATCGATGTTGAGTACGCTTAAATCGGACCACTTTTGGACACGAGGGAAGAGATGGGAATGAGCGAGAGAGAGTCGATCGCGAGTGGTGCGTGATGTGAGCGAGCAGATGGTTGCGGGCGGGCAAGGGCGGGGCGGGTGCAGGCGCGGTGACGTTCGTTTGGACACATATCACATCAATCACGTGCATCACAAACCATCCTGTAGACAGCCCCACCCACACACCCAACGCGGTGAGGTGACACGCCCACGCACATTACCTCTCGCCATCAGTAACACACCCATCATGAGTATCATGTTGCTTGTCATCTGTTGCGTCATTATTATTAGTGTGGAGGGTATGACCGCCGACTTTGCGAGGAACAACTCGTTGACGTGGACGACGCCGCAAGGAGGAGCGACACGGAGCGGAGCTGGACCCATGCCGATGACTATGTATGGACCATTGTACACATCATGGAGCAGGTCAACAAGTGTCAACGCCTTCAATACTATGGTTATTGGTTCCGTCGAAGGTTCTACCAAACTGGTTGCTCTCACCGATGTGGCTTTGAGTGTCTGGGATGTCGAGTCTGGTTCCCTTGATTATCAATACACGGTTTATCGTTGGCTCGGCTCGCATCAGTTGCAAGGCATCGCTCTCTGGCCAACTCTAGCTGGAAAGGGGGATACCCTTGTGGCATCTGTCTCTAACTCTGGCGCTGACGTCTTGTACCTCCGCGTCAATGTTGCTGCTTGGGAGCTCAAGACTGGTCAGCCGATCTGGTTCTTCACCCCAAAGGCGCCTGTTGCCGGCACTTCCATTAGTGGCATCTCGTGCGTGGCTGCCGTGGCTTCCTCTGCAGCTCCTCCTCCACCTGTCTGGTGTCTCGGCGGCTTGTTTGTCAACCAACGATCGTACATCAATACCACTCTTTACGAGCTTGATGCTTCATCCGGCAAGGTCCTTGCCGAGACGCTGCTCTTTCAGCGCTCCAACGGATTCTACCTCGACACGAGTGAGGGTGCGAGTCCGACGCTCTCAGCGGATGGCTCGATGCTGTATGTTGCATACGGCGAGTACTCGGTGATTACTACAGGCTCGACCCGTGTCGCTGCCTACGATCTCGCCGGCGGCGTGCCTGCCCTCAAGTGGTCGGTCTCCACCGGGCTGATGGACGACCAGATTCCAGCCCTTGCCATTGTTGTTGTCTCGCCGACTCGGCTGGCAGTCGGCCTACAATCGGGCAAGTCGAGCCCAAACCCCTCGAGCGTCGTGATTCTCGATGCGGAGACTGGTGCCACCATCGGCGAGGAGGAGGTCGAGGACGCACTTGCGTATGTGGTCGGCAAGGGCAACATGGTGTACGCAGGTGGAGCATTCGACACGGTTGTGGCCATCGACTTGCGCAACAGCGGCATGAAGACTTCGCGGATCATACTGCCGTCGGCCTCGGCGACTACCTCGGCCATTCTCGGCTCGAACGGTGCGCTCGTCTTCCAGCTCGTTCACCTCGACGCGAGCTGCTACTTTTACTATCTCGACGCGGACTCGGGCACGCCTGTGGCGTGGTCGTCGACCGAGTGCGATGGTACCGGGCTTGCCGCTACTGATCATCTCCTCTTCCGTGGCAACAACTTTGAGGTGACGGCCGACTGCCTGGTCGAGCCGTGCCCGAGGATTGCACCTCCGCCGCCGCCGGCTCCGTGGACGCCCGATTATTATCCGCCGCCATCACCGTGGTTCCCATGGCACACGGTGGCCATCATGGGTGCGGCTGTGGTCATTGCACTTGCTATCGGTGCCATCTTTGTCATCCGGTCTCGCTATCGCCGGCGGATGAGTTACGGGCCGCTTCTCGAGCAGCCCGGCTACGTCAGCGGCCAAGGTCCAGTGATCGGAAGCGGATATGTGGGACCGGCGCCGGCGCCTGAATCGGGGCTTACACCGCCATCGTATTCCACTAACTACGGCGGGGTGGCGCCTGTGGCAGGCGGAGTGGTGGCTGCGGGCGAGGCGCCCCCGGCATACACGCCAACTACCACAGGGACTGTCTAGATCTTACACTCTGTGACTGTTTAGCCTGGTGAGCGCGACATTGAAGAGATGGGCAGCTTGTTGTGCGCCATCAGTATAAAGCCTGGGTGCTTCTTACTTTACCAAACGTCCTGCTGGTAGCGGCCGGCCTTTGCGAGCTTCTCCATGTAGTACTTGGCCTTGTTCGGCTTGATGCCGGCGTTGTCGACGATGAGGGCTTCGAGGGCGGTGCGGACGTCGGCAGCCATGTTTTGGCATCGCCGCAGATGTACAGGTAGGCGTGCTGGTTGTGGATGAGGTCCCAAACCTGTGCGGCGTGCTCGGCAATCTTGTGCTGGACGTAGATCTTGGAGGGGCCGACACGCGAGAAGGCGATGTGGAGCGAGGAGAGGGTGCCTGAGGCCTGGTAGGCGTCGAGCTCGTCGGCGTAGAGGTAGTCGGTGTCAGGGGTGCGGCAGCCAAAGAAGAGGACGGTGGGCCCGAGGTCGGCACCTGCGGCGCGATCGGCGTCGCGGTCTTGGAGGAAGCCACGGAAGGGGGCGATGCCAGTGCCCGGGCCGACCATGATGCACGGGGTGGCCGGGTTGGGCGGCGGGCGGAAGTGCGAGGTGCGGATGAAGATGTCGCAGGTGTCTGCACCCGGAGCGAGCGAAGCGAGGTAGTTTGTGGCGACGCCCTTGCGAAGGAGGCCCGATGCCGAGACGTACTGGAGAACGACGGCGGTAATGTGAACCGAGTTCGGGTGCTGCTTGTGCGACGACGAGATCGAGTAGTAGCGCGGGATGAGCTTGGGCATGAGCTCGACAAAGTAGCCCATGTCGTCAAAGACAATCGAGTCAAAGCGGGCGAGGACGTCGTCGATGGTGGCGCAGCCGTCGACGACAAACGCCTTGTACTTGGCCTTGCCCGACTCGGAGCGCATGTCAACCATGTCCTCCAGCTCGGCGCGATGGGCGTCGTCAGAGGCAAGCTCAGCGAGAGCGCGGAGGACGTAGCGCGACGGCGGGGTGGTGATGTCGACATACTTTGTGACGACGTTGCGGAAGGTGGTGGCACCCGGAAAGTACGGCTTCTGGGCGGCGTCGACGGGCGGCATCTCGAGCACGATCTCCGGGTCAAAACCGAGGCGGCCGATGACGGCGTCAACTAGCTCGGGGTCGTTGTGCGGGAGGACACCGAGGTGGTCGCCGGTCTCGTAGCTGAGGCCTGAGCCGGAGAGGTCAAAGTGGACAAGGCGACACGAGCGGTCCGATGCCTGGCCATGGAGCTCGACGTTGGCGGTGATGAGGGCTGGGAACGGGTGGCGTGCGTCAAAAGTGCCCGGGGCCGGTGGGGTCGGCGGCTGCGGAAGCGATGGGAGGATGCGGGTCTCGTAGAGGCGGATGAGCGAGTTGTCGGCCATGTCGAGGTCGACGCCGAGGACCTCGACAAGGGTCGGCCAGAGCTCGGTCTGCCACGCCAGAAAGTCCTCCTCCATCTGGCCGTCCTCATCACCCTCACCACGGACGTAGACGCGCGAGCCGCCGAGACGCTCGATGTGCTCGTCGACGGAGCGGCCCATAAACTGGTAGTGCTCGTAGGTCTTGTTGCCGAGGGCAAAGACGGTGAACTGGAGGCCTTCGAGAGCATCCTCATCCGCTTCTTCGGTCAACCACTCGTGGAACTCGACAGCTGAGTCTGTCGGCTCGCCCTCGCCGTAGGTAGCGACGACAAAGCAGGCGACAGCCTCTGCGCCCAGAGACGCGAGCGATTCAAACTCGATGGAATCGACATCAAGAACGAGAGGAACACACGCATGACGACGAGACTCTGCAGCGAGACGCTGAGCAAAGTCTTCCGAGGTACCTGTTTGAGTACCGTAAATGAGAATGAGATTAGCACCAGCATCGGCGGCGGCGGCCGCCACGTCCTTCTTGCCCGACCAGCTTCCCGATTTGCCAGAACCACCAGCACGAACAGCAGCCACACCAGAGAAGCTAGGGACTCTGGTAGAAGCAGAAGCAGATGTAGGACGAAAGCAAAGGTACCAAACAGCAAAGGCAATGGCAGATGCAATGATCATAGGTCCCATCAATGACTCTCCACCTGGTCCACTCTCACCTGCCACGGCTGCTGCTGCTGCCGCGGCTGCCGCGGCTGCTGACCCCGCATCGTCACCCACCGTAGCCAACACACTCATGGCGCTACAGAGTCCAGTCACTCCCACAACTTGGAAAAAACAAGCTACACTCTTTCGCGTCATTGTCCTCGTTCTTGTCGTCTGCTTGCGCGTCACTTGTGTCAACTTGGTTGGGTGTATGGCCTTGAAGAGGTAAGGGCCGTCACGGGAGGGGAGGTGCTGTCGGAGCGCGTCGTTGGCTGTGTGGCGAATTTGGCTGCGAATTTGTGGAAATGTCGCGCTTGCGCTGCCGGCTGTGACCAGGGTGTGATGATGCTTATAGCTTGCCACGACTGAGGGGGGGGGAGGGGGGGAGAGGGGGGGGGGTGGAAGGGAGGGAGGGAGGGAGGGAGGTTTGGTTAAGATCGAGGGTGTTGATGAGGGTGTTGATGAGGGGGATCATGGCGATCGCGAGGACGACAAGGTCAAGAGTGTCGTTGGCTGGGCCGAGGTAGGGATGGGGAGAGGGAGGGTGGGGTGGGAGGTAGCTTGATGTGGGGTTTCATGACTAGAAGGCAAATACCTGCTTGCCGTCCGTGGCAAAGCCCAGGTCGGCGGCGATGGACTTCATGGCCTTGACCATCGGCTTGGGCCCGCAGAGCAGCATGCGGGTGGCCGGCGAGGCCGGCGGGAGCCAGGCCTGGATCATGTCGGCCGAGACGTAGCCAACGCCGCCGTCCCATTCGGGGCTCGGCGGGTTGTTGAGCACGTAGTAGACCGAGAACTGGTCCGGGTAGGTGGCAGCGAGCGAGTCAAGATCGTCCTTGAGCAGGATGTCCTCGTAGTTGACGTTGGCAAAGATGAGGTTGAGCTTGGTGGTGTCCTCGGGATCCTCCAGCACTGCGGTGATGATCTGGAGCATGGGAGTGATGCCAGTTCCGCCGGCAATCATGCCGAGGGCGTCGGCCATGCCGCGGACGTACTTGAAGCGGCCCTTGGGCCCCTTGACGGCGATCTCATCGCCAGGCGCCATACGGTCGACATGAGTCGACATCTTGCCACCCGGGTAGACCTTGATGACCAGGTCAAAGTAGCCAAGATCGGCGTCGCCCGAGACCGGGGTGTACTGGCGAGTCACCCGCTTGCCGTCGATCTCAGCCGAGAGAAAGAGGTGCTGGCCGATGGGGAGGCCGAGAACGTCGTCAGGATGCGGCAGAGCAAACCGATAGACAGCCGTGTTGTGCGTCAGCGGAATGCGCTCGAGGAGTCTGAAAAAGCTGTAACTCTTCCCGTCGAGCACCACCGAGCCCTTCTCTTGCCCTTGCGCCATCTTGTTTCCCTTCCCTAGCTCGAGCCAAGCCTTCAAAGCCGGAGTCTCTGTCGTCCAAGCCAGAACCGGACGAACTCTTCCACAATCTCCACTCTTTGTCTGAATCTCTTCTTCAGAACTCGATCCCTGTCCCCGAGCCGAACTCGCACCACATGCCGTCGCCGCTGCGGCCTGATCCCCTCCCGTCCGAGCCGAGCCACTGGAAGCCTGCCGCGCTACCGGTGCGCTCACTAGCGCAGTATGAAGATGCCTAAGGAGCGAGAGATGTGCACGCGGCCGCAGCATCCTTTCTTCTTGTTGTGCGTCGAGTGGTACGAGCTCCCGCTGTCTGGGTGGGCTTGGGGTGGGCGGGTCGGTGTGGGGGGAGCTGGTGTTGACGTGGCGCTCGCCGAGTGGCGGCGGCGAGGGTCGGGCTGATCGATGGCGGGGCGGTTCAGATCGGCGTCTGCAAGGGCGCCATTTGGTGCTGGTGGTGGTGATGGTGTGGTGTGGTGTGGTGTGGTGTGTGTGGGGGGGTGGGGTGGGGTGGGGTGGGGGGGGGGTGGGGGATGACGATGATGGTGATGATGGCGATGACTATGATGATGACTATGATGATGATGACGAGGTTATCACAACGATGATCAAGACCATTGTCGTGACTATCATGTTCATCTTCTACAATGCTTGTCATTCTGTTCCTCACGCATGTGCGCCCGCCGTTTGCTGCAAAGTAACCAAAACCGACCATGTCTGACCTCAGCCAGGCGCGCCGTCGTCGCGCTGCGTCATCGTCCGCCGTTTGCTGCAAAGTAACCAATACCGACCATGTCTGACCTCAGCCAGGCGCGCCGTCGTCGAGCTGCGTCATCGTCATCACCTTCACCTCGCGAGTCGAGCTACCAGTTTGATCATCGCGAGTCGAGCAGCCAGCTTGATCATCGCGAGTCGTCATCACCTTCACCTCGCGAGTCGAGCAACCAGCTTGATCATCGCGAGTCGAGCAGCCAGCTTGATCATCGCGAGTCGAGCAGCCAGTTTGATCATCGCGAGTCGAGCAGCCAGCTTGATCATCGCGAGTCGAGCAACCAGCTTGATCGTCACCTTCATCTCGCAAGTCGAGCAGCCAACTTGATCATCGCGAGCCGAGCAGCCAGCTTGATCGTCACCTTCACCTCGCGAGTTTTGAGCCGAGTGACAGCTCGACGACGGGCCCTGTCCGGTGCGGTGGGCATAGAGGGGAGAGACAACGGTAGGGATAGACTCGACTTTGGTTTTGAAAGGAGGTAGTATGGAGGCGAGTAATGAGCTTGTGGGACCGAGTGGAAGTGGTCTGAGGTGGAATGGATGGGGATATGCTGATACTGAGTTCACCGTCACGGACAAGAATGAGTTGATGTTGTCGGGTCATCGCTATGAGCTCTCGGGCACACCACTGCCATCATTTCGTCCATGGGTAGAGGACAAGATGGGCTTGGATCTCAACGTATCAGATCCCCCACTTCCGCTTCATTCTGTCCTTCCTTCCGTTCCGCTTCCGGATTCCATCGTCATCCAATGGCTCAGGTCCTTGTCGCTCTCTCGCAGCCATCTCGACCACGCCAAGGCCGACGCCGATGGCGGTCAACCGTCGTCATCCAACTTGCCGCCGTCCAGTGTGGCCATCAAGCACTCGGTCGATCCTGTGACTCGGATTCATCACTCGCACGGCCACACCTGCCGCGAGGTGTGGCAGTTGCGAAAGGGTCAGCTGCCACGGGTGGCCGATGCTGTCGTCTGGCCGCTCACCGAGGACGCGGTGGCGGATGTGGTGGCGGCGGCGGCAGCGGCGGATGTGGTGCTCATGCCCTACGGCGGTGGCACGTCGGTGACCAATGCGCTCACGCTTCCGGAGCGCGACGCTGAGCCGCGACCGATTGTGGTTGTCTCGATGGCCAAGCTCAACGCGGTGCTGGACGTCGATACCGTCAACATGACTGCCACCATCCAGGCCGGCGCCGTCGGCGCGGTGCTCGGCAAGGAACTGGCCGACGGGTGGGGTGTGACCATGGGCCACGAGCCGGACTCGTACGAGTTTTCCACTCTCGGCGGATGGATCGCCACCCGGGCCTCGGGCATGCAGAAGAATGTGTATGGCAACATCGAGGACATCGTCATCTCCGTCACCCTCGTCACCCCGACCGGAACTGTCGTCAAGGACGCCGTCGTCCCACGTATCTCGGCCGGTCCTGACATCCATCACCTTGTTCTCGGCTCGGAAGGCACCCTCGGCATCATCACGTCGGCCATTGTCAAGGTCCGCCCGCTCCCGGCTGTCCGCAAGTACGGTGCCCTCATCTTCCCCGACTTTGACGCCGGCGTTGCCGCCATGTACGACATTGCCCAGGCCCACGCTGCTCCGGCCTCCATCCGCCTGGTCGACAACAACCAGTTCCAGATGGGCCAGGCGCTCAAGCCGCCGACCTCGTGGTTTGCTTCGGCCATTGCCGCCGCCAAGAAGTTCTACGTCCTCTCCATCAAGGGCTTTGAGGCAGACACCATGGTCGCTGCCACGCTGCTCTTCCTCGGCAACTCGGATGCCGACATTGCGGCCCAAGAGGCTGCGCTGTATCCGATCGCCGCCCGCCACGGCGGCATGCCGGCCGACGAGGAGAACGGCCGCCGTGGTTACGCGCTCACTTTCATGATTGCCTACATCCGCGACCTGGCCTTCCAATACTGCTTCCTCGCCGAGTCGTTCGAGACCTCGGTCCCCTGGTCCGGCGTCCGCCACCTCTGCACCTCGGTCAAAGCCGCCATTGTCGACGCAGCTGCAGCCCGGAGTATTCCGCGCGAGCCGTTTGTCACCTGCCGAGTGACGCAGACGTACGACACAGGCGCGTGCGTCTACTTTTACTTGCCTTTCTCGCCGTCGGCGTCGACAACGCCATGGACAAGTTTGACGAGATCGAGCACATCGCCCGCGTCGCCATCCTTGACGCTGGCGGCTCAATCTCTCATCACCATGGCATCGGCAAACATCGGGCCAGCTTTATGCCGCATGTCCAGTCGCCGGCCGCCAACGCAGCGCTTCGCGCCGTCAAGCGCGAACTCGACCCGACCAATGTGTTTGCCTCGGGCAACGTCCTGCCAGCCAAGCTGTAAACCGACTCGCCGCCATCACCGCCGCCGCGACCGCCGCCGCCGCGAGCCGGATCGTGACCGCGACCGGCCGTCCACCGACTCGGCCGCTATACTCGCTGCCGCTGTGCTCAGCTCGTCGATCGACTCTTGGAACGAGCGGATGTTCTGCCACGAGCGAGCCTGGTCGGTGCCGGGCCCAAGCGACGAAGCCGAGCCCGGTACCGGCGCGTGCCCACCTTCGCCGGGCGGCATGAACGGAGCGAGGCCGCTTGGCGAGCTCACAGTTGCCGGCCGCGGTCGGCTGAGCATGGCAGCCGGCGCGGTGGAGAGCGCAAAGGCTCGACCGGCCCCCGGCTCGGCGGTGACGCTTGACGCGGTGCCGGCGACACGGCGCGGGGCGCCGGTTACCCCGTGCCGTGCTCCGCGGGTGTTGACGACCGGCGCTGACTCGGCGAGGCTTGGTGGTGCGCGCGACGACCATGAGCCTCCGGCCGAGCGCGACGAGCCGGTGTCGGCGTCAGCGTCGGCGTCGGCAATGACGGCGCGGATGCGGCCGACGTTCTGCTGCACGCCGAGCGATCTCGAGCCCGAGCCGCCGCGCGGGAGCGGGCCACCTCCCGACGACGCGCCGGTTCCGACGTGCGGGCGGGCAAAGGCTGGAGCCGCCACGGCAGCATTGCGACCGTGCGAACCGTTGGTGGGGTCGGTGATGGCCTGGATGTGGCCCTCGGGCTCGGCCTCAAAGGCAAAGCCCGACGGGTGCGGGAGAATGGCGTCGGGCCAGACGGGGACAACTGTTTGCAGGAGAGTGTGGACGGCCTGAAGGGCGGCGCGGATGCCGATGTGCTCGTCGTCGGCTGTCACCTTGAGCTCCTTGACAATGTCGGCAGGCTCCGGGTAGTACCAGCGGCGAAGGTACTTGAGGGTGTAGTCGGGGAGGAGGGCGAGGACTGGAACAAGAAGACCCAAGAACCAAAAAGTCGGAGTGGCGATGACGGTTGTGCCGACAAAGTACATGTTGACGGCGTCGCGGAAAAAGGAGGCGACGTAGGAGAAGCCCACGAGCCAGCCAAAGTAGAGGACGAGCGAGGCAGCGAGGGCCGAGACGGTGACAATGTTCCAGGTGGAGAGCTCGAGGGCGGCCTTGAGGTTGACGGCGATGACGACTGCGGTAAAGATGTGGACGCCGTTGGAGAAGAGGCCAAAGACGCGGCCATCGGGCCCGTGGACGTTGTGGGCGAGGGCAGCCTCAACAAAGAAAAAGAAGACGATCGAGTGAAAGACGGCCGAGGCGACCCACGAGGCAAAGGCCCAACCATCAAAGTACTTGTTGTCCTGCCCGCGGTAGTAGAGCTTTGGATATTGAAGGAGCGAGGTTCGCCGAAGGACTTGGTCGTAGAGGCCCATGGTGATGATTGGAAGGGCGGTGAATAGGGTATTGTACATGGCGATGGTCCACCGCTCGACAAAGGTTTGCCCGGAGAAGCCGTTGAAGAAGACAAACCAAAAGGGAATGAGGGTGAGCGCCATGTTCTTGTAGAAGCAGTAGAAGATGAGAGTCGAGATGCGGTGGTAGCACCAGTGGCCGTGGACGAGGAGTAGCGGGAGGAGGAAGCGGAACTGGGCGAGAGCGTAGTCGGCCGCCAGCGCCGCCTGGCCACCCTCCTCGCCCGAGATGCCAATGCCGATGTTGGCCTCGCGGATCATGTCGACGTCGTTGGCACCATCGCCGATGGCGAGAGAGACCGGGTCGAGGTGAGCCTGGACGAAGCGGACCATCTGAGCTTTTTGAGCTGGCGAGACCCGGCAGCCAATGACAGAGACGCACTCGACAGCGAGGTCGAGAAAGGCCTCACGGAGGCGGACGGTGAGCATGTCCTCCTCCTCGACAGGGTTACGGAAGCGGTCAAAGAGCGAGAACGAGCCTGAGCCGGGCTCACCGAGGATCATGCGCATGGTGTAGCCATCGATGACGACAGCGTAGTTGACAGCCTCGGGGCCGTCGATGGCAGACGCGATGGCGGCGACTTGGTCCTCCATGAACGAGAGGAGGAGGGCCCGGACGCGGTCGAGCTCGTCGCGGTTGGTTGCGACCTTGGCCTCTTCGGACGCGTTGAGGACAATGACCTGCATGTTAGGGGTAAGGAGCTGGCACGAGTACCCGATCATGATGGCGGTCTCCTGCTTATCGCCAGTGAGGACCCAGACCTTGATGCCGGCTTCGCGGAGCGTGGCGAGCGCCTCGGGCACACCGTCCTGCAGCTTGTCCTCGATGGCAGTGGCGCCGACAAGGACCAGCTCCGACTCGATGTCATCGTAGATGGCGGCAAGCGCCGCCGACTTTTCCGAAGACTCGGGCAAGTTCTCCAGGCGGTCGAGCTCTTCGGACCACGAGGCCCAGAGGCCCGGCGAGACGACGCGCTTGGCCACGACCAGGGTGCGAAGGCCCTGAGCGGCGAAACGGTCAAGGTGAGACTGGGTTGACGGCGCGATGCGCGAGTTGTTGAGCGTGAACGAGTCGAGCAGTTCCATGACGACCACATCTGCACCCTTGGTGAGGACGAGAATCTCGCCGTTGGGTCGCTGGACCACAACTGAAGAGCGCTTGCGGGCCGAGGTGAAGGGGAGGATGGCGAGGATGGGGTACTCGACGTCCTGGCCAAAGACTGAGACTGTGACGGACGAAGGGGTGCGGGTGTGAAACTCGTAGCCAAACATCTTGGCTGCGTTGACGAGGGCGCCTTCATCCGGCGAGGCTGCCTGGTAAATGACGGCCGGCTTGGATCCGTCATTGGCGTCATCGTTGGCCACGTCGTCGTCCGAGTCGTTGCCGCCGACAAAGTCGATTTCAGGAATGACGGTGTGACAGACGCCGAGGAGCTCGGCAAACTCGCGGATGGCATCGCCGGTCTCTGGGTCGAGGAGCGCGGCCTTGAGCCGGTCGCCGTCATCATCAAAGACGACGTGCGGAATCGGCCGGCCCGTGAGGAGCGGACAGTTGGCCGGTTGCGGCCCCGCGTCACGCAAGCCATAACTTGCGTGATGCTTCTCGCTCGCCTCTTCTTGCTCCTCGAGTGAAGCACCGCTAGACGATAGCGAGCAGCCTTGGAGGTTGCGATGTCGAGGCGGCGGCGGCGACGCGCCCGCCTGCCCTGCGGTTTGACGACGCCAGCGAGTGCTTGTCTCATTGGTAGGGTTGTGGGCAATGGCTGACGAAGACGAGGCACGAACAAGGGTGTGGGATGAGGTGTCCGAAGCCTGACCGGCAAGCTGCGATTCAGCGTAGCTTGCATGGCTGGTGCCGTCGAGGGTTGGCGCGACGCGCGGCGGAACAGCGCGGCGCGCCGAGACCGGCGGCGAGATGGTTTGGATGGGCATGACGTTGCGTGGCGGGATGCGCGGAGCGGCGGGCTTGTTGATACGACCTGGTGGAAGGGAGCGAACCGAGGACGGTCGTCCGGCTTCCTGGGCGGTGCTTGAGTCTGAAACGGGGGACGACGATGATGATGATGAGGAGGAGGCCGCGGCGCGGATATTGTCGGGCTCATCGCCAGGGCCCAGGCCTTGAGGTGTGTTGGCGAGAGTGCCGGCGAGGGCCTTGGACGAGGTGTGCGGTGATGGCGGGTCCGAGATAGATGAGCTTGAGGAAGACGTTGTCGCCGCCGACGATGAGGAGCGGCGACGGTGGCTGGTGCGCTTGGGCGGCGCAAGGTGGGCCGAGGAGACCGAGTCTGCGGACGAGTCGGAGGCGTCGTGTTTGGCGGAGGCGTGCGAGACGTGGGTTGCGATGTGGTCGGCCTGCGAGGGGGCGTGGACGAAAAAGGCAGTGTCCGCGCCGTAGGCGACGCCGTTGATGGAGCAAGCCTTGAAGGCCATGTAGTTTTGAGTAAGTGTGCCGGTCTTGTCTGAGAAGATGTACTGGACCTGGCCGAGCTCCTCATTGAGCGAGGAGGTGCGCGACATGGCGGGAGTGTCCTTGGGCGGGTAGTACATGGTGATGTCCTGGTCGATGAGCTTGGACTGGCCAAACTTGACGGTTTCCATCGAGACGTAGAGCGAAATGGGGATGAGGGTGGAGAAGAGGATGACAAAGGTGAGGAAAGAGAGAGCGCCAGCAGCGCGTGGGTTGACGTTGCCAAGGGCGAGGTAGTGGGCCGAATGAGTGTTGCGGCGGAGCCAGACTGAGTTGCCGACGGCGCAGACAAGGCAAAGAGAGACCTCAAGAATAAACATGCCGATGATGAGGCGATTTGTGAGGCGCTCGACGCGCGACTGCTTCATGCGGACGCGGTTGGACGACTTCATGATCTTGGTGTCACGGCCAGTGTAGACGACGAGACCGTAGATCTCTGCGGTGTTGCGCAGTTGCGAGTCGCGGAGGAGGATTTGCTGGTTGGTGACCTTGATGCCCGAGGCGAGGGTGGCAGCCTGCGGGCGGGCGCGCGAGGCCTCGGAAAATTGCATCAGCGAGCCAGCCGAGGGCAGGGCGCGGAGCGGGGGGCGTTGGTGCGAAGCGGGCGGCGGCTGGACGCTAGCCGAAAAGTGGTGAGGCGGAAGGAGGCGAAGGACACCGTTGAAGGAGTACATGGCCGAGTTTGGCGGATCGCACTCGAGCTCTGCACGGAGCGAGAGCAGCTGGTCAAGGTCCACGGAGGCCGTGGCGGGAGGGGCCTGGCGGATCTTGAGGTTTGACTCGCCGTCGAGGTTTGAAGTCTCGATGTAGCACATACCCTGCGGGCCGGAGGAGGCGATGACCATGATGTCAGCGGGGAAGAACTGCTTGTTGGTGACGTTGACAATGTCACCTACGACGAGATCCTGCCAGCGGACGGGCATCTTGACGCCGTTTCTCACGACTATGGTCTGACGTTGATTGACAACTCGATCATTGACATGACGATGATAGTCCTCAAGAGCCTCCTTGATGGCGGTAAACATGAGAACAATGGCAAGGGTCATTGCCACCGTGCCTGTGCCCAGAGGAGAGACACCGGGGATCTGTTGCAAGACGGCGATAAAGAGAAAGTAAACGTTGGCAATGCGATGGAACTGTTCCCAGAGGTTCTTCGGAACAAAGTTGAAGACGGTGTACTTTGACGTCGTTGTGTAGTTGGAGTTGAACTCGAGCGAGTCATTGTACTCTCTGTCATTCATCCGCAGCTTGCGCGGGACGACTGTCGGGGCAACCCGAACACCACGGGACGGCCACGGCCAGCACATGCGCCTAACGAGTAATAGTGGTGGGGTGAGGGAGAGGAGCGAGCGAGCGAGAGAGAGGTGGTGGTGGAGATGTAGAGAGTGTGTGTGGTGAGGGTGTGGAGGTGATAGGTGTGAGAGTGTGGCTGTGGGTGCGGTGCGGGGGAGGGTGGTGGTGGGTGGCGCGGAATTGAGCTGGAACTGTTGATGATGGTGGAATGTGGTGGTGGTGGTGGTGGTGGTGGGGTGGGGGGGGGGGATGGGGATTGGGGGGAAGTAAGAGGGAATGCGATGGGGTCGAGTGATGGTGGTGGCGGACTGGTGTGTGATGGTTAGAGCAAGTGATGGCTAGCGTGTGTGATGGTGCTGACTGACATGGTCGTGGGATGTGTCCACGGGGGGGGGGAGGGGGGGGGGAAGAGAGTGAGGGACGAGAAGAGTGGGCTTGGGCTGGTATGGGGATGGATGACAGTCGTAGAGTCAAAGTTGGAGTCGAAGTCGGAGGGATCGGGTCGGGATCGGGTTGGGACTCGGCGAGAGTAGCCAGGGACGGGGTTTGGAGGAGTGGCAGTTGATCGGTGGCTGGAAGAGTGAACTGCTGGCCGAGGATTGTTGACGGCGCAGAGTCTACGGCTGGCGATGGCGCACAGGCGAAGCGGCAGCGAATGCTGGTTTGTCAATCATCTCTGGCTCCTGCATTGGTGGCCATGGTCCCTCCTTCGGCCTCAGCAGCGGATGTGCTATACACGCGCGTAGCGCACGGTGCTTCCGTCCCGCCGATAGTTGTCGCAGAGACGATGCAGTGTGCAGGATGTGACGACAAGGTCGTGTGTGTGTGTGAGTGTGTGTGTGGGGGTTGGGTGTGTGTGTGGGGGCTGTTTGGTCTTGTGGGTGAAACCATGTGGCAGCATCTGGGTGATGACTGTGGCTGGCTGTGTGCCCTTTTTGTTGCGCGACGTCACACTCCAGCTGTTGGCAACCGTGGGCGTCATGGCCGTTGATTGCTGCAAAAGCAGCTAGTCATACTTATCTCTAGCTGTTGTAAGAACAAAGAAAATGGATAGCATTGAGATCGGAGTGTGCAGCGTGTGCTTGGATGGCTACTCGGCTGAGAGGAAGCCAATGATCCTTGCGTGCGGACACTCGTTCTGCGAAGTCTGCATTCACCAGTGGAAGGCTGCTAACGGCGGGGCGCACTTGAAGTGCCCAGCGTGCAGGAGGCTTGCATCAGCATACCCTCCAGTCAACTACCAGCTACTCGAGACATGCATCGGGGTGCGTGCAGGGCAGATGGCGGCCGTAGAAGCCTCCAGCTGGCCGCTGTTCTGCAGCTGCAGCCATGACGGGAAGGATCAGCCGCTGGCGACTGTCCGGTGTCGCGACTGCCGCCAGTCGTTCTGCACCGATTGCTCAAAGGCAATCCATGTGTGGATCGGGGCGGCCAAGCATGAGGTAGTTCCTGTGATGTCGGTGCGCTCAGGCGTTGATAGCGCACCCATCTGCCCCCAGCACAACATGCCGTGGGTATGGGTGTGCAGCGAGGCCGAGTGCAGCGGGAGGCGTCTGGGATGCGCGGCGTGCATTGCTCGGGGCATTCATAAGGGGCATGATGTGGAGAAGCTGACAGATGCGCTTGATCGGCACCACAAGGAGCGAGTGCAAGTAGTGGAGCAGGTCAAGAAGTTTGCCGGCCAAGCGGCGGCGGCGAAGGAGCTGGCGCGGACGCAGAGGAAGGTACTCGCCAAGGTGGAGACCACGCTCACGGCCAAGATCACCAAATCATTTGACCGGTATGTCAAGAAAATCATAGCCCACAAGGCGAAGGCGCTTGCCGAACTAACGGCGAAGGTCCAGACCGCCAGCATGTCGCTGGATACGTTCGAATCGATGCTGGTGAATGAGACGAACAAGCTGGAGGCGGCTGCGGCGCAGATCGAGGCCAACACGGAGCAGATTGGTGCGCTGATCCTGGCCAAGAGCAACAAGCTGGTGAAGGAGAGCAAGCTGGCGCTGACAAAAGCGGCCAAGGCGACGTCGCTCCCGCCGACGTCGGTGACAATGTCTCGGAGAAATGCTAGGTTGCCGTCGGTGGAGGTGCAGCTCTCGGCCACACCGGCCTCGAGCCTGTTGAGTTACACCTCGGCGCTCGGGATCTCCAGCATCACCGACACTGTTGCCAAAGTCGGGCCCAGCACCAACGGCATCGTCATGTCGCGGGGCTTCAAAGACGTTCGGCATCGGTTCGAGTTTATGCTGACGCCGCCGTCGGGCGCGCCGGATGATGCTGGCTGCAACGTCGGTGTCGGTGTGACGAGTATGGCGACGTGGGACGCTCAGCTGCGCAACAGCGAGCAAACAATCATGTGGGCAATGGACAAGATCACAAGCGGCAAGAAGGAGGAGAAGCTCTCGACAACTGCCAAGCTTGCTGCCGGCAAGGTCTGCGCCGTCGAGTACGACCCGCACAGCGGCGAGTTTGCGACGTTTGTCGAGGGTGCGTCGACTGGGATCCACTTTCAGCGCGTCATCCGCGGCGACCTTCTCCACTTTATCTTGTCTGGCGATGCCAACTGGACCCTTACGTGCGTGTCGATGACCGCGGTTCCCAGTGTGAGTGCTGCCGCTGCTGGGTCGGCGTTTGCGGCGGTGGGCGAGGCTGCGATGCCGGCTGTGGGGACCAAGCGGCGGCGTGCTTTGTTGAGCGCAGGGGTAGCGACAACGGGCGGACCAGCCCAGGCCCTCTATCGACCGATGGCGCTTGCGGATGTGGCGCATGCTGGGGAACTAGCCTGTGGGGGGCAGATGAAGCGGCGGAGGATGCTCGGGCCCACGTCGACGTTGTCGCAGGGTTGATTCTTGCAGCAACGACAAACGTTGGGAAGCTGGCTATATCGCGACAAGTTCTAAAAGCAACGATCGCGAGTGGAGCTGGAGAAGAGGAGAATGGGGTGGGTGGATTGTGGTGAGATCGGGTGTGATGGGCGGCTCGGGTCGGTCCATGGATTGACCGGCATGTCGGGAGTCGCGGCAGCCGAGGAAGCGATTCGGTGCGCGCTGCAAGAACAGCAAGGCCAAAAAATACAGCCGTTGAGTGGACAAAAAGGGGGACATTCCGGGCGGAGCATAATCCACAAGTCATCAGAAAAAGGGGGCGAGGGGCGGGGGGGGGTACGGACAACACACCGCACCACTTATCTTAGACCGAAGCAAACATGTCTGCTGAGACCTTTGACCCCGCCCGCAAGCTCAACGTCGTCATCATTGGCCACGTCGATGCTGGCAAGTCCACCATGACCGGCCGTCTCATCTACGAGCTCGGCGGCATCGACGAGCGTGCCAAGGAGAAGCTCGAGCAGGCTGCTGCCGAGAACAACAAGGCCGGTTTCGCCTTTGCCTACTTCATGGACACGTCCAAGGAGGAGCGTGAGCGCGGTATCACCATCGACTGCCAGACGTCGTCGTTCCGCACCACCAACTACGACTACTCGATCACCGACGCCCCCGGTCATGCCGATTTTATCACGAACATGATCACCGGTGCCGGCCAGGCTGACGTCGCGGTCCTCATGGTCCCGGCTGACGGTAACTTCGAGGCATCGATTGCCAAGCCGTCCGGCATGATGGCTGGTGGCCAGACCCGCCAGCACGCCAACCTCGCCAACCTGCTCGGCATCAAGCAGCTCGTGGTTTGCGTCAACAAGATGGATTCGTCGGAGGGCGGCGCCTACAACGAGGCTCGTTTCAACGAGATCCGCGATGAGGTTTCGCGCATGATTGACGAGGCTGGCTTCCACTCGGCCACTGTCCCGATCATCCCGGTTTCCGGCTGGGTTGGTGACAACCTCACCTCGCCGACCGAGAACATGCCGTGGTACAACGGCTGGTCCGGCCGGTACGGCTACACCGCCAAGCGCAAGAAGAAGGGCTTCGAGATTGTCGGCGGCACCGAGATCAAGGGCAAGACCCTTGTCGAGGCGCTCGACAACTACATGCGCATCCCCGACCGTGACGCCAACGGCCCGCTCCACCTTTCGGTTTCGGGCTCGCGCCTCATCCCGGGCCAGGGTCTCGTGACCATGGGCCGGATTGAGATCGGTACCATCCGCAAGGACGACGTCGTCGCGCTCGCGCGCAACGGCCTGTCTGGCAAGACCTTCTCGATCCAGATGCACCACCAGGACGTGGACGCCGGTATTGCTGGCTTCAACGTCGGCATTGTGGTCAAGTTCCCGAAGGGCACCAAGCCGAAGCAGGTCAAGCGTGGTGACCTCCTGTACCGCCCGGCTGACTACGCCGACAAGCAGGAGCTCCTCCCGCGCCGCGTCAAGTCGTTCCGCGCCATGATCCGCGTGCAGAACCACCCTGGTGACCTCAAGGTCGGCTTCTGCCCGCAGATGTGCGTGCGTACCGGCCGGTGCGCTTCGCGCATTTCGGAGATCCACTGGGTGATGGGCAAGCGCACTGCTGGCCAGAAGCTCGAGAACCCGGAGTTCGTCCGCAAGCACGAGATGGCCGAGATCACCTTCGAGCCGCAGGGCTTCCTCTACTGCGAGACCTTTGAGCGCTCGGAGTCGTACGGCCGTGTTGCCGGCCTCGAGTCGAAGACCCTTGTCTTCATGGGCAAGATCATCGACGTCGAGTACGCCTAAGTGTTTGCACTTGGTCATGAGCCGCACTGGTTGTTGGCTGGCCTCGGGTTGATGCGACATGTTCCTCGAGAATCAAGCCCCTGTAAACGCCTGGCTTTTTGTACTCTCACTGCGCGCGCGTGTGTGTGTGTGTGTGTTAGCCAAACATGTCGCGCTTGCGGCCGCGGGCGCGGACATCCTCCAGGCGGCCGAGGACGGCGTCGTCGTTGGCGCAAGCCTCTGCGTAGGCGCCGAGGACGGCGGCAAAGGCGTGCTCAGCAAAGGGATGGGTGGAGATGAAGGCACGCTCGAGGACATAGAGATCGACAGCCTTGTCCTCGAGGCCGTCCGACTGAGCGACCGAGGCGAGGCCAAAGTCGATGGTGACGACCTCGAGATGGAGGATGTTGAGAGCGACGAGGGCGCTCGGATCGAGCGGCTTTGAAGCCAGAACGGCAGCGTCTGACGGCGAGCGCGGACGGAGCATAAAGTTTGAGGTTGTCAGGTCGCCGTGAACGACGTCACCATTGTGCAGCAGAGCAATGTCCTTGCCGACGGCAGCAAGAACAGCCATGGCGTTGGGGGGGAGGTGATGTGGGCCGACATCATCCTTGATCTCCAGCCCCTCCATAGCCTGCAAGTAAGCCTTGAGTGTGATGCCATGAACCAGCTCCATATACAGCACCATCTCCTTGGTATCGACCATCAGCACGCCCGGGACGGGCACGCCCAGAGCCCTTGCCCTTGCCAGCGACCTCGCCTCTGCCACCGTATGGGCGGCACGGAGCTTATCATCCAGAACCTTGTGGCGATAGCCCTTAACAAACCGATGCTTTGCAAGCGCATCAAGTCCTCCAAGCCGTCCGATGTACACTCTCTGCACACATGCCATGAGTATGGGTGTAAGGGGGAAAGGGCAGACGGGGGGGGAGGGGGAGGGGGGGGGGCGTACCGCTTCGGCTCCCTGCGCCAGGAGGGTGAAGCCCGGAAGGACAAGGGCAGGAGTAGGGGTGGGAGCACTAGTTGTGGCCATAGTGTGTGTAATCGTGCGTGTGCGTGTGTGCGTGTGTGGTAGTAGTAGTGGTGGTGGTGGTGGTGGTGGTGGTTGTGGTTGTGGTGAGGTGTGTGTGGTTGTGGTGGCTGTTCAACTGGCCAAGTTCGACGCGTTCCGCAAAGCCTTGAAGTGATCGACGCCGCCATGGCGGGACCTCTACGCATGGATGTCGACCGAGGAGCTGCATGTGACCATCCGCGATTTCACGCTGTGAGTCTTATCACCCGCTGTGCTTTGCAAGGAACTCGGTGACGCCCTCCATGACGTCGAGCCGGAACTGGAGGAGGCTGTGGCCGGCGCCGGGGACGTGCATGCGGGCGCAGGCAAGGTCGGCGCCGGCATTGTCACCGTCGCGGGCAAGCGGAATCGACTCGTCGTTGAGAATGGTGCCGTCATGCGGGCGGCCATCGGCAAGCCGTGATAGGATCGGGTTGGACCAGCTCTTCTCGCCGGTCACCACCAGCAGCGGCAGTGAAGATGGAAGCGCATAGCGGGCGGCGAGATCAACCGAGCGGGCCATGGCTGCGAGCTCAGTGCCCGGGCCAGCGACAACGGTTAGGCCGACAAGCTCATGGACCGAGGCGGCCCAAAGCGAGCCGCGGAGCGGCGGCGCGATCATGACCGTCGGCGCAGATGCGAGGAGCGTGTCGCCGCGCGAGCGGCGATCCGGCGGCAGAGCCGCGACGTCGGCCAGCGCCGCCGCCAGGACCAGACCACCCATGGAGTGTGTGACAAAGCCGAGTGGAGGCTCAGGTCCGCCACAACGCGAGGTGCAGTTGAGGGCGGTGTCCACAAATCGCCGTAGCGCCGTGGCGTGGTCGGCGAGCACACCTGCCCGCGAGTCGTAGCCAAAGGCCGCCACGTTGGCTGACGAGTCGCTCGTCCGCAAGTATACCGCCAGTGGATAGTTGTTCCATGTCGACGCCAGGTAGCCGTGGACAGTGACCATCGTCCGCGGCAGGCGGAGCATCCACACCCGCACGTGAGTCCAAGCCACGGGGAGAGCGACAAGTGGGCCAACAGCGTGACCAGCAAGCGGTAGAAGAGGCTAGCTTGAAGTGGGCTCCCCATTGCCTTGTACTGCTGATTGTATGTATGATGGTGGTGTGGTGGGTGATCGGATGAGGTTGGGGGTGAGCACGAGCAGTAGGAGAGGGTGCGAGGTGTCGAGGACAGAGGAGAAGGGCAAGGACTTGACGTGGACAAGAAACAAGGGGAGAGAGTAGGAGGGATATGCATGGAGGGGGACCTGTGCCGCGATGTGTGCTGCGTGGACAAGGAGCTGGAGTGACGGCTTTGGCAGCGGCTGGTCACGTAGTCTTTGCTGGTGATGATGGAGGTCATCTTGTTGGTTGGTCGCTCATCTCGCGTCGTCCATGCCTCACCGCCACGAGCGATGGTGCTGCTACTGACAACACCATCAGTCATCATCATTGTGGTTCCGTTCATAATGGAGCCATCTTTGCTTTGGCTCTCGTCCCGCCTGTGGGCCCAAAGTGGCTCTTCTCGCACGGTCGTGATGGTCACATCGCTGCCTTTGATCTTGCTGAGATGACGCCCCGCGGGATAGACGGCACCTCCAGTAGTGATAGCGGCGCTCTGTCGCCGATGTGGCGGGTTGATGCACAGACGCTCAACTTTTGCGGTGTGGCAGCGGCCGAGGTGCCTGGGGAGGACGGACGCGTGGTGCTGGTGGCGTCAGGCGACGATCCTGGCGGCATTGTGGTGTACGAGGCGGAGATGGCATCGGCGAGGTGTGAGCTGGTGCGTGTCATGATCCCAGCTGACAACATGGGCATGTGCATGGCGGTGCGGCTGGTGTTTGCAGCCTCTGTGCCGCTCGCTGTCGCGGGCTACGAGTCCGGGGCGCTTGCAGTGTGGGATGCGGCGGCGGGGAGTTTGCTGGCCACCACCAACGCCGCCCCGTGGTTCGGCGATCCAGTCATGGCGCTCGATGTGGTGAGCGTGGATAGAAGCTCGGAAGAGTGGACGCTGCGCGGCGTTGCCGGCTCGGCTACGGCAGAAGCTGTTGCCTTTCGCATTGACAGCAGCAGTGGCGGCGAAGCAGCGTTTGAGCTTGTCAAGAAGCGGGCGGTTGCCGACGCCGGCGAGCAGGGTGTGTCGTCGGTGGCGATCCGCGCTGCCGACGGCAAGCTCGTGGCGCTTGGCGGGTGGGAAGGCTCGCTTAGCGTGCATTCGGCCAAGAAGCTCAAGCCACTTGCGGTTCTCGAGTACCACGCGCAGCGCGTGTCTGCCCTCGGCTTTGATGCGGATCCTGATGGTGGCGGATACCTTGTTTCGGGCTCTCCCGATGGACGCATCGCAGTCTGGGATCTGTATCCTGTGGCGCAGTCGTAACTCGAGACGTAGCCCGAGAGATCAAAGTGTCGTCCCTTACAGTCAGTTGATTCCCCTACAGTCGGCTGATTCCTTCAGCCTTCACGATCACCGTGCCCTGTCCCACGCGTAGCCATCCGTCGCCTGTCGCCTGTTGCCTGTCGCCTGTCACGATCATCTGTCGCGATCACGATCATGGTCGCCACCTCCCGACCACTTCACCCCGCTCCTCCCCGCCCCACCCCCCCCCCCCCCACCCCCACCCCCTACTAACCCTTGAGGATGGACATGGATAGTGTGCGTCCACACCCTGTGCCCAGCTCAACGGCAGCCTCTGTGGCGTCGCTCCTCAAGCCCGGCGAGGTTGTGTATGCGGTGGTCCCCGCGGACCAACTGGATACGGTGACCTTCACGGCGCCCAAAGCAAGAACACTCTGCCTTACCCACAAGCCATCGTCGCACAAGGTGAGACTGTACAAACTACGTCGAACCATGGGATCATCGTTGTCGTCATCAGTAGCATCAGCAGCATCAGCAGCAACGTCATTGACAGTCACAGCAGCAGCAGCAGCAGCAACACCGTCATCATCATCGTCGTCAATGCCATCGTCATCCATCCTCTCTCCATTGCCATCGTCGTCTTCATCGTCCTCATCGATATACTCGTTGTCGAGAACATGGTATGTGGAGAAGCTCAAGGCGTTGAGAGAAGCACCGTCGGGCGCGCTCACTCTGGTCTTTGCCGATGGCGAGCCGGTCACCTTTGCTCTCCATGATGCGTTTTCTCGCTCGCACTTTGTTGCCTCGCTCCTTTGGCTCATGAACACGGTCCTCGGCTTTGTTCCAGATGCGCCGCCTCAGCTCTTGGCTCTTCTCCCTGACAATGGCCGTGGTGATGGCGGCGGCGATGCGCGGACCGAGCGTGGCGGCGGTGGTAACACCACGGGCGAGGCGGACGGTAGTGGCGTCGCGGACGAGCTGGCTGACGCTGTGGAGCAACAAGTGCGGGCGGTGAGCCTCTCGGACTTGCTGCCGGCGGAGCGAGAGCAGCTGGAGGCTGTTCTTGGCGAGTCGATGGCGGCGGACAAGATCGAGGACGTGGAGGCGGCGCTGGCGGCCGAGATCGAGGCGCTGGAGGCCGCTAATGTAGAGGCACTGCTCGCACTTGGACCGGAGATTGATGTCGCCATGGCTGCCATTAATGGGGTGTTAGATGAGGCCGAGGTGCTGGAGGCAACGCTGGCGTCGTACGCGGGCATTGTTGACGGCATGGCGAGCCAGCTGGAGGTTATCCAGGAGACGTCAACGGCGACGCAGGTGCTGACGACGAACCACCGGGCACTGCTGCTTGAGTCCAACGCGCTCCTCAACTCGCTGAGAGTGAGCAAGCGGACCCGGACTGCGCTGACGGCGACCAAGCTCTCGGAGCTCGATGCACTGCCGGGCATCGAGGCTGCGCTGGGCGAGCTCGAGAAGCCTCCGTCGTTTGGCCCGCAGTCAGAGCTGGTGACGCTGACGGCGGTTCATGATCATGAACGTGAAGTGGCGGCGCTCAAGGCCAAGTTTGCGGCGCGGCTCGCTGGGTATGAGGCCAAGCTGGCGACGGCGCTGCACTCGGATCCTGCACTGGTCGTGCTCCGCAGCGGGTTCTTCGACTTTCCGTCGCGGCGGCCGGTGTACGCCGGCCTGCTTCCGTACGCGCCGCTCACAAAGTGGCTGGCTCGGACGGACCCTGTGCAGCGTGAGACGCTTGCGCGTGCGTACCTGACACGGGCGCGCGAGACGCTGGGCGCGGTGGCGCCGCGGCTGATGAGGGAGCTGCGGCGGGCGGTGGCACAGGTCAAGCTTGCCACCGACATGTCTGCGCTCCCGAACGATCCTGTGGGCGAGCTCACCGTGCGCGGGCACGGCTCGTCGTCGATGAGTTCGTCGTCGCGCGGCTCCGAAGCGTCGTTTGACGTGGCGTCGACGGCGCGGTCGGCGTCATCGTTTGGCGGCGGCGGGAGCGAGCGGCTGCGTGGGACCGAGGCTCTGTTCCGGGCGGTCAACGCGGTGGTGGACGCGGTGGTGGCCGAAGCGCGGTTTCTCGACACCTGGCTCGGCGAGTCGAGCGACGCACAGCTGGAGAACTGGCTCGAAGTGGCGTTTGGCAACGTGCTGCCGCATGTGGACAAGCTCGCCATCCACGTCAACGGCCTCAACGCGTTCGACACGGTGACGTACCTGGCGTTCCTTGCCTCGTACCCGGCGGACGACGAGTTTCCGCGAGCGCACTCGTTCCTTGCGCAAGTTCTCACTCTGCTGCAGAACGCGCCAAACCTGGCGTTCTCGCAGTATGTCGACCGGCAGGTCCGCAAGATCGGCAAGGTCAAGGTGGCGGCGCGGCGTTGTGGCATCCTCTGGCCGTGCGCCAAGTTTGCGTCGTTCTTTGTGCAGATCGGGCGGGCGCTGTTTGGCACCGAGCTCGGGGCGCGCGGCGGAGCGGCGCGCGAGGTCGTCGAGCTTGCGCTCACCAAGGTGGCACTGGCAGTGTTTGAGACGCTCGAGCGGGTGGCTGCGTCGGACGCCAAGTACGCGCACCTTGTGCTGTACGAGAACTATCACCACTTTTACATAACCACCGAGGCGGCGATGGAGCAGCTGCCGCAGCTGCGTGCGCTGGGAAAGTACGTGGCCGAGGCGCGCGAGGCGTACCTCCAGCACCGGGCGGCGTACGTTACCGACGCCATCGAGTACCAACTCGGCGACTTTGTTCGCTTCTTTAACGCCATCGGCGGCCTTCTCGACTCAATCTCGGCGCAGGAGGTTGCCTTCCAGGACGCGTACTCCAAGCTCAAGTTTGACAAGCTAATGAGCAAGTACGGGACGCCTAAGCAGGTTGAGCGCAACCTGTTGGCCATGCGCAAGCGGGTCATCAAGCACGTTGCCGGCGACAAGGAGGGTCTTTACTCGGTCGTCTGGGAGCGGATCCTGCTCGCCATCCAGGACCTCTTTGCCCGCTGCGACGCCACCATCCGAGCCGTCTACGGCGACGACAAGGCCACGCTGGGTGCTGCCCTCAGTGCCGCCCTACCGTTGCCAGCGTAGCGCGGGTAGTTCTCTAGCACCAGCTCGAGTGACTTGAATCGGAGGATGGTAAAGAGTGAGCCGTCACTGGTTCTGCCCCGCGGCGCGTGGATTGGGGTGCGTCTGCTGATCGTTGATTCCGCGACTTGTGCTAGAGTTGTGCAAGGGGATGGGCATCAAATTGGAGCGTGTCGCGAGACAGAGTGGGAACTGATGGTCTGGGGATGGAGAAGCATGTATCGCACTGCATGAGTGCGCGAGCACCGGCGATTGGCTCGGTTGGGTCCTGCAGAGTTGTGAGCAAGTCGCGACAGTAGCGAGCATGACCACACCCCAGTCTCCAGCCGTCACATCGACGATTCTGACGATGACATCCATCCCGACACGCACAGGCTCCTCGGCCTCACCCCTAAACTACAACTGGCCTCGCAACCGGCAGTCATCTCTCTATACCCCCTTCGTGACCAAGCCGATCGGGCCGATGACGCGACGTTGACGCTCAGCGCGACAAATGGATTTGGCAGTTTGGGTCGGTGCTGCGGTCAGCCGCGACAGCCGGCGAGCCGGCGAGCCGGACATCTGGAGGCATCTGACTCTGAGCAGGCTTGAGGTTTGTTGAAGAGAGAATTGGCAATGTTTGGACTGCGTATGCTTGGACGTGTGGGAGTTGATGTTGTGAGCGGAGGAGCTGGTCTGTGGCGGGCAGGTGGTGCGGCTGCGGTGTGGTCGGCTACGGCGGCGGCTGGTGGTGCGGCGGGCGCGTCATCCACGGCGAGTGGAGCAGTGACGGGCAAGCGGGCATTGGGGACGAGTGCATGGGCATGGGAGGAGAAGACTGAGGACAAGGTCGATGCTGAGAAGGCGACCGAGGAGGCGACTGAGATCAAGACCGAGAATGAGGCTCAGGTTGAGCAGGAGAGCAGCAGTGAGAGCAGCAAGGCCGACCATGACGCGGCTGCGGCAAAGGTGGCCGAGCTCGAGGAGAAGATGGTCGAGATGAAGGAGAACCTCCTCCGGGCGCTTGCTGATCAGGAGAACGTTCGTATTCGTGCTCGGGAGGACGTCGAGTCGGCGCGCAAGTTTGGTGTGACCAAGTTTGCAAAGTCGATGCTCGATGTGGCCGACTCGATCGAGAAGGCTATGGAGGCCGCCAACGAGGCTGAGCACGGCGCGCTGTACGAGGGCATCGCCATGACCTACAAGCAGCTGTACAACGCCTTTGCTGCAAACGGCATCGAGCCTGTTCGCCCGCTGGGCGAGCCGTTCAACCCGGAGCTGCATCAGGCTCTCTTCGAGATGCCCGCAGGCGGCGAGCACGAGCCTGGACACGTCGGCATCGTCACCCGGACCGGCTACACCCTCAACTCGCGCATCCTCCGTCCGGCCCAGGTTGGCGTCGTGGCCCAGCCGCTCCCTGAGGCGAACGGCGATGGCAGCAATCAGTAAAATTGTCTTTCTCCATCTGTCACTGCCCAACCAGTTTCAAGCCGAGCCACGATCGGCTGCGTGGCGACACAGCCTGTCCGTGTCCGAGCGAGCCGTGTGCACTCTCTCACTTGCTGATTCTCCCGTCAGCCGGCGATTCTGCCCCTCCATCTACTGATGAGTAGCCTTCTCACCTTTGATGACTACCTGCTCCCACCATCCACGCACTCGGGACTTGAACCTGATGACCCTGGCTGCTACCGAGATGCGGATCAGCTAGCGAGGTCCGAAGCGCATGCAAACACATCTACTTGTATTTCGACCCGATATATTACGTAAGCATGCCCCCTTACATGCTACATGTTGCCGCTGCCACTTGCGATCGATGCCCATCTCGACCATTTGCCCGTCCTCATCTACCCCCCTCCCCCCGCCCTCCATTGGCTCCCGAGCAAGTCACCGAGTCGTCGCCATTTCGGCAGCAACCAAGTCCAAGACGACGACGAGGACGCGGACGAGGATGAAGACAAGCAACACCCAACTTGACCAGACAGCAGGGAGAAGGAAGGAAGTCATGTCTGCAGCACATGACTATGAGGCCATGGGTACCGCACGTATGTAACCTATGTGTATGAGGTGTGTGAGGTGTGTGAGTGCGGAGGGGAGAGGTTGTGCCAGCAGCAGCTCGACCAACGCGAGTGATGGGGCACGACAATGTGGGTGCAGTTGGGTTGGGATGGGCATCGGGTGTGGTGGTTCTGAATCGATAGCTGTATGTATGTATGTGTGTGTGTGTGTGTGTGTGTGTGTGTGGTTGCGATGTGGCATCGGCATGGTGTGTGATGACTGGTATGGGCATGGCGGAGCGAGTTTGAGCAGAGGGCTTGTTGGACTGTTGGAGGATGGCCACGGGTTCGGGCCTGCACGGTCTGATGTGTTCAGCGAGGGCTTAGCTTTGGCGTTCTGGAGGCACCGTCGAGCCTTGTGGGACTGGGGATAGAGAAGGAGGGGATGATGGAAAGGCAAGCACATCGATGGCCGCATACTGGCGATCCTGCTCGGCTGCTCGGCATTGTGCCCACTCTCGCTTGTCATCATCGGCAGCATGACTGCTTCGTTCACTCACGTTGTGGATGGCTGGATGTGCGGAGGTTAGTCAAGGAGCTGCTGGCAGAGACTCAAGAGATGGCGGAGCATACGCAGCGTGTGTTGGAGCTGAATGATCAGGTTGTCCATGCTGCTCAGTCGACGGCAAGTGTCATCGAGCGAATGAGGTCAACAGGACCGCAGCCGTACGTGGAATGGGAGATGGGCGTGATGGATGTGGTGGTTATGGACGAGACGAGAGGGGACTCACGATGTGTGGCGTTGTGGTTGTGTGTACAGGGTGCCGGTTGACGTCGTCATGGAGATGGACGTCATGAACAACAACGTGGGCGCGACAGAAGGCGCGTCGCAGTGATCGGAGCCGGAGCCTCACACAGCGGCGGCGTCGACGGTCTGCATCGGCCCACTGTCTGGGTCTGCAGAGCCTGTTGTTCACTCGCCGCTTGTCAGCGAGCCACCATGCACAAGCTGGCAGCAGTAAATCAGACGAGAGCAACCGTCGAGCGCGGCAGCGCGGCAGCGCACCGATCTGTGACTGCAATCAGCCAGGAGTTAGTCGACATGCCCTGAAGCAGCCTAGCTACTGCCCGTTTTGCTACCCACAAGCCCTTTGCGTCGGTCGAGCGGATCAGACGTCGGTGTCGTCGGCGTCGTCACCAGCGTCAACGCCATCCTCCTCGCCATCCTCAACCAGCTGGTCCAACCCATCGATTCCTTGGGCATCGTTGAGCGTGTCCTCGTCATCTTCTGCACCGCTGTCGCCAGCAGTACGTGCGCGGAGCAGTGCTCTGTTCCACTTGATGATGAGCTCTCTGCAGTTTGTCAGCGTTGCGGCCGAGTGGATGACGCGGATGGCAACCGGGCGATGAAACAGTTCAGTGGTGAGGGTCAGGGCAGCCCAGACCATACGAAAGTGATCAAAGGGGGCACGGACAATGGCAGTGTTTGACAAGGGATTGTAGAAGGGAACAGCCATGCGAGTGCAGAGTCCATCGCCCACTGATCCAAAGCATGTGGTGAGAACAGTCCGGAGTGCCCGCAGCAGATGCGGTGCGGTCGTCTTCCCGCCAGTCTCTGCTCCGTCCTTCCACCCAAGTACAGCCACTAGATACCGGTGCTTATACCGCACCATGTCGTCTCCAAGTCAATGACAACCAGAGTCAAGTTGTGGTGGTGGCTCGGACGGCGTGCGCTTGCCATACTCGCTCGTGTACGACGCGACTTGGATCTGGCTGGATCGGGCGGTGGGGGGGGGGGGTGGCTTGGGGATGGGGATGGGCGATCTGATCTAGGCTGGGGGGAGGGAGGGGGAGGGGGAGAACGAATGGATGTTGCCCCTTTGCCGCAGGATGAAGTTGGTTTGACAATGAAGAGCACAATGCGTGTGATGGCGGCGACGATGGCGAACGATTCCTGGCAACAACAAAAGCAATGATTAATTCTTACGATTACCGGCAACAACAAAATCAATGATTGCTAACAACGGACAGAGCAGCAGCAGCCCGACAGAGCCAGGACGACGACCAATGACTCTTCCTCCGGACAACACACGTCTTGACGGAAGGAGGAGGAAGAAGGGGGCATGGAAGACCCGCTTGCATTGATGGGCACACTCCCTGGGTCAGTAGCAGGGCTCGGTGGCGATGGCGGTGGCGGTGGTCTGGTGGTGGACATGGGCGAGCTGGACTCGGGGGACTTTGACTACAATCTGGAAGCGTTGGAAGCTGATCTTGCAGCGGATAGAGTCTCTGGCGCCTATCGCTCTCACCACAATGGAACAATGTCGGCTTCATTGCCGGAACTGGCCTTTCCGTCGCCTCCCACAACGCCGTCGGGAACTACAGATGGCGCCGCGTCGACGTACAGCGAGTCTGTGGGTGCGCTCCGGGACAGGCCCGCATCGGTCGGAGATGGCAAGGCAATGGGTCGAGGGGGAGACAATGGCGGATTCGCGAGAGAAGAGAGCCCGGAGCAGGATGGGCCGTGGGGCCCAGAGAAGATCCGGGCAAGGCGGTACCTGGCACTACATCATGCGGTGTATCTTTGGCTGGAGCGTGTGGTGCGAAGGTCGGGAAATCGGCTCGTCTCGTCGTCGCTCTTCACTGCGCTGCATGATGGCCTGGTGCTCACCGAACTGGCGTACCGATATGCTCCGCGGCGAGTCGAGTCGCGCAAGATTGTTGTCTGTCCAGCGTCGCGCGCAGACCGGCGCAACAACATCAAGGTCTTTCTCCGGTTCTGTCTCTCGCTGGGCTTCAAGTCGGCTCGGCTGTTCCACGTCGACGACCTGTACCTGCGGTGGGACATGGAGCGGGTGGTCAAGGCGCTTGCCTACGTCGGCGCTCACCTAACGGCAAAGGGCTTTGCCCCGCCGTTCTCGCCGCGGCCGGCGGAGGACTACATTTTCCCGGCTCCGGCGCTCCGGGCGGCCGTCGCCTACCTTGCCGAGGTTGACACGCACCGCGAGGACTTGGCCCTTGGCCGCAAGTACCTCGACGCGCGCGAGCGCGAGCGCGACCGCCGCCGCAAGATGCGGGCGCAATCGCCCGAGGACGCTGGAGGGCTGGATCCGGCCGGTGGCGACTCGAGCGTCGCAGCCGCGGCGGCCGAGCATGCCGAGCGCACAGAGCTTGAGCTCGTGGCGCGCGCAACCAAGGCGCGGCTGAACGCGGCAGCAGCTGCCGAGGCCGAAGCTGGCGGCGGGAGCGGAGAGGCCAAGTCGAGGCGGAAGAAGAAGCGGCGACAGATGTTGCGACGGAGCGAGACTGTGGACACGCTGCTGTCGACACCGCTCCCACCGCCACCCGGACCACCGCCTACTGTCTCTGTCGTCGCCTCGTCGACTTCATTCTCTAACGCACAGTTCCCGGACGACGTGGCGTCGCCGCAAGTCGGCCAGCTCAACGACTCGCTCGGCCTCCCGCTGCTTGACTTTGACGCGCTCACACTCGAGCCGCCGCCGCGCGGGCGACGGCGGCGGGGGATGAACCGCCAGTCAACGTTTGCCGACATCGACTGCGGCGGCGAGGTGCTCAACCTCAGCACCAGCGGGAGCATCGCCGCGCTGGACGACGGTGGCGAGCTCGAGGAGACAGAGGCTCCAAACAGTGCAGCTGCAAGCGAGACGACCGACTCGCAATCTCAGGCTATGGACGAGAGCGGGAGCGAGAGCGAAGGCGCAACTGCCGAGCTCGGCGACGACGACATCGGGGCGTACGTTGTCGCCATGTACAGCTTTGAGCCGAGGTACGAGTCGCAGCTCGCGATGGCGCCAGGCGACAAGTTTCAGATCCTCGAAGCCGAAGCCATCGACGGGTGGTACTCGGTGGCGCAGGTGGTGGCGCCTTTTGGTCATGGATATGTTCCGGTCTCGCGGGTGACGCCGATCATGGGCTTTGTCGCCGGACACGGTTCGGTCTCGGACGAGAATGAGAGTCCGGAGGCTGACAGCCGCGAGGCCGAGGGCCTGCCCCAGGCCGACGCCAAGGTGGCGATGCGGAGCAAACTGCAAGACCGGCTAGCGTCGATGGGCTTTGTGCACAAGGTCGCGGTTGACCCGCACCTCGAAGATGTGTTTGACATCCGCAAGGAGATTGTGGCTTACGCCGGCGAGCTTGTTCGCCCGGCAGCGGGCGCAGAGCCCGTTCTTGAGGCAGGAGCAGACTCGAGCGCTCACGGCTCCGAGGTCTCGGTCCCGTCGGTGAGTGATGTCGGCAGCGACGAGCCGCTCGACGCGTCGCTGGTGGTACTCGAGGGCGACGGTGGCGGCGACGTAGTCGGCAATGGCTCGCTGGTCCTGCTGGAGAGCGAGGACGGGATTGTGGTCGACGACGACGGTGGCGGTCGATGATCTGCTTCTCGACTCGAACGGTGAGTTGCTCGACGACGCCGAGCTGATGCGGCGGATCGACGACGGAGTCGGCAATGACTCGCTGGTCCTGCTGGAGAGTGAGAGCGGGATTGTGGTTGACGATGACAAGCTCGGGGTCGATGATCTGCTTCTCGACTCGAACGGTGAGTTGCTCGACGACGCCGAGCTGATGCGGCGGATCGAGGACATGGAGTCTGGCGACATTGATCTGGCTGGGCTCTCCGACTTGGACACCGACGACGAACTCGGGCTCATCTGACGTCTCACTCGCCGGATGGGCGATGTGCAAGGTAAAGCGAGGCGTCAGGCGCATGCAAGAGTCATGGTGGCAGGTGTGAGGGAGCACATGAGGAAGAGCCGGACGTCAACATACGAGGTAAACGGGTGGTGCCGAGCATTGTCAAGGACAAGCGGCCACTGGTGGAGCCGAACACCATCAGAGCCGAGACCGCAGCCGCCACGAGCGATGGACTTGGGTGAGTCGGTGGTGGCCGAGTCGCGACCGACCGAGTCGACCGGGACGTACGCTATGAGAAGAGTACAGACATCAGGCGCACCGGCGGCGGCAACGCACTCCCACGGAGCGCAGCGACGTCGATCATGAGCGGAGCGAGGTCCGGATCGGCAGCAGTGAGCCAGGGCACGAGCTCTTGCGGCTGAACAAGGAACCGCATCAGATTAAGCTTGTCTCTAGCGACATGCTTCTCGGCTGGCAAGACGTAGAGAGTCCAGGCGAACGAGGTGCGGGCAAAGGGGGCTGAGGGACCGACCAGGCGCGGGCGATGCGGAAAGTCCGCGATGGCAAGCTGAAGGAACGATGCGTTGGCATCCAGGGCAAGTGGAGGCGAGGATACAGGCAAGAGGCGAGCCGCAGCCGATCCGTTGGACAGAGGACCGAGATGAAAGGCGTAGAGAGGCGAGAGCGTGGCCAGCGGGGCGATGGGCAGATGCCAAACAAGAGCGAGGCCGCGAGGGCAGGGACAATGAGGACGTTACAGAGGAGAACGATGAGCGCCATTGACTTGATGGGTGCAGGCGTAGCAAAGTAGTACGGATGGGCGAAGCAGAGTACGCCAGCTGCGAGACAAGCCGAGATGAGCAGAAGGAGCATGGCAGCGAGCGCAGGTCGGGTCTCTGGCTCGTGTCCGAGGAGATACAGGCCCGGGTGTGCGAGGACGAGGACGAGGGCTATCACCCACACGCATGCATTGACCGTCACGTGTACAGCTGAGGCCCCCACTGCATGGTCGGCAGCCCATCGAAGCATGCGGAGGAGATGGAGGAGGGTTGCGAGAGGTGGTAACGATTGTGAGAACGAGAAATGATTGTGTAACGATTGTGTGAATGAGGAATGATTGATGACGATTGTGTAAAGGAGGGATTAATCATGGGGGTTTTCGCGCCAACCTTGGCGCCATCTTTGCACTGCCGACAAGACGAGACGACGAGACGACGACAACCACAGCCGCCGCCACAGCCGCCGCCACAGTCACAACCATAGCCACAACCGAACCGTCGACCACCTCACCCGCTTCCGGCCCAAGACCATGGACACACACACAGCCGCGTGTGTCCTCCAAGCACATGTTCGTGGGTGGCGGACGCGCAAACGCATGCGGTGTGTCCGGGCAGAGTACCGGGCCCTGGTGGCCGAGGTTGAAGGCCCTGCTGTGGCCGCCCGTCTCTACTTTCCTCCATCATCGTCACTAGCATCGTTGCCTAGATTCACTCCGCCGCGCACGTATCCAACTCGGCTTGCTTTCTGGATTCCTCCGGCGGACTATGCTCCGCTGCATCACGCAAAGCGGATCGTTATGGAGAACGCTGTTGTTGTCCCGCCGAGACTGGCTCAGCTTGATGAACTGCGGGTAGTGGACGCGAGCGAGTCGCAGGTGGCGTGTGTCGATGGGCGAGAGATGATGACTGGTGTGAATAAGCCGAGGGTGGTTCGTAAGCTGCAGCTGACCTCTGACGATGAGGCGGCGTGCGTCGACCAGGGAGTTGTCGGCCAAGCGGCGGTCGATGAGGCGGCGGTCGGCGAGGCGGCGGTCGGCGAGGCTGTGGTCGGCCAAGCGGCGGTCGGCCAAGCGGCGGTCGATGAGGCGGCGGTCGGCGAGGCGGCGGTCGGCGAGGCAGTGGTCGGCCAAGCGGTGGTCGGCCAAGCGGCGGTCGATGAGGCGGCGGTCGGCGAGGCGGCGGTCGGCGAGGCAGTGGTTGGCCAGGCGGCGGTCAATCAAGCAGGCTTCGATCAGGTTGCAGTCGATGAGACTGGCGGCAAGCAAGCGGTCGTCTGGCAGGGGGGAACGATGGTGGCCAAGCTGGCGCAGCCGGCGAAGACTGTTACGGCTGTCAGAGGCAAACGCATCAAGGTCGTGCCGATGCGAGCAATGCTGTACCGTGGCGTGGCATACGGGCTCGAGTGGGAGACAGCGAGGTTGACAAGAGCTGCGGCGGGGCTGGCACTGGCCAAGGTTGTGCCTCCTGCGAAGCCTCCGGCTGTGCGCGCGACGGCCAAGCGGGTCATCCTTGTCACTCACCACCAGGCCATCGAGGTACGGGCGTCGCGGCCAAAGCACGAGGTGGCGATTGAGTACATCCAGGCGCGGGTTGTGCCAGCCGTAGAGCCAGCAACCCAAGCGGTGGCGCTGCTCCAGTGGCGGGCCGAGCCCAACCCGCATGGCGTGCCGCAGACCGCGGTGGCGGTTGCCGCGTCTGCCGAGCTTGGCGAGCTGCGACTTACCGGCGCGCTCATTCCACCAGCGCTCTTTGGACTGCGTGGACCTGCGCCAGGCGGCCTTGCGCTCTCCCCTATCTCTACTGTCAACGAGTCCGGGGAGAGCGTGACCGACGACGACATGGACGCGACCCTCTCGTACGATTCGGACGACGACCCGCTGCTTCTCCGCCCTGCTGTTGCGAGTGCGCCTGCGCCTGCGCCTGCACCGGCACGACCGATACTGGCGGTGTATGACCAGGCTCCTAGCGATACAACAGACGGCGACTCGCCGTCGTTTGGCGAGCTCCCGACGCTGTCAATTCACGAGTCACCGGTGCGGCCGCCGCGGATGACCGCGCGACGCCCGTTGTTCACACCAACACCACCGGGGAAGCGGCAGACGGCGGGGAGGGTGGGCGAGGCCGAGAACATGTCACCCATCGACGTCGACGTTGACGACACCTCGTTTGCTGTCTCATCTCTCTCAGCGTCGATGATGTCGGTCTCATTCTCTGTTTCGCGCGATTCGGGTTGCTTCTCGGCCGACTCGCTGATGTCGCCGGAGCAGGCTCAGGAGCTCGCGCTGCTCCAAGAGGAGCTTGCTGTTGTCAAGGAGATGCTTGCGGAGCGGCGACGAGCCAAGGAACAGAGCACAATCCGTGGCTGATTGCTGCCTTTTACGACTTATGCAGAGTGACCGAGGTGGCTGGCGATGGTGCGGATGACGTCGACGGCACAGTCGGCCGAGACCGAGACCGAACCGATGCCGAGGTCAACAAGCTTGAGGACAAAAGGCATCGAGTCCGAGGCACCCTGTCCACAGAGGCCGATGTACTTTCCTGCAGCGTTGCAGGCATCGATGGCCATGGCGATCATCTTGAGCACAGCCGGGCTCGACTCGTCAAAGATGTGCGAGACTCGCTCAGAGTCGCGGTCGACGCCGAGCGTGAGCTGTGTGAGGTCGTTGGAGCCGATGCTCATGCCGTCGCAGTGGGCGAGGAACTCATCGGCAAGGAGGACGTTGGCCGGGATCTCGCACATCATGATGACCCGCAGGCCGTTGACGCCGCGGACGAGACCGGCGTCGGCCATGACGTCGAGGACGCGGGTGAGCTCGGCCGGGGTCCGGCAGAACGGGATCATGACCTCGACGTTTGTGAAGCCCATGACGTCGCGCAGCTTGGCGATAGCAGCGCACTCCAGCTCAAACGCCGGGCGGTAGCTCGGGTCGTAGTACCGCGACGCGCCGCGGAGGCCAAGCATCGGGTTCTCCTCGACCGGCTCGTAGAGCATGCCGCCGATGAGGCCCTTGTACTCGTTCGACTTAAAGTCGGAGAGGCGGAGGATAACCTTGCGCGGGTAGAAAGCAGCGGCAATGAGCCCAGCGCCTTCGGCCAGCTTGTCGACGAAAAGGCCTCGGGGCAGTCTGCGTACCGCGAACCGAGCAACGCGGCGACGGCATCGGCGGTGTCCGGGTCGGCACCAGCCTTGTTGTGCGGAAAGCCGATGAGAGCGAGCGGATGGACGCGGATGTGGTTGGCGATGATGAACTCTTCGCGGGCAAGGCCGACGCCAGCAACTGGAAGGAACGCGCTGGCGAGAGCGAGTGAGGGTGAGGCCAGATTGACCATGACCTGAGTCGCTGTCGACGGAAGAGCAGGCAGCGCGCCGATGTCGACCTCTCTGGTCGAGCTCGCCTTGATGCCGGACAGCACCGCACCGGCGTAGCTCGAGCCGGTGCAGCAGACAGTGACGCTTGTGCCATTGGGAATGGCGGTGAGCGCATCGCCGGTACCAACGATGCAAGGAATGCCCATCTCGCGCGAGATGATGGCTGCGTGGCAGGTCCGCCCGCCACGAGCCGTCACGATGCCGGACGCCAGCTTCATGACCGGGACCCAATCGGGATCGGTCATGCCAGTGACTAGCACATCGCCAGGCTTGAACTCGGCAAGCTGCGACGCCGATCTGAGAATCTTGGCGGTGCCGGAGCCGATGGCGTCACCGACCGGCGCGCCGCGAGTGAGCACGTCGCTTGGCGCGACGTCGTTGCCAACCAGCGAGTGGGTCACGATCTTAGTCACGCTCCGCTGCGAGTGGACCGTCTCGGGGCGGGCTTGGACGACAAAAAGCTTACCAGTCGGCCCGTCCTTGGCCCACTCGATGTCCATCGGGCGGCGGCAGCCGGCCTTGGCAGAGTAATGATCCTCGATGGCGACGGCCATGCGGGCAAGGGCAAGAACGTCGGCGTCGTCGAGACAGAGCTTGACACGCTCCGACTTGGGAACAACGACGTTGCGCACAGGCGCAGCGGCGTCAAGAGCGTACACCATTTTGATCTTCTTGGCGCCGACGTTGCGCTGGACGATGGGCTCGTAGCCGTCGCGGAGAAGTTGCTTGTGGACGAGCCACTCGTCCGGGTTCACGGCGCCCTGCACAACGTTCTCGCCGAGGCCGTAAGCACCGGTGATGAGAACGGTGGCATCGCAGGCAGTCTCGGTGTCGATGGAGAACATGACGCCGGACGCGGCCTGGTCGGAGCGAACCATCTTTTGGACGCCGATCGAGAGCGCGACAAGCGAGTGGTCGAACCCGTTCTCAACGCGGTAAACAATGGCGCGGTTGGTGTAGAGCGAGGCAAAGCAACGGCGGCATGCATGGAGAAGCTCTGAGGCACCGTGAATGTTGAGGAACGTCTCCTGCTGGCCAGCAAACGAGGCGTTGGGCAGGTCTTCGGCTGTCGCCGACGATCGGACCGCGACGTCGGTGCCGGACTCGGCACCCTCGTACTCTGCCGAGAGGACGGCGTACGCATCTTTGATGGCAGCGGTGAGATCATGGGGAAACTCCATATCTTTGATCAGCTGCCGGATGGCCTTACCACTGGAAGCTAGCACATCCATGTCGTGGATGTCGAGCTCTTCCAGCAGCGAGTTGAGCTTGGCGGTCGACTCGGGGTTGGCCGCCAACAGGCAGCGGTAGGCATAGGCAGTGATGGCAAAGCCGTTGGGCACAACCACGCCCTTCGACGACAGCTCGCGGTACATTTCTCCCAGCGAAGCATTCTTGCCACCCACAAGTGGGACGTCGGCAATGGTAAGGTCCTTGAACCACGAGATGAGCGGGGGGTTGGATGTCCTGTGTTGCAGCGGATCGGAGTCGCGGGGGAAAAATGAAGTGGGTTGGATTGGGACGACGTTGTGGGTTGACCGATGAGCCGAGGGAAAACGATAGAAGTTGGGGGTGTTAGTGGGTAGGTAGATGGATGAGAAATAAACGAGGAGAAGGCGCAGGACGAGAAGAAGGAGGAGGAGGAGAAGGAGGAGGCGGGCTGAGGAGAGCTGGAAAAATGGCGTGCAGGTGGGTTGGGTTGGGTCAGGTTGGGACGGTGGCAGTGACTTTCTTTGGGGCCGAGAAAGAGGCATGGGTATGCCGATGGGAGGGGGAGGAAATGCAATATGTGATGACGTGCATCAGGAAAGAGGATGGGGCGTGTGTGTGGGGGTGGTGGTGTCGTACATGATGGGGAAGTTTGGAACCGATGTGGTTGAAGAGGAGTGGCAAGGGTGGTGACTCGCCTGTTGGCGGCACGAGGGGGGGGGGGGGGGGGGCTCTCACACCACATTCGCACCAAACAGATGATAAAAGGAGCACAGTGACGCAATGCAATTCAGACCATCCGCTGCGGCATTCAGCACCAAACAGTCATGACCGTCGGCATTCAAATCTAGCTCACCCCACACGCCGTCGAAGACGACAGAAGCTGTTGCCGCATCCTCAGCAGCCTACACAGACAACTCGCCCGCCCTATTTAATCGCTATCATCACTGCCACTTGAACACTCCAGCACATTGCAGACATCTGGGAAGCATTGTCAAAGCTCAACAGCTTGCTGTATTTGTCATCGATGACCGCAGCAAGTATTCAGCAGGGCTGTGCATGGTGCACGGCCGACTTGCATGGAGACGGCGGTTTGGAGCTGGCATCTCACAGGGAGCATTTGGCTTCGTTGCAGGATAGTGAGTGCGCATGGCATCGGTAAAGTGGTTGTGAGTTGAAAGTGGCAATGGTGGGGAAAAGGGGTCACATATGGGCCCAAGCATGGGGGCGGAGGGGGGGGGGGGGGGGGGTCAGCAGCATCGAGAGGATACCAAGCCAACAACTTGGGCCTCAGCCGGTGGAGCTCGGACTGCGGAATACTGCAGGTGTGGCTTGGAGACTGTGCAACGAGGTAGTGTGTGTATGTAGTAGGGTACAAATGGAATCAGATTGGGCATATCTTGCGATGCGATTTGTGGGGGGCGTGTGCGGGGTCGAGCGGTCGAGGGCGTGCTCGAACACCTAGGGCAAACAAGTCGCTGCGGAAATGAGCCGAGGTCGATGGGTATCGATGACAGCAATATTGATACTGGTGATAGTGCATGACAAGTGACGACCTTGGGTGTGGTCGCGGGTTGCGTAAGTTGTGGTGGGAAGGAGCTAGGTGGTGATGAAGGTGGGCCTGATCGGGCGAGCGGGCGGCGGCTTGCGGCTGGTGGTCGACGAGGCAGGGGCAACAGAGGGAGCTGGGTCGGGGCTGGGTGGCTTGAGATTGCTGTTGGTTGGAAATTGGGCAGTCTGGCATGTGATGGTTGAGGAGTGTGGGTGTCGGGGTCGGGGATGAGGATGGAGGTGACGTAGAGCGGGAAGACGAGGAGGATGAGGAGGAAGAGGAAGCCGAGTGCGCGATGGGATGGTGGTGGCGATGGCCATGACATGGGGGTGGGGGTTGTGGCTGTGATGATATTGATTGTGGTGGAGTAGGGAGTGAAGGTGGTGGAGTAGGGAGTGAAGGTGGTGGTTGATGGTGATGGGGCGTAATGAGTATGGTAGGGGGGGACGAGGGGGGTCGTGACGTGGGTGGCATGGCGGGCGAAAGGATGATGGGTATGGCAATTGGGCTTGAGCATTGATGTGGGCGAGTTGGATGAGGATGATGGGTGTGTGTGGGGAGTGGGCGATGAGGGAGCCAGGTACTTGGACGGCAAGGGAGAGGAGGGCGGGACGGATTGGATTGAGATGGACGTCGATGGAGACGATGGCTTGCAATTGAAGAGGGAGGCAGTCCACTGCACTCTAGCCCACCACTGCATTGGCTATCAATTGCCCTTCCCCTCCTCTTGTTCTTCCTTGTCTTAGCCAGCCCATGGGCCTCGTCGTCTGGCTCGATGAGCCGCGACCACCCTCCTCCCTCCTCCCGCACGCAGCCACTATCAGAGGTACTTGTCGCTGGTCAAGCCTCATTCGCAGCAACAGGCTTGTACAACAGTTACATTGAGACTGCGTTCACCTCCTGGCCCACCTTTCACTTGCTCTTCGTCTTCGCCTTGGCGCCTTCCTGCCGTCCAACCTCTCGCTTCCGTTTTCGCGCGATGGCAGCGACTCGCGCCTCTGGCCTGTTGTGGCGGGTACCACTGGCGGCTGTTCTGGTGGCGCTTGTGGTGGTGGTGAGTAGTGCGGCAGGAGCAAGCATTGTACAATGCGACATGGACACTGACTTTGCCGCGTTTTCTACGGATGTCGTGGATTCTTTCGTCAACCCGAGCGCCATGGCAACTGGGGACGTTGATGGTGACGGCCGCTCGGACGTGGTGGTGGTCGTCGAGTCGACCGACGAGCTCAGCTGGTTCGCCAATTCAGCAAGTGGCGCATTTTTGGCGGGATCTACCATTGCCGGCATTGGCGAGCTCATCACGCCCAAGGATGCGGTCGTTGTTGATCTGGATGCGGACGGCGATGGCGATGTAGTGGTTGCCTCCCAAGGCGACGATAAGATTTCGTGGTTTGAAAACACCGCCGGCGACGGCACGGTGTGGACGCAACACGTCATCGATGCAGCGTTTGTCGATGCGGCCTAGTTTGTCGTCGGTGACTTTAACGGCGATGGGCAGCTCGACATCGCAGCTGCCTCGCCGACGACCGTCTGCTGGTGGGCGCAGACGGCAGTGGTCGGCACCTTTGATGTCCCACAAACCGTAGCGTTTGGCACAGGCCTAGCCGGGCTCATTGTTAGTGGTGACTTTGATGAGGACGGCTACCTTGACATTGTTGTGGCTGCCAATGGCGAGATTCGGCTCCTGGCCAACCCGGGTGGGAGCGGGGCGTTTGCTGCGAGCCGGGTTCTTGCGACTAAGTTATCCAATGGCTTGGTGGCGAGTGATATCGACGCTGACGGCGACCTGGACCTTGTTGTCGATTTTCAGCCGGGTTCGGACTACACCGTGCTGCTTCTGCTCAACCCCGGATCACCGTCGGTGGCGCAGTTTTCGCAAGTTGATCTTGCTGTAGATGTTGTTGCTCTATCTGACGTTATGGTGAAGGATGCAGACGGTGATGGAGACATCGACGTGCTGTATCTGGACGAGTTTAGCGTCAAGTTTGTGTCGAACACCGGGGCCGGTACCTTTGCGCCACCTGCGGAGGTGTTGACTGTTCTTGGTGAAGGCTTGCTGGCTGATGTTGAGTCCGAGAGCGCCTTTCTGCTGGCAGAAGACGGCGTTGGAGTGAAGGTACTGCGGCGCTTACCGGTGATATTTAGCAGCAACGAGTTGACGTTGGCGGGTGCAGATGCTGATGTGAGTGCTCTTGGCGACTTTGACTTGGACGGCGACCTCGACGTTCTTCTTCACTCGGGGACATCCAAGAGTCTGTTTTGGCAAGCAAACAGCGGCGGGCGCACGCAAGCGATTTCGGTTGCCAACGGTATCATTGCCAGCGACATTGCCACCGTTTACTCCGCTGGGACCGGTGATCTTGACAGTGATGGATATGTTGATGTCTTTGTGGCGTTCGAAGTGAGCTTGAGCACCGGGCGGCTTGCCTGGTACCGCAACACGGACGGGCGCGGAACATTTGGCGGTGTCCAGTACATCGACGGTGGCTCTGTGACATACTTTGTTCAAGCCACGTTCCTGGAGGACGTCGACGACGACGGCGACCTCGACGTGGTGGTCTTCAACCAAGGAACGTCGGATGCCGCCATGACATCGTACGTCACGTTTTCGTGGTACGCCAACGACGGCTTGGGTACTTTTGCAGCGCCGACCAACTCATTCAACATGGAGAGCGTCTCCATCACGTCGCAGACTAGCGTCTCGTTTGGGGACATCGATGGCGATGGCGATGTTGACTTGGCAGTGACGACGAACTCGGGACTTGTGTGGTTCTCGGCCGACGATACTACGCTAACCAACTTTTTCTTCCTCCCGTATTCGATTGCGTCGGTGTCGAGCCCAGCGTCGGTTGTACTTGTTGATGTGAGCGGCGACGGCGCGCTGGACGCCATTGCGGTTACATCATTGGGCCTCTACGTTGTCACAGGCAGCGGCAGCGGCAGCTTTGCTTCGCCGGACTTTGTCGCCGCCACGAATGGTTCGCCTGGTAGCCTGCTTGTTGTTGACATTGACGGTGATGGCGACGATGACGCGGTGAGCGATGGCAACCTGTGGATCAACAGCAACCAGACGTTTGGTCCTGCAATTGCATACAAGAAAAATCCCCGCACATCCTCCGCACCTCACTGACAGCTACACCGCCCGCCGTGGGTGCGAGCCAGCCGGCACCCTCCTCCCCCCCCCCCCCCCCCCTCCCTCCCCCACTCGTCTCACGTTCCCCACTGCCCTATGTGCATACAAGGAATGGTCATACAAGCAGCTATGGCGGTGCTTGTTGCAGGCGTGGTGCTACTCCACGTCACCGCTGTCGTGCCGTCGGTCAATGCCGCTGACTTGTTCTTGGTGCCGCCGACCAATTGGCAAATGATCGGATCGAGGTCGTCGCAGGCTGTGTCGGATGCGGCGGTGGGCGATTTGAACGGAGATGGGAAGATCGACTTGGCGGTGGCTATCGGCGTCCATTACCGCTTGCTCTGGGTCGAAGGTGATGGTGCCGGCAGCTTTGTGGGCCATGACATCCTCCCGAGCAGCGGCGTGGGCTCATGGACGCCACGGTCTGTGGCCATCGGCCATCTCAACAATGATCCCTATCCCGATCTTGTGGTAGACTCGTCAGGTGTGATCGTTCTCTCCAACGATGGTAGTGGAACTTTCACCTTTGTAGTTAGACTCTCCTCCGGCACCTTCAGGAATGTGGGCGTGGCAGACGTGGACAACGACGGCAAGCTGGACATCATTGGGATCATGCACAATCCTATCCCTTACTGGTACAAGAACGACGACAATACCTTCAGCTTTACCTCAAAGAGCCTGCAAAATACTGGTACCTACGTCAGGGAGTACTCGGTCTCCCTCGTCGACATCAACAACGACGGGCGGACAGACATCGCTTTCCGCGGAGACAACAACCACATCATCTACGCGCTGCATCAGGGCACTTCGCCGTACTACGGAGCGTTCATCAGCCTGGGCGTCTTCTCCAACATCCAGGCCCAGACAGTGGGCGATGTCAATGGAGACAGCTTCTCGGAGTTTGTCCTCTGTACCTCGTCATCCATCTTCATCAACTTCCTCGACGCGGCGGCCACCGCCTTTGACGCCACCAAGCAGGTAGTGATCAACCAGGCCGTCAGCGGGAACTTTGTCAACATCGCAGACATTGACGACGACTCGGACAACGACATCATCCTTATTGCCGGCAGCACTATCGTCTGGTTGGACAACACCGATGGCACCGGCTCATCGTGGACGTCACGCGCGGTCACGACCTCTTCGGTCTCTGGCAACTCGTTCCGACTCGTCTACGACGTCGACGGCGATGGCTATCTCGATGTCATCACAAGCTTCCCCTCTTCTGCCTATGGATGGACCCGCGCCTACCATCGCCACTGTCCAGATCTCTCCCTGCCTGATGGCGAGTGGTCGTATGATCTCACGGCTCCCACTTGGAGAGCCACCGCCAACTGCACCACTGCCGGCCATGGCCTCGTTGGGGTGGGGGTGCGGACGTGCGCAGAGGGGGCGACGTCATGGTCGACCGAGCCAATGCCGACCTGTGTCTTCAACGCACAGTCCGTGCTGCTCACGATCGACACGGCGGCGTTCCCGCTTGCAGCCGGCAGCAAGTTTGCCTTCTCCATCACCCCCGAGAACGGCGGGTCGACGTCGACGCTGACGGTGACCATCGGCGGCGTGGCGCAGAGGGTGACGGATGTCGTCTTTGACGCCGCATCCAAGACCTACACCGCCATGTGGACAACGCCAGAGAATGTCGGCTCTTACTCGGTCACCTTTGGCATCGACGGCAACGCTGTCGCCACGCTCACCATTCCCATCAAGGCCAATGTGGTAGTAGGCGCGATGAACGTCGACGCTGCTACGGTCAACGGCGATGGCCAGCTGGAGGTCCGTCGCGACTCAACGTATGCGGTCCATGTCAAGCTCGAGGACGCGTTTGGTAACCCAGTGCTTCTCTCGGCGACGCCCGGCACTGTGGTGCCGATTCTGCCATCGAATCGGACGATGTCTGCGTCGCTGACGCTATCGTCGACGTCTGCGGTGGCGGAGGCGCCGATCTTGGTGGTGGCGCGGAGCGATGGCAATGGATACGACGCGGTAGTACAGGTGTCAACGGTTGTGGTCGGGGCGTACACGCTGGAGGTGGTCCTGAACGGGGTGGACGTGCCCGGCTCACCTGTGGAGGTGCTCTCGATCTGTCCCGTGGGTACGTCACTGGAGAGCGGGACGACGTGCGCTACGGTGCCGTGTAACGCCAACTCGGTTCGTGTGGAGACGATCAACGCCACCGTCGGGACCTGCCACTGCCAGGCCGGGTTCTATGCGGCGCGACGCGACACCAACAACATCGCGGTGTGCGAGAGCTGTCCGCGCGGCGGCGTGTGCGCCTTTGGCCTCGACCCGCCTGTGGCCCAGCCGGGCTACTACGCCACGTCCTTTGCCACCTTCCATCGGTGTCTGCGACAGGCCGGATGCGTGGGCGGCGATGCTGCGTGCGCCGATGGCTACGACGGCTACATGTGCAACACCTGCTCTGCCGGCTTCTACTCGAACGCAGCTCGCGAGTGTGTGCAGTGCCCCGAGTCGTCGGGCGGGATTTTTGCCGGCGCGTTTACCGGCCTTGTGGCCTGCGCCGTGGCGGTGGCGGGCGTGGTGGGCATGGGCGTGGCCAAGGCGCGCGGCGGGTACGATGGCGGGGTGGAGCAGCAGGAGGAAGCGATGGGCATCAGCTCGACCAGCAGCGAGACCTTGATGCCGGCGGGCTCGGAGTGGTCGAGTGTGGAGAAGGCGGTCACGGAGCAGCCGGGCGGGGTGGAGCTGCGGCGGCGGACGTTGCCTGCGACGGTCTCGCAGACGCTTGTGGTGCTGCAGGTGCTGGGCATCCTGGGCACGGCCGATTTTAGCTGGTCGAGCTCGTCCAAGTCGACGCTGGAGGCGTTTAACGTGGCCAACATCGACGTCAATCTGTTTGCCTCCGAGTGCACGTTGGGCGACTTTCACACCAAGTACGCCATATCTGTGGGCCTTCCGATGATTGTGCTTGTGGTTGTAGGCTGTGTGCTTGTGGCGCTACACGGATGCAGGGTGCTTGGGCTCGGGCGCGTGCCGATCAAGAGCCTGTTGGACGCCGCGCTCTTTGCGGTCGCGCCGCTCATCTACATCCCGATGGCACGTGCGACGTTTGTGATCCTCGACTGCACACGGCTGCCCAACGGCGAGTGGGTGATGGACGCCGATCCGGGTGTGGCGTGCTTTGACTCGCGGTGGAGCTCTGTGGCGTGGCTCGGCGTGGTGGTGCTGTGCGTGTTTGTGCTCGGCGTGCCTGGGTACTTTCTATGGTGTGTGGTGCGGCATCGGACAGAGCTGCTGGAGGCAAGCACGTTTGCGCGGTACGGGGCACTGTACAAGCTGTATCGTGTCCCGTACTATTGGGGCGGAGTGGCAGAGCTGGTCCGGCGGCTGGCGATTGTGGTGGCGGCGGTCTTTGTCTCGGCCCACATCCTCCCGCTCATCGCCTCGCTGATTGTCATCTTCACCATCTCGGCCTTAACGGTTGCGCGGACGGAGCCGTATTTTTATCCACTGTACAACAGCGTCGAGTTTCAGCTGAACGTGGTGCTGATGGTGGTGCTCTTTCTCGGCGCGGCATCGTACGCCGAGCGCAACGTGGAGGGTGGCGGGAGCGACGCGATCTTTGTGGGCGTAGTCCTCATCGTCGTTGCTATGGCCATTATTGCGCTTCGTGCCATCGTCACTGACGTCTTGCAGATTTTGCGCGAACGTCGCTATGGCTACAACTATGCCTGTGCGCGCGCGGTTGATCTTGCGGCGCACGTCGAGCGTGAGATGATGGATCTCCAGCCCAGCGTCCGCGAGCCGCTGGTGGCCGCGGTTGAGGTGCTGAGGGCGGGGAGCATGATGGAGACCGGTGTGATGCACCACTCGATGGCGATGTCGACCGCATCCAGTGTGGCCTCGTCGAGCAAGTCCATTGCGTCGAGTTCGTCGAGGTAGTTACTGCACACGCTATGGTAGATGACTATCAGCTGCGACGTCGTCGCTGTGATGAAGGCCACCTCGTTGCGCGACGTGTATGGGTAGTGAGTATGTAAGATGTGGGTGTGGTGGCTGTGGGCGGGGATAGTGGGGAATGGGGGTCGGAGGTGGGCCCGGGGAGGAGGGGTCAGCAGCATCGAAACGACACCAGGATGACAGCTTGGGCCTCAGGTGGCAGAACTCGGATTCCGGAATACTGCAGCTGTCGATTGAAGACTGTGCATGGAGGTAGTGTAGGCATGTAGTAGAGTAGTAGTGAAATCAGATTGGCCATAGCTTGCAATGAGGTTGATGGGGGGCATGTGCGGGTCGAGCGGTCGAGGACGTGCTCAACCACCTAGGCAAAACAAGTCGACGCGGAAATGAGCCGAGGTCGATGGGAATGGATGACGGCGATATTTGTACTGGAGATAGTGCACGGTGAGTGATGACCTTGGGTGTGGTTGTGGGTTGCGTAGCTGCTGGTGGGAAGGAGCTAGGTGGTGATGAAGGTGGGCTGATCGGGCGAGCGGGCGGCGGCTGGCGGCTGGTGGCCGGCGAGGCGAGGACAGCTGAGAAGGCTGGGTCGGGCTGGATGGCTCGAGATTGCTGTTGGTTGGTGGATGGGCAGTACGGCATGTGATGGTTGACGGCTGCCGGTGTCGGGGTCGGGAATGAGGATGCGGGTGAGCTGGAGCGGGGAGAGGAGGAGGAGGAGGAGGAAGAGGAAGCGGAGTGCACG